GTCGATGTTGATGAAGTTGCCGTTCGTCTGCTGAAGTCGAAGATGAGAGGTGCTCTAGTAAAGCTTGTTCTTCCTGTTGTGTTTGTAAAGTATCTGTTATTTCTACATTTAACAAATCATTATCTTCCGACGATTGATTTAATTGAAATGCTTTCGATGGGTTCTCGTTTGAGAAACGCGTCTCATTTGCGAGCGACGTCGACGTCGAATAGTTGTTAAGATATTGTCGCTTACGACGTGCTCCAATATATGCTCGTGGTAAAGTTAACGACTAGAAGTAAAGAAAAAGTTCTTGATTGATCCAATTCAAATAGTTGATTATAAATTTGCGGTTGATCACATTTAGAAGCACATTAACAGACATACACGCACAATTAAAGGAATAGACTCGGAGAAAAAGAAGAATGACTATGTAAATATAATCTAGTCGAAGGACACTGAACCAACATTACTGTAAGTTCAGTAAGCAAATTTTCAACGATTCGTCATCGCGATCTATTTATCTGTCTGTCTATTTGTTTAGTTGTCGTTCCTTCCGTGATAGATAATCTAAATAACAGAGACAAATTTCTCATTGGAAATAGTCGATTCTTTTTGTCAATGTCAAAAAAAAGGAAAAGGGAGGAGAGAAGCGCAAATCGCATGGGGAATTTCAACCGACTATCAACAAATATGTAAATACTCTGATGATAGTAGAGACCTATTTGCATGCATGGCATCATTATGATTCTGCAATTCAATTATTATAACGCTCCAGATTCTTTCTATTTTCTTTGCCTTCTTCAATATACATACATAAACGGTCGCCTTCCCTCAGCCCTTGTCTCTCTCGATAGAATAACGATTATATCACTATTAATTTCCGCTTTTCTCCTAAATTTCTCCTGGTAGCAAACCAATTATTTGTTCAAATTTACCGAAGTTGTTGTCGCTGTGTTACCGTTGGTTGTCGACATTCTCTGTACTACGTCGTTGTTGTTGTTGTTGTTGCTATTCGGATATGTTTGATAACACGCACGTATAAATATACATGTAGGTATGCAAACAAATAGTCTCTGTGAACTTTATTTGTGATTAGAACAAGAATGTCGTTATAAGATCGAAAGAAAAAAACACTGGACTAAATGACTAGGTATTTATACACATATTCTTTTCATTCTTCTTCTTCCTTGACGAATAATTGCGTCTTTTGCTTCCTTTCTTCATTCTCTCTCTCTCTCTCTCTCTTGGCGCTCTACTTCTCATATTACAAATTACATAGATCATGAAATCCTTCTGAAACTAATATTTTGTTTTCATTTTTATTAAAAATCAAATGTACATCAGAGATAGATCGTTTAAACATGTTTTTTTTTGTCTTCATTGTTTTTTCTCGCTTGCAAAGAATGTTGTTTGCCGGCACATGATCTTTTCGTGCAACTTTGCCTGCCAATCTTGTTCTGAACAATACTGTGCCCAAACAGGTATACTCGATGCAGGCAGTTGAATGGATGACATCAAACTTTTTATATAATTAGCTTTGTCATCATCGACCGGGAATGATTCACTTTCAAGTTTCGTTGACCAGACCGATTCTACGGATGGATTCACTGTTTGACGGGGACGAATTTCATCCGTTGATGATAAAACTCGGAGCGTTGCAAAGCGAAGGAATTCTTCATCTTCATTTCCATCATCGAACAAACTTTCTCCTTGATTTATTTCGGAATCTTGGGGTAGAAGACAATAGCCATTCACGTTTGCCATCGGCTGATTAAAACTTTGTTCATCATTATCGGAATTTGCTGCTGATCCATCAGTCGATGCCACATGTTCATGATGATCATGAGTGGGTGGATGAGACAACTCTTCGTTTGCTGCATCGTCTTCGCCAGGCAGTTTCTTCTCTTGAGGACTTTTAGGTGAGGGTGACATGTTGCGAATCTGAAAAGAACTAAGAGAATGATTGCATCTTGGTTTTTTAATTCTGTTTCTTGATTAGACGCATGTTTACATGTATTTATAATTGTGTGAATTGACAAATAAATTAGAAAAAAATAAAACAGGTTTAACATTACAAATCAAATCATTGACAAAAGAAAAGACACAGCATTGTTATTGAACGATGCACACACACATACACACACACACACACCAAGATGACAAACATCACATATTGATTTGTCCTATTTGTCTTCGAGAGATAATTTCAGCACCTAAAATTCGAAACGACATCATTAACATTTGATATGAGTATGCAATTTAATCAATGACTAACAGTTGGCAAGCCTCGAGTCAACGCAGTTTCTCTGTATGAGATTGTTCCTTAAGGGTAATACTCGAATTTCTGTTGTCTTTATTCTATTATGTCTACCTCAAGCATCACGATCGATAATGAAGAGGAAAAATAAACTAATTACTGAATTAGATATATACTTTTTCAAGTTCTTCTTCTTCTTCGCGTATTCGGATAAGTCGAGCTTCTTCTTCACGTTTTGACAATTCCATAACAGCAGACAAATCTTCAGGTGCGCCCTCCGCACTTAATTGCGCTCGACTTTGCTTCCGAACTTCTTCCATTTCTGGTTCACTCAAACCCGATGCAAGTAAACTAGCTTCCAACGCACTAAATCAAATCAAATCAAACGTCATCAATGCGAATGCCTTTCTTTCTTCTTTTCTTACCGTTGTAAATCATAATCTACATAACGATTGTCCACCTCTGTTCGATTGGGCCGGTTTCCTGGGTGACCCAGTGCCTCATACAATGTTACTTGATCAGCAGAAACACCTTGATCATTATTTGTGGGCGGTTCATTCGAATCGAGAAGGCTTCTTTCAATTGCCATTTGTAATAGAGCATCGTCATCCATATACATCATTGGATGATAACCTTCACCTTCGCCTAAGAACAAGAGCTTTCCTATGTTAATTAATAGCTTTGATATTGACAAACCTTGACGACGATATCCTGATGGTATGGCAAAGATATTCTCATCAACAGCACAGAACGAATTCGAATTCTCTTTTATAGTTGACACACCCTCGACACTTTTGTCACTACCATGAATATTACCGAAAGTGACTTTCGCCGTTAGAACATGATAGAGAGGAATTTCTACAAAACATTCATTTTGTTATACAGAGGACGTCAGTAGAACGTGTTACTTACGAACTTTAACAGGAAAACCATTTGGGAGTTGAAGCGTGACGAAGTCGCGTAGCTTTTTGAAGTGCGAGTTGCTAAAAAAAGGAAGAGAAATCGAATTTTGCAGATGGATTACTAAATATATAAACCTTATAGCCATTAGATCAATGATAGGTAGGATTTGTTCCTGAAGACTAAGTGGATAATCATCACAAAGAGATATTTGAGCATTGAATGTTTGAACTTTGGTATTTTCTTCTCGTGGTCGGCCGATGTCTCGATTTTTCAATTCAGCACGGCTATTAAAATATTCTTCAAATGTCACAGGCGTTTGATCAACATGTTTAATTGAATCCTTGAAAAACACACAAAGAACGAATATCGATTTTTAGAAGAAATCGTAATCCTACATTTGATAGTTTTGAAGTCGTTGGGTTCGTTGCTGCAGCTGCGGATGTTGCCGTTGTTCTTGACGATGATGCTGATGATTCGAGAAAATTAAAAACTCCTCCAAGAAAGTTTCTGTTAGATCCGTGTCCAGCTTCATATGCTTTTCGATCATCAGGTGACATATGTTCAATACGTGTTCGTGTGACAAGTTCGAAATTATTTGCAGTATAGACTTTACACTGATAACCGTTGATACTTTCGCTCTTCTCATTACGCATTCCCCATACACCTGATTTGCTTCTAAAAGTGCGAACTTCCTTCATAAATTTATCATTGAAGTTTCTCTTAATGTTTTACCGTTCGAATTCAATTTTATCGACATCGAGATAAACTAGAATATAAAGAAGAGCTTCGATTGAATGAAGCATCTAGACGAGACTTTTTACCTGTCATGCTTGGTGACATCAGTTTTCCTTCGATTTGATCCATATTTGGTTCGAGTAGGATAGCTTCTTCGCCTGGGATACTCAAATTTTCACTAAAGGCTGATCTCGTCTCATGATCGATATCAATCATCTTCGCACAGTCCGCTAAAAACGATTCATTTCAATTTTTTTACGGTCAACACAAATTCCATTGAAAATGACTTACCCAGCAGTGAAAAAATGAACGTTCTATTGCCTCGTTGCCAATTGGTACCTTCAATACCGAGTAATGTTGTATCAACACGTACATTTGGACCTAAAAATAATAGCAAAGTGAACTCTATGAATGATTTCACGTAATCAATGTACTCACCGCTTTTATATATCTTATACGTGTCATTTGGACACAGTTTCGAGACTAGAGGAACTACAATGAGGAAAATTAGTATTTAAATCTATTATACAGGTCGACGAATTGACTCCTTACCCCAACTAGAAAATTCCCATTTCATTTCCACATAAAAATCTAAAAAAAATATTCAATCCTCCATTCAATGCCTACAACCTCACATACCTGGCGACTAAAAGAGACAAATTCCAAGTAGACTTTCAACGCTACAAACATGATTTCAATCCTACCTCTTTCAATTTTCGTAACAATTCTGGTATACCACGAATACGCTGAATATTTCTTTGGTAATTTCGATATTTCATGATTAATTTCACTAACGACGGATTACCATTTGCTATCGCTTCTTGTAACACTAAACGCACACATACATAGATTCGATTACTCATGTAAAATACAAAAATCAACTAACGATTCCATCCATCTTTAGAAACCACATTGCAATCTGCATCATTCTGTGCTAGTAACCGTGCAGCTTCCACATGACCTAAGCACACAGCTAGCTGCAGCGGAGTTCGATGACGAGGATCAAGTTGTTCAATTCGATCCTAAACAAACATATGAAATCCATGTCCGATATCTCTCCATACAACGAGCAACTCACTTTGTTTTCTCGAAGTACTTCTGCTAATTTCTCTGTATCGTTATTCCAAATAGCCACATGTAAAGGAAATTCCCGTTCAATATTCATATCTAAAAGTTATACTACATATTTTATTTGTTTTTATTAAATTTAGAAAAAAAACAAGATTTGTCTATTAATATAGCAAAAATCGTGTATAAAAAAAGCACACATAGAGCAAAAAAGTGGAATGTATACACACTCAAAAATCCTGATGAGCAGTAAAGAAGAAACAAGACATTTTTATACATAAACATATAGAAGAAATACTCTTGCACGAAATTCTATCATGTACGGACGTATTGAGATTCACTTCGAAATAAAAATGAACAAAAAAAACAAGAAGATATGAATGAATTTGTTATGATACACGAAAAATTGAGTATTGGAATGTGAGAATATCATATAGATTAAATCTAAGTAATAATAATGTAGATTTCTAAGAATATAGCAAGAACCAGAATGATTATCATTGTCGATTGTATTGGTAATGTTGCGTGACTGTAATACGGACAATATGGACATTGATATGAACCACAAACCTAAAGGAAAATAAAAAGTTGGATGCTCAATTCGTTCCTTTTCAATATCTTACTTCACAAATATCTAAGCCAAATAAATTTCTCAATGTGTAAACACTTCGATTCATATTTCCCGGTTCAAACCATTCATAAGCTCGGACTTCATAGTAACGTGAAATGTTAGCCACGGGTATCCAACGTTTCGCTTGAAATTGAAAACATATCGGATCAAAATCGATATAATCAAAACCGAAATTGATCTGCCCAGGCCAATTTTCAGCTTCACGTAAATTACGTGTATACAAACCACGTAACATCATCTTCAAATCTTTTTCTTCGACCCGATAACCTGTTGGAATTTGTATTTCAATCATTACTGTACCGCTCCTCGATGCTTTCAGTACGTTGATATTTTCCGGACGCCAGCCAAGGCAAACATTGTAATCGATAACTGAAAAGTTGCGACCGGAAAGCATTGGTTGAACATCAATAGCAAATGGAACATATTCTGGACGGCGAATTAAATCGTCAAATTCAACATTAACACCGACATGCATCTACATGAAAGTTTTTTTTAAAGATTTTTCTCCTATGGATTCTGAGATACATACTTGAATTAGTGCGTAACCATTACCAAAACCATCAATGTACACGACACTCCAAACTCTCTCAACATCTCGAACTTGTGCTTCGATTAAATTCTCATCTGTGATGAAAATTGGATCGTAGTTTTGCTCAATAGATGTTCCCGATGTTAAATTCATTCGAATATTATACGAAGTGATTTCAAAACCACGTAATACAGCATAGCCGACAATGGCACGTTGTGCTATACAAGAATCATACGTTGCAGACCAGCCACCGATATAATTACGCATGGATTGAAGCCATAGAACTACAAAAGAATCAAATTGTACTATGCAAATATAATCATATCTGCTAATTACCCGATTGTTCAACTTCTTTCACTCGAGCTTTATAAGTATACGTCATGACCACAAATGCAGTCGCTGAGACAGCATGCGCCTCCATATCTGTTTGTACTGGTTTCGGACCGTACCGTGGATTGACGTTTCTCCATGTTTTCGTCATCCCGGGCAGATTCATATTTGAATAGTAAATACCATTCTCATCTAAACGTTACCATTTCGATCATTTTAAATCAATCTATCGAATAGAAAGCTTACTCATTTTCTTGAAATAGTTCAACATTGCAAAAGCGGAATCTTGCTCAGCACTATTGGTTACGTGTAATGCATAGGTTACGATTGCCATGTCAAATGCGTCTGTTATCAAACGAAAATATTTCTCCAACCACATCTTCCCTCGATTAATAGCACCAGTGATAAACTTCGCGGGAATACCACGTACATCAACGTTCAATTGCAAAGCTATCAACGCTTGTGCTGTCAGAGATAGATTCAATTGTTGGTATGTTCCGCTGATGTTTGTGTAACGGATACCGAACTTATTGCGATCCATCGATGTTGTTAACTCTGCCCATGAACCATTTGGTTGTTGAACTGTTAGAAGAAAAGCGACAATATCAGCACGCAGATTGGGATCGATGAATAATGCTTTTTCTTCCCATTCAGGATAGACAGCATCACGTAATGTCATCAATGCCCATGAGGTTAACACAACTGATGATTCATTCGTGAAACCAAACTGACTAAATGAACCTTTACGCCATGGTTCAGTTGGATTGTCACCTGTGTACATGGCCATGAAACGAAGATATTCCATATTCGCAAAGGTTAAAACTTTCATTAGTTTCTCTTGATCGAAGGCGCGACCACCATGACCTAAACATGATTTTTTTTTTATTAGAAAAGAATTCGTCTTGCTTTGAATGTACTGACCTTGTAACATGTAGCGAAGATTGTAGATCATCATACCAAAATCAAACAAGCCTGAATCAGCTGGAGCTGTTGTTCGTTGAATTAAATTATCAGTATTCAACCATTCATCATAGCCCAAGAGGAAGAAAGGTCCTGCGACATCACCAGAAACGAAGATTTCGCATGTCGCAGAGCCAGGAACATATGACCACATGTTTTGGTTTGGTAAGATGTAGTTTTCAGTGACATTGACATCATATTCATTCATTTGTCGAGGTAGATTATTGAGTAATAACACAGTGGGCGTATGATAATAATTACGTAGACCTTCATAGTTTACTTTGATTACTTCACGGTAGAAGTCACGTGATACACCAGTGATACCTAAACAGAGAAAAGTTCGTGTACTTCCGGAGGGATCTCGCCGTGAGAAGTGTCGCTTTTGTATTAGTACACGATAATTATCTTCATCTACATGCTCAAATATTAATTCATCAAGCAGAGCAATCTGTCCTTTCGTTCTTGTTATGCATACATTTCATTCATATTGATTGAGTAGCAGAGAAAAAATTACATATCCATGCATTCGGCGGATACCTTTCAAACTGTGTATGTTGCGATTTCTGAGCAGACAGAGCTAACCAAGTAGTTGAACGATTCTTTTGGAGATTTGATCGTCATTTTCTGACTTTTTTTGGAACATTCAAGTGCGTGATATAGACTGATTTATCTTACCTTCGATCATGACCTCAACTTCACCAGCGACAATAGGTATAAATGGAAGATAAAGTCGTCGCACTTCATTTGGATACAGAATGACAAGAACATGATGTTGACCATCAGTTAAACGTGGTGCAAATGATGTCACAACACCATTTTGATCAATATTCACAAAACGATAATTATCTGACGCATGTAGAATGATTAAAGCTTCGATACGATGCGATTGAAAATTGAACACATCGACACGTGCACCAATTTGTTCGCCGAATCGAACAATAGGCGGAATTTCTACTTTAATGAAAAATTGTCTTGTACCTTCATAGATGAATGGAGCATCAAGTACACCAAAGCCTGTTAGCCGGCTAATAGCAACAGCTGTAATAACCCATGTGGCAATAACATTTGGTACAGTCGTACGAAATTGTACACGACCATCTGGATAAGCAAATTGTTGATGCCACATGAAGTCAAGTTGCAATTCACGTTCCCAATACGGCCACAAACGACGATATAACGGAGTGAAATCGTAAACATTCGTTGTTGTTGAGTTACCTAAATTCAGAAGCATAGACTCGTATATGTTGTGTCGAGAAATAGATGCTATCACGTACAGTTCACTTCGTCGGAACCATCTGGGCAGTTGAGAACACCGTTACATCGTAATGGTGGTGGATAGCATTGACCATCTGTACATTGCATAAGACCATTTTGGGCACATGCGGTTTGGATCGCTTGGACATTGACGTCGGTAAAAATCTGCATACCGGAAGAATTGAATGTTGACCCAGCATCATACCCGTACGATTGAGATGGGAAAAAGACACGGCTCGAGGGAATATCCATTTCTGAATTCCATGTCTGTTGAAAACTGGTTGACGAGTAGTGATCAAAGGAATACAATTCATCATATATCTAGAATTGACATCGAAAAACTCGAGTCGCGCTTGATAGAAACGTGCTACAACATACCATTACTGGAGTGAACTGATTTCCCGGTGGAAATAAACGTGTCTGGACAAGACCGAGACCAGCAAACGCTACGAACGATTGTGGTGACGCATACGCTAATACTTCAATCGTGTTTCCCGTAAAATCCTTTCGACGATTAATTGTTATATTAACACGATTTGTCACAGACGATGTATTTACATGAAAATTCATACTATCAGCAACGATTTCACCATCATATCGAACATAATAAACAAGTATGTGAGCTGATGGAGCCATTTCACGACTGACACCAACATCGAAAGTTTTTTGTTTAGCACCATCCATTGGAAGAATATTTGTAAAAATCAATCTTCCTGCTGATGTTATATGATAATAGACAAAATCAACATATTGTGTAATATTTACACGAAAGAGCATAAAATCGCCGACACGTGGTGTCTCGGTAGTAGATGTCACTTGCAAATAACTATTCGACGGGGACAAATAACGGATAGCACGCTGCTCATCCGTACTACCTGGTACTAAAATATTATTATCGTATAATTCAGCACGAAGACGGATGAATAATATCGATGGGTCCGGTGGTGCTAGAAATCGATGGCAAACAATAGCTGATGAATCGATAATGTAGTCCGCAGGTGGCTGGATAGGACCGCCGTCAGTTTCCGTATAGATACGAATAAATCGATTAAGGCCCGGAGGGTACTTTGTACCATCAGCATTGGCAGCTGACACATAAGTAGTAAATAACATACGCGGTTTGAAGACCATCGATGGACCACCAAGAAAGCGTAAGCGTGTACCAGGTCGATAGAAAGAAACCACTGTCGTGCCGTTGTTTGTTTCATTCCACCATGGATCATGAACGAGCGCGGTTATTAGAATTTCTTTTCCATCCAGATCTGGCACAAGATTCCGAATAGTTGCAATAGGAATAAAGAATCCGGCGACTCCATTAAAATCATCGATAGTCGTCACGAATGACGGTGTCGAATGATCGAATTCAACATCTTTTAATAGATTAGCACGTGGATCGTAAGGTACAGACATATCACGCGCTCGAACAACTACTCGAGCGTAACCAAGTACGCCCATACCAGTCGTATAGTTTGCCGTAACAATACCACCAACACCGGGCGAATCTGTTGGCAGATAATATGGAACAGTGACGTTGACTTCGAACTTTCGATAGTAGAATTCATAGAGTTCAAACGTTTTTATCGCTTCATAACCCATCACACGGCATTTTATCGTCCAGATACCTTCTGGTGGCGCATCATTAATTGGATACTATGAAACGTAACAAGTAACTTTCTTTTTCTTTGTTCGATTCCAAACACTTACTTCGAGTGAAACCATGCCAGCTGTTGTTTGTTGATTTTCCCACTTACGTAAAATATGGCCTGATGGTCCAAGTACATAAACATCGATCGTATGATAATACCCGCTAAGATCAGGATATATCGGTATACAACGAAATTGTACTACAGTTTCGTGACGATACACAGGTCGATCAAGTTGGATAAGTATGGAGACAGCTTTTTGTTCGAATATTAACTGAGAAACATTATAAAACTTTTGTTCGCCTGTTAGTAATTTTCCTTCGAGCGTTAATCGATAGGTTCCCGCGCGAATATTCTTTGGTATACGCATTTCTAATGTGCGCGGCACACCAACATAAAATAAATCTTCTGCAGCTGCTACGTCCATATCATCGTTAGATATCAATGCTTTGACCATCATCGGATTCCATTCATCACGTAAAATAATGACACTCAACGAGACTAATTCTGCTGGTCGAACTGTACGCGGACCGAGAACAATATATGATGGTGTAATCGGTATCCGTGGAAGTTGAGATGAGATGATATTCAATGGGATTTGCCGACGATGGATCGTATGATTTGTCGAAATATGTTCGTCAGCTCGATCATAGATGAACAGACCATCGCTTTTGTCATCAATGTTATTTGTTTCATTTTGAGAAAAGTGTGGGAAGAACTCAGCTGATTGATGAGCAAGAATGATTGGAACAAAACAAAACAGATGAAATTGGAGCCAAAGAATGACTCTCGTATACCCCATCTAGAAGAGAAATCGATTGAACAATGTCATTGAATGAATAAATAAATTTTTCAAATGATGACTTTTTTTTGAAAGGTGTTAAATCACCGTGTGTTTGTTTTTTCAGACAGCCAATGAGCACATGCATAATGACATCTATCTGAAGAAGAACTTTTTCTCAGTTGAAAATTTTTTATTATTAGTATTTTCATGAGAAAAATCATTTCAACTCATTTTTATGAAACTCGTAATGTGTACTATTCGGATGTCGCTAACTGTAAATGATTGCCTGTCCGACGCCTTAACTTGACCTTCAGAAAGTACTCGTCTCTGTTCGCTCTTTATCCCAGGTTAAATATCACCGACTCACATATACTGTGCATTGTAAAAATGCATAAGGCTCTATTTTCTTTTTAGGATTTTATTGAATTAAAGGCGAACTGTATCGTTATTGTCTTCAACCGATATGCTTCACCTTGTCCTTGAGGACAAACGGTCACGAGATGATTCTTTGAGAATATTGTTGAAATTTTATATTCAATTCAATTTATTGCAAAACAATAGTTTATTATATTTGACATATTTAGAAAGAAAAATAACATTCGATGATGTTAGAATATATTATCATCGTCGTCATTATCATTAGAATTCTTTACATGCGATAATTTCTCATGTTTGTGTCGTTGACAATGAGTGCGTTTAAGGCAAAAACGGAGATTCCGAGCGAATTCAAGCGTTGATTTCGTGGCCATGCGATGCCGATGGCCTGGATTTAGTGCCCCCACGTAGCAAATATGCGACTGTGCATCGAATACATACGGGTGTATCAATCGTGTTAAAATATCATTGTTAAAAGCTAGAAGATATGAGTGTTGTTTATAAGAGAAGAAACAGATGATTTTACCTGCACGAATTTGATCAGGATGTTGTCGGATGCCAAGTAATGCTCGTTTGAACGATAACATCGTTTTGTTCAGTGAATTAATCAGAAATTTTCGACGATGCGAGCATAAATTTCGTGTGTAAATGTATTGGGACGAAGCTAAAAGAACAATCATAAGAGATCCGATTACAGTTGAATGATCTTTTTCATAGAAATTGATCTGAATTAATTGGTGCATATATCGACGACGTTTCTTTACTTGACAAACAATATAATCAATATCTTGATCAGTCTTCAAATGATATTCTTCATCTGGTATCATGATCCATTGGTTCAGTTTCATTAATCGTATTGGAGAACAATGTTGTAAAAGATCGACAATACGATTATGACAAATGCCGAGAAGTTTTACATAAATATCAGAAGATGATAAAAGACGAATTAAATCAAATGCTAACAAATCGATCAGCGAACGAAGAAGGGAAGTTTTACCCGAATATCTTCCACCACCGATTAGATATAAGCACCTATACACAGCAAGAGATCGATGGCAAATGATCTTCATTCCACTTACTTGTGACCATTTAGTGCTTTGTCGAGTAAAGGAGAAAGTGTAGATTGATAAATGGTATTAATTTGACAATGTTCATTAAATGTCTGATCGCATTTGAACTTTCGATTTCGAATGAAGACTTGATTGTCAACGGTAATCGATGGAATATGAAGAACTAATGATTGAGAGTCGGTTATGCTAATGATATCAACTTCCTTGAAGATATTCTCTTCAAACTGTGTCAGTGGTCGTTTTCGTATACATATTTTAATATTCTTATTCGTTTGTTTGATAGGAATCGATTCCTGAACATATTTTCTTCGTTCAGTGTTAACAACATCGGCAAATGCCCATTTGTTCATAATCGTGCATGCATTTGGATCGTCGATCAAATCGATTTCATCCATTAAGATTGGATACTGTCGACCACGAATTGCGTTTTCGGTCGATGGATCTACGAAACACACGTACTGAAATTTATTCTGTTCGGTTTTTGCTGAATGACGAGTCTGCCAATTGACAATGGATTCGAATGCGTATGCATCATCGTTCTTCTCCGATGACATGACGCGATAGAAACGATCTGTAAGAGATTCTTTTGTTTGCTGTTCATTTGCATGAATCGATGGTAGATGTAATAGTCGACGGGTCAGCGATGACGGATGATGTTGAGGTCCTATGGTACCGCAATCGAATTTTTCGATTTGACTTATGGGAAGTCGAATTATCGGATGCCGTTTAAGATGGTTTGATAGTTTGCTCATATGATGTTCACCACAAGATTGTTCAATACTTGGCACTAAGAAAGAAAAGGAATGATCGTTGCTGTAGTTGAAAAACAAAAAGTTACATTTCGAAGAATCGATCGTATTCGCTTGATGATCACCACGTGCTTTCAAATTGAATGGCGTGAAACGTGATTCATTGAGCATCTTGTTTTTGTTGGATTTTGTCGCGAATTCTCGATCATCTTGATCATCGATGATGAGGATTTCACTTGTCTCTTCGTGACTTGACATTAAACCATCAGAACTCAATTCGGTATGATGCATAAAATCGAAATGTGTGAATGGCTTTTTATTCGGAAATTTCTTATATCGTTCGGTGGAATTGAGAAGTGCAGATGATTTCTTGAATATCTTACGTTTAAGATCAGAATTCAGCGCTTTCGTGTTTCTATCTTTAGAATGGTTTGTTTTCTTGAGTTTTCTCACAGAAGTGATTTCATTCGAATCGTACATAGTCGACTGTGTGCTTGGAAAGTGATCAGTTGAAAGTGTACCATTTGACGAGATACTAAGATCTGTAGCCGATATCACTGGATTTGGTTTCGCTGAATGTACAATGCTTAATGGTGGTTTCTTCGAAGATCGTTTTGACAGGAGTCTTGGCATGAGTGATACCGGCGGTCGTTTTTCTCCGTGAAAATTTTTCCGAATGAAACTACAGATACGAAGTAAGGTTATATGGTGGAAGTTATCAAGATTTCAGATCGAGTGTATACGTGTTTAATTTGGCAGGGTTGAACGAAGAAAGACTAGCTCGTTCTTGCGTTCTTTCAGATGATTCTATTACTGTGGACTCTGATGTTGATTTATCATTGTGATTTCCTGGCACAGAGTTCTGACTTTTTAAATTTCTATCTTCTGTTTCCATTTTTTTAGTGAATGATGCCGCTGCCGTCGACATTATTGGCTGTTTCCTGATCGTAGAACCGGAATTCACTTGACCTGATTTCTGTTGATGAGTATGGTCATCATGTTCACGAAGATTCTCTTCTACAAAGTGTTAATCACTGGTTCTATGTTAAATTATCTCATACTCAGTTTGTCCACGTGGTCATTTTTCAACGATTTTTTCAGATGTTCCAATTGGTATCTTCCCTCTTGGCGACTAGAAGGATGAACTTGTGTCATTTTGCTTTTGAAAATAAAAATACAAACTGTTCGTCTGAATCGTGACTCGTGTGAGCACTTTTATTTGATTTTATATTCACATTCTTTGAAGAGATACAATCCATTTTTCATCAGACGCTAGTAAAATAGATCATACTTCTGGTATGCCGATGCTTTCCTTGGAGAGACTCTTCACTTTGTTTGCATCTGTCACAGGAATTCGATCTGACAATTGATAGTGATTTGATATGCTTAACGAGGAGACTGTATCTTCAACAGTAGGTTGAGTATCTTTGTCATGTTGTTCTTTATCAGTATGATTAAGAGTAGAAGTGTATGAAAATGATAACGAAGATGGGGCTTTAAAGTGATTTTGAAACGCTATTTTATCCGATACACTGCTTATTTTACTTTGAACATCCTCGGCGAGTATTTTCGACTGAGAGTACCTTTCCTTAACTGATAGCTCTGTTGTCGGTTGTTCGTCGATAGATTTCGTTTTGATTGCAGGATGATAAAGAGTGTCATTAGAGAAATCCGATTCATTGGATATCTTCTTAGAAGAGAGTGAATAATCTATGGCATGAAAAACAAATATCTCATATGTTAACTTTCGTTCATCAAATAATCTATCATTCTACCATATTTATCTGGGAATTTATGATGTAGATCTTTTCCTGAATCATCATTGTTTGCAGCTTTGGTCTCCTCGGATGTTGAACGATGAAACTGTGACTCTTCATTTAAGAACGGTGTCTCCGGAGACAATACTACTGACTCTGTGATGAATATACGTTCTGGATCTGTACTACAATAAGCTTAACAAAGCCTTTACCAGATATTTCTCCGGTAGAAACCTTTGAGGTTTCTTTCGGTTTCATTCCAAATTCATCGTATTCAAATACTTGGCTAAATCTAAGATGTATAGCTACAATCAATTCTATTATGTTTCATGCTATTTACTCTGAAGAAGATGATGAAAGTGGTTCGGGTGTGTTAGACATCAATGTAGCGAATACTCTGGATGCATTATTTATAATTCTCTAAATGTACATATGCGACAGATAGACTTTGGCAAACTGAGTAAGATATTCACAGTAATTTCAGCTGGAGAAAGTATGATATTCATCGATGGATGTACAATGCGAGACACTGTTGATGATGTCGAAAGCTTGAAACTATTATCTACATCTGTGCCATTCATTTTTTCGCTTGCAGGTCGACGTTCTTGATCATTCAGGGCTGATGTTACATCGATATTTTCGTCATTAGGATCAGCTGATAATTTTTCTGTTGAGTGCGTTGTAGGTCCATCTCTGGGCTTCGACTCCTGAGTGATGATATAATCATTTAAATGAATGAATGAAGAACGCGAATGTATCATATGAGGAACAATGAATTGTTGAACTGTGACAGGTAGTTGGATTCTATTACTTTTCTCGAAGGGTTGAAATGCATCTAGAGTAGCGAGTGATGCGCTTGGTTGTTCGGGTTCAATAGTACTCTGAGTATTTCTAATAATATCCTAAAGACAACATTTTTGGGAATACGATACGTAACCAGTTTTAGTTCCAAACTTAATATATCAATAATAAGAAAGTAAGACTTACATCTTCTCTAGTATCAACAGAAATTGATGACTTTTCACTATCTATTCGATCAACATCGGTATGAGTTTCATTTGTCTAGAATAATAAACTATTCCTATATATCTAAAGTAGAGCAAGTCTTACCATAGTACTATCTGATGGCAGAATAGGTAATGCTTTTATATCTTTTTTAGTATCTGATGCTCGTTGTAGGGCCACAACAGGCGCTTGATCTAGCGGTGTCCGTTCATCAACTGTTGATTGGGCGAATGTCGAAGATTTTCCTTCTTTAAACATCTTTGCAGACGCCGTGGGTGTATCTGAATGTTCGTCACGATCGTTATCGTTCGTTTTTTCCTCATCAATTGATGTTGATGAGGCTTGTGTACCTTGGATTTCCTGTGGAAACATCATTGGTAATCTTTGAATTAGTTTTGATTCAGTCATTTGATATGGTTCATGCGATATAGATGAATTTGGCTTAGGAGCGATGTTTGAGCCGACATGTTCTTTATTGAAGATGACTCTATCGACATTGCTTACAACTTCTAAAATGCCCACTTCATCCTCTTTTCTGTTATTATCATCATTGTTTGTTTGATTTATAATCGGCCGAGATAGAGAAGTGGAAACAGTATCTAAAGAATCAATCAGTTTGATCCTCAACTTGAATCAAGGAGAAATATGAGAGAACCAATACGTACCAGTTGTATTACTTGGATGATCTGATATTTTGGAAAGTAAGGAATTAAGCCATTTCGTCTCTGATTCATTCGTATGTAACTTATCATCGGTTTGGGAGGATGTTATTTTTGTTTTATGCTGATCATTGGGATCGTCGTCTTTTGTCAACGGATCTCGCTCCGCAGATTCAACCAATACCTGTTTTAATGTTTCCGTTGATATTTTCTCGCTCGATAACATATACGGCAGCGGTCGACATTGAATAGATCCAGTATTTTCTGGAGTTTTCATAGAATGACTTTGCGGTTTTACTTCAAGAGTGGTTTCTGGTAGTAAATCTGCTGATTGAGGTTTAGATATGGTATTTTTAACAACATTCTCGTTAATCTGTGTACTTTTGTCATCAACAGTTGATGAAATAGAGTTACTTTGTTGATCGGAAAGAACTTCCAGCTTATTCAATATATCTTCAGCTAACACAAAGCTTTCATTTGATTTCTTTTCTCTATTCATTTGTTTCATACACTGCATCATCAAAATTTCAATCTTTTCGTGATCCATCTGACCTAGTTCGGTCATATTTGATTGCATAACTGTAACCAGCTGTTTGATATTAGTTGCTAAACTCTCATTAGGTTCATAGTGAGCAGTCGCGATCACAGTTACAGATTCTACAAGATCGAAAACTGTGTATTATCTTTTCATGGGTGTTCAAGTATATAAATCTACTTCTCAATTTACTTGAGCTAGCGTTTCTAATAATGGGTGCGATTTCTCGTTTTACATCATTAACTTGTTGACTTTGTGTTAGTACATCTAACGAAAATTATTCAAAGTTCAAAACGATGGAAAGTTTTAGTGAAACAAACTTGTGGAAACTGTTGACTTGTGTTTATCTGCAATAGTATTGTTAGGTATTACTTCTTCGCTTTTAGTTATTCTTGTAGGCTGCGGTATTGAGCTTGCTACTGAGTTTGGCTTTCTTTGAGATGCAACAAATTCAATCCCTGTTGGTGCTGCTTTCAATCTCTCTTGTCTTTCTTTCGAATTTATATAATTAAAAACACCTTGTAAACGTTGATCGTCATTTTGTATTGTTTCTGGTGCTGCTGCTTTACGTAGTAATTGTTCAATTTCTTCCGACGAATGACCTTGTTCAAATAGACGATCAACATACCGTTTCCAGTTTGGATGAGTTGCTACCGTTGACCCACGATCATGGCGTCGGTGAATTTGTCTCACTGTTACTGCCATATCCATACAACCACTACATTCGGACGTTTTATGATTAGTTTTCGTCGTTGACCGATTGATTTGTCGATGTAAGTCTTCATCGAACGATTTGAATTCTGACATAGCATAACGTATTCTACGTTGTAATTGATCTACTGGTATATTATTTAATTTTCTGTTGGTGTGCAACCGTTCAATCTGAAAAAGAGTAAGATGAATGAATAGACTTTGTTCAATCGATTTAAGTACAGTATCAAGTAGTTGTTGTGCAATTTCGCTAGGTGAAATTTGAGATGATTCTTTCATTAGTTGACAGACTAATTCAGACCAGTGTTGACCTACAGAAATCTGTTTACCTAGGCTCCTTTGGAAAATGGATAAGTTACCATCTCTATCAGCAAGTACTTTGTAAATTTTTTCCTCATTCATAGCATCTGTTAGCGCATGGTTTTCTACATATAAACGGCATGTATCTGCTGTAAGGGTATCAACCTGAATTTGACGTTCGAGTCGTTCTGGATTATTGGTCTGTATGACAATCGTACTCGAAATTGCTCCATGTCCAATTATTGGATTAATGTTTTTCAAGCAAGTTAATTCCGTTTGACAGAGTTTATTTGTTTGAAATGGAAGTAATCTGGTCAGACGACTGCAATGTTTACGAGCACTCATAATCGCTAAACATTGCGGCGACTTTGGTGTTGCATTTGCTTCAACATCTGTGTTACCAGCATTCGTGAACTAAACAGAGGAAGCAGATGTATCAAGGACACCAACCGATAACAGAGCAAGATGATTTATCCTTGAATAAATCAGTCGATGATTTTGACATATAAGATATAAATATCTCAGCAATTGTCCTACGAAGAAGCTAATAAACTATTATATGTTCTGATAATACATCATACAAAAGATCTTTAATAACAGATATAGAAAATGGTAGATCATTAGCATAGATATTCGACTATTTCGTTCGAATGGCTGAGCTTTTCCCAACAAAAGAATTGAATGATGCTTGACTCACATTAGATACTTGTTGTAGGTCATGAGTCGATCCGACAGTTTGTTTAGTTGGTCGATTTGAATTGTACGCTAACATCATCTTCGTTTCAGTCTTATTTAATGAACCGTCAAGATCACTTGTATGATAGGTATTCAATGACTGGAAGGAATTCGACGATGTTTTCTCATTTTCCAGACCAATAATTGTTGGTAAAAGTCTTTCCAATGGTGACAAATTCCTTAACGTGTTGACTTGTACAGCAACTGTCCTATGGACTGAATTCGGATAGGAAACGTTCGTTATATTCAGCAAAACAATCGATTTGTCTGCAATGGTCTCATTTACTAATCCAGATAATGTTGTCTGACACGTTCGATTAGCACAAATAATATAACTATTCAGTGTCAATTGAGTATTGCATATAGAACAATAAAATCGATCGATTGGATTTCCATTCATAAATGTTTGACATTTACAATCTTTAAGATCAATATCCATCATTCGATAACATGCTGTACATTCAGCGAGAAGAATGTGTTTCATCTGTTGACAGTAACTGCATTGTCGTACGCAAGTGCCCAACGGTCGAGCTTCTTGTCCGGTCGATTTCGAAAACGATTGATTTGGTTTTTCGATTGTCATTATCGAAGAAGTTGATATGTTTGAATAACATGAAACATTCGATTCGAATGGTTTGCGCAATGATCGACGCCGAGTCATCGAATGATCCCCATTTCTACCTGATGGTTCAGGTAGCGTGATCAACAAAGACACATTCGACGATGTTGTGGATAAGGATGTTCTTGGTTGATTTAATGTTAAGATCGAATAATTATCATCATTCTTTTTCCGATGAGAATCCATACGAACTAACCAATCATGTGGGTGATTTTCATCGTCAACAGCTGATAGTTATATAAACAGTGACTCTTTACAATAAGATCCAAGAACAGAACAAGCAGCAAATCCGTATATATCTCGTATGATTCTGAGAAATACTATTCATTTTGTTTGTCAATGAACGCGCCAATTGATATTTCTATCAATTGCACATGCTTTCATAACTAGAAATATTACTCGATCTAGGAATCAGATTTCAATCGTACTAAATGTTTATAGATTTGTACAATGAAGGATGAGACAAGACATCTGAAGGACGATATCACAACTTGTCATACGTAATCACCACGTCCTTTATCGTCGCTCGCAGCGCTTGTAGATATACATAAAGAATATGATTATCATCTGGTAAAAATCGGAAGATTTTCTTGATAGATTTCCTAACCTTCGATTTCTACATATCATTGATAAAAGTGTCTGTTTATTCAGGAAATAGAAACGATCATCTATGTTGAAATACTCTGTGTGAGAGTGAGTGCAACCCGTCATCTAGTCTACAATGATTGATACGAAAAACAGAGATGATTTGAAAGAAATCGATTGTGTATGCGGAGAAAAGTGAATCATACTGTTCTAAATAGTCAGTTGAGTATGAGAAATATTTGTCATTATACAAAACAGAAGGAATAGTGATGGTAAAAACACACGAAGTGAATTAAGCAAAAAGTTCTTTCTTTTCTAGATAAACATGAGAAGATTGGATGATTTATCTTGGATAATCGGAAGCATTGAGGAAGAATCATCGACTAATGGCGTCGACGTATTCTTTAATGAATAGCTCACATGCTTTTGTTCTTTTCGACGCTGTTCATTAAATTTCGGTTGGAGATGATAGTCTGTAACTAGTTGATTGAGATCTCTCTTTGATGGATGTCGTTTTAACATTGATGGAACTGATAATTGATCGTCCACACGCCATTGTGGTGAAGGTGATGTGTACCAAGACGCACGAGAATGTTCATAGGATGGACGTAAAGTACATGATGAAGAAAAATGGTTAGATGAATTATTATTCAATGGAATTTTTTCGAGACTCGTCGTAATCAAACGTGATCGGCCGATGTGATATTCCGTGGTATGAGTTGAAAGATTATTATGAGAAGATGACGAAACTAATGGAAGTGATGATGGCAATTGAAGTTCATTTGGAGGTGAAGAATACAGTGCATCATCGGAGGATGATGCCAAAGATGAATACGAACTGATCATTGGAGGTTCGTGGTCAGGGATGAGAGACGTATCTTCGAATTCGTCACTCATATCTTCTAAGCATGCATTTTCTAATTCATTATCATTTAATATGTCGAATAGTTTCTTCTTCACCGACTCATTTCGAATTAATGTATCATCTTTTTTCTTGAGCGGACGATCTGATCGTTTTTCAATGTTAAACACTAGAAATAAATTCAATATTAATCAGAAGTCGTAAAGAAAGAGTGAACATACGTGACATACGTCGAGCAGTTGAACCAGTATTCATATAAGGTAAATAACTATTCCGAAGGATGTTATCATCCGATCTGTGTCGAACTTGTTGTTGATGAAAATCTCTCAATGATAGCGTCGAGTGTACACTATCATCTGTTGTTTTCGATATTATTTGATAGTTTCTGTTTTCGGGATCGTGTATCTGGATGAGATCATTAACTGAATGGCTTAGCTGCCGCTGTTTACTATTCGATTGTGTATTTGTCCATTGTGTACGGTAGATCAATGGTTTGTGTATTCGTAATTCACTTACATACCATTTCATATGGCTGGACACCTGAGATTCATGCGCTGGTCGTCCAATTTTGTCACGCATCGAATCAATTTCTGTCGTATGAGTTTGATCTTGCAAATAGTTGTGTACAATCGACGTTGTCACGTTTTGTTGACGATCATTGTCTTTAAAATCTATCAGAACAAACATATTCATGAGCGAATTGTGCAGAATTCGACATACCTTGATGTGACAGAGAACAAATGGTTGCGAATTCTTCAGCTATTTCATACACAGGATCATTATCACCGAGAAATTCTTCAAGTGCATACTTTAATTCAGGGAGATCAACTGAAAGTGAAGATATTGTCGAATGTAAATTATTTCTCGATGATGAATCATTGCTTAAACTTGATGTCGGCGGTGTAAATGTTTGATTTGATTTTCGTTCTTGTGCAATGTGCTCGTCTTCTGTACTAGCGTTGATTAATCGACGAGTCGGATGATGATCAATGCTTCCCATCGGACTCGACAACGGTGAACAAATAAGACCGTCACTCGAAGTCTTTTCTTGTCTTCGCCTTTCATCAATGTTTTCAGCTTCTAGGCATGGACAAATATATTTTCTTTTTGTTTGTATATAAGAAAGAATATCGAATGTTTACAAAATCTCACCATCATCAAGTTGAAGCTCGTTAAAAACAGATAAATTCTTCGGCAATTGTTTGGTCTCTCCATCGATCGCGAGAATTGTCGCGTTCGTTGGCGTCTTCTTCTTCACGATGGCTGTCGAAACGTCATAATGTAGCGGTTGACTTGGCACGTTTTTGATTGAAAGGGAAAGAGTTCGAACGGGAGTTGTTGATGGAACATGAGTCGGATCAGTTTTCGATGTTGACGATCGACATAGAGTTATTTTAGGAAAAGAGATGCCAAAAGCAGCCATTCGAGGCTCGAACGCAGAGGACGACGACGAAAAAAACAAAACTGAAATTATATAGGAAAGCAAGTTGGGAAGCGCGTAAATGACTTATTATCTCGAATATCGAACTAAGGTATTACTATCGATGAGAATAGGAAAGAGAGGATAGATCAAGGTTTTACTACGTTCTCATCAAATAACACCCTTTCTCTCGTTTTTACTTTTCATTGCCAAAGATCGTCTATCAGTCGTCAACAATGTCTATCTATCTATCTAATAGTGTTCCCAACAGAGATATTCATTCAGCAGAAATCAATCGACGTGTGCAGCGTACTGAGCTGAATAGCTTGTTCGATTTTGTCGAATATCGTCTTCCTGTGCGTTATTTTTCTCTTTTAACGATGCTCGGAGAATTCTCTGTATAATAACCCTCAAGTTCGAATACATCGCCAGTCGCAAATACGATTATGCAAGTGATTGTATAGAGAAATACGTAGGAGTTGTCCGTTCGTGCTCTATGATGATAAGCAAATAATTCAACAACAAAACTCCAAGAAGAAAATGGAGAGTAGATGATTTCTCTTGTCGATATATGCGTACGTCTCTGTCTGATTGTCGTTCTCTAATATCTCTCCGAGAAAAGAAGACAAGAGAGAACAAAGGCAGAAGGTACCAGATGAACTTATCTCACTTGCTTCAACCATCCAATGTCTCAAGATAGAATACGTGTGTGCTCTGTCAATCACGACACGTCTGCTTTTGTCTTGTGTAGAAGTAGGCAGAGAGAAGTAATGAACGTGATTGAGAGAAAAAAGAAATAGATCATCGTTTAAATATGATAAGTATGCGTAGTAAGTGGCAAACATACTGAAATGATCAATAGACAGAGTATAAATAGAATATGTACACATATAGAAGAGGTTGATGACGTAAGAAAGTGAGGAAAATATCTAACAGAGCCAGTAACAAATAACAGCTTTGATTCCGATAGAATACTCGAACAATAATATCCGTTCAGTTAGTATTAACTTGCATATCTTACTTAACAATGTTTGGCATTCGTTACTGGAGATAGTAATGTCGTAATCAGTCGCGAGATGAGAAGCGATTTGTTTTAGCTCTTTCTCGATTGCCTCGAAAGAATTCCAAGATTGATCAATAGTAGAAAACAGGTGTTCCGTACAGACTATGTAAATATGGATTCAAGGACATTATCAATGTCAAGTTCTATATGAATTGCAACATTAGCATAGCAAATGAAATATTTATGAAAGATAGTTTGTCATCATCATCGTCCTTTGGTAACATCAAAGAAATCCATCAATATTGTCATAACCGGATCTTCTTTGTAATTGATTGCTGGTCAATCGAAATTTGACGTGTAATATATATTTATTGAATAAGACAAGTTTTTGGCGTGAATGGCAAATGTTCGATCCATTCGTGTTCATTTTTCTACAATAGGCGTTTATTGTTCGAGTACAAGTCAAGTTCATATGTTGAAAATGTCTATTCTTTCGTCAGATTAATTGCTCCATACATATCCATCAAGATATAAGCTATCATTTTCTTTTTTTTCCATATCCTAGACATTGCTAACGATTGGTGACGTTCAGAATGACCTTTTGATGAATAAATGTATTAACAATTTTCATCAACAGAATGAAAGCTACGCGGGAAAGCGTTTACTAGAAGAAAAATAAAAATATTGGAGTTTTCGACGTACAAAATGATGTTTTAACACGAGATATAACAACTCAACTGGTAGAACATGTTCATCGAGAAAGATCATAGACCATATGATAGCATAAAAAATCATGAGCGTGGTTTGAATTATAATGGCAACTATCTAATTACTAGAATCTTAGATTTCCTCATCTGTTGTTATTATGTCTTATGTCATTGACTCAAGGTTCGAGTTATTCCAGAGAAATTATATGGTTCCCCAATTAGACAAGTCATATATCGACATAACACGGCACATTGTACAAATTGGAGGATATCGTTTCTATTCTGAGTCGTCAAGAACAACAAAATTAGTGTGGCATTAATACATATTAAAAAGATACTTCTATTCAACAAATCAAGTTTACAAATATCTTATGAACTATTACAATCGCATACATAGCGATGCAAATCGGATGTGATAGTTTAGTTGGATTTGGTTGATTTAATCATGGGTTTGGCCATTGGATTGACTGGTATACGTTGAGCACATGAAAGCACAATAACCATGGCTAATAGAAGAATATGATTTTGTTCTTTACTATCGACGATATCTACCCAATAGAAAGTTTTCGTCGGTGATGCATCTTTTGTCACGTGACCAACAGTATCACCATCTTTAGTGATGACGAATTCGTCAGAAGATGTTCCATCCTTCCGTCTTTCGATCTTGTAATCACCGTGAACACAATTAATTTGTAATTTATGCTCCCACAAAGGACCGGTTCGTTTAATTAAGGCTATTTGTCGTTCGGTAGCACCAGCATAAGTCGAAAATAATCGGTATGTCATATGCAAATGTAAACTATCTTGCCGAATTTTCATCATTTCATTGCCATTAGCATCGAAAATCTGTACTTTATCGCCCATAGTAAAGAACGATGCATTTCCTGTATAACGAATCGTTCCCGCATCATCAGTAATAGTAAATCTATTCTGTAAGGATAAATATTTTTCCTGTATTAGGTATCGTGTTGATAGAATTTGATTTTCGTTCATGATTTTTAGCTAGTCGAAAATCGGATTATTCATATTCGCTCGATGAGAAATAAACGACGAAATATCTCGTATGATCGATTGCATACACGTGCCGTAGGAAAGCGTAACGATGATCAAAATAGTAACCAAACACACATACACGAAGGTTACCTCATTTGTTCTATACTTGACAATATTCATTGGAAATAAGACAAAAGAAATGACGAACAACGATTTCTGACTCATTCGACAGGTATGGAGTGCAAATGTGATAATCTTCATATCCGATTATCCTCAATCCTTGGACATAATTGAGAGAATTCGTGCTTTTTCTGGTGAAAAACTCGGGAAGACTTCATTATGTTTGCAGTATGCATGGAAGAAGATCAAAAAGGAGAAAACGAATAACAACCTGATTGAAAAAAAAAACAAAACGAAAACAATATCGAAAGAAAACACACGATAATAGAAACTACAATATACACTTTTTCATGCTTGTATTTTTTTGCTGCTTAATCTCACCCATCATTTAGAACACACACACACATGAACAAATACATAAAGAAAGCAAAAGGAAAAGTTTCATCTTAAACAATCAGTTCCCCCGGAATAAACGACAAAAAAAAAGAATGAACAAAAAAGTAATGAATCAAGCACAAGGAATGTACACAAAAAAAAAGAAATTTTGATTTTTTCTTTTGTTTTTTTTCCCTAGAGAGCATTTCTTATCACATAATGCATATGATATGGTGGAACGAAGAATATGGAAGAATAAGATGTACACACTGATCTACAGCTACTAATGATCTAACGGAAGATTTCGATAGAAGAGCGAGAGAGAGGAAAACAAACTTATGTGATGGATTTGGAGAATGTATAGAAGAATCAATGGCATGGAGTCGACTGTTCGGCAAAAGTCAAGAAACTGTTCGATCATGCAGTGGACGGAGAAGAAGTCAGTTTGGGCTTTTTACAATCTAAGATTGTATCGTCGTCTTTATTAACAGCTAAGTTGAGTGGTTGATCGTGATGTTGTTGTTGATAAGATAGGCGTGCTGTTAATGATAATGGAACGGCTTGTTTACGTTTTGTTGATGTCGAATTGGATGATATTGATGATGATAAGGACTGTGATGGACTACAATGTTGTTTATCATTGTCACCTGTACGATCACGATTACTATCAAATGATTCGGGTGACGACGAATTCGATCGATCGCTCTTCGAAATGGTGGCTAACAATGGACTCGTTTTGGCATTGAATGTCGGTGAAGAATTATTCGAAGCATTATGTGCCGCAAATAGAAGTGCAGCTGTGGGATTCAAACTCGATGGAATTGTTGTTGCAGTCGGTGAATAAATAGAAAATAGTTGCAGAAGTTGATTTTGCATCTGCGTTGGAGATGATGTGGAATTCGGAAACTGTGATGGTGGTGGTGACGATGAGTTATCATCATTTTCTATCGAATAGAAAGGAAATTGATTCGAAAACGAGTCACTTCATACTCAATCTAATTACCCGGAGTGTATTTCATATCGTTGTCTTGATCGTCTGGACTAGTTGCAGGCTGATATGAAAGTGACGGTTTTTTATTCAAACTGGAATAAATCATATTGGTTGAACCGCCATTTCGTTTCATACTCTTTCGAATTTCATCTGGTGAACGCATAAATCGATAGAGTAAACGTTTGGATTGTTCTTTGGATATAATGTTGTTAGAATAATAATAACGCATTCCACGTGATAACTTTTCGTATGTCATTGAGAGACGATTCTTTTGAAGACCTACAAGAGATGAAAAAGATCATATATTGAATGGCAACGAACAACTGAACATACCCCAAAGAGCAGCTAGTTTGTCAGCTTGGATAATCCGAAAGATCATCTTCTCTCGATTTTCCCAATGAATAATCGACTCATAGTGTGGATCTTCGAGTAAAATGTATAAAAATTCCCATAGGATTCGGCAATCTACGAGAAATAAGATATGAACGTTTGCAAAACAAGCTAACAAAATGAAAATGTACTTTTTGCAGCGGGTGGTTTCATTAGAATATCTCCACGAAAATCGATTCGATCGTGAAAATAACGTATTTGTCTTGTACTATCACTTGTTAGACCATTTCGGTCAACATCATCATTCATTTCGCCTGTATTCGTCACATCATTAGGCTGATGTTTGATTCGCGACAACAAGTGTGAACGAATTTTGAATGGAGTGGTATCGTGGTTCAAACGGTTTGATTTCGATAAGAACGACGATGATGATTGAGGGGAAGATGATGGCGAACTTGACGTCACAGGTGGTGTGGGTGCCGTCTCGTGCTGCTCAATATCCACGTCTTCATCATCCATACATTCTTGCTTTACCGATGGACTAATCGTTGTTGCCGGTGTTGTTGTCAATGGTGAACTATTCGGTGTTGGCTGACGGTTTGTTTGTTGCGTACTCGGAGATATTGCTTCACGTTTGACACCAGCAGAATCATTCACCGGATAAAGCGTGTCAGATTTGTGTGATGCTTTGACTAGAGAGAGAGAGGGTAGAGGGGAGGCAATCGAAGCGGTGAAGAACTTGTTTCTTCGAACTTACCTTCTGAAGCGTAGGATGATACCGAAGATGACGACGACGCCGATACTTCACGATTTCGTGTTGACTGTTGTTGATGAGAACTATAGAAAGGTGATTGATGATTAATCAAAGGCGTTTTCGGCATGAGATCAGGTCGACCGAACATGTAATTAAATGCTGGATGCATACAAGCTGCAGCTGCAGCAGCGGCAGCGGCTGGATGTGTTAGAACACTACCAGCATTGGGATGAAACGGCGGAATAGTCAGTGTTGTTGGTGGTGGAATATTGAAGCGACGTGAGGTTGCTGCTGCTGAGGACGCTGAGGACGATGATGATGAAGAAGAAGACGAAGGAAAAGCAAAAGAATTCCATAGTTGATACGGATATGCTATAAGAAAATTGATTTCGTTTTCGTATTCAAAAATCAAAAGTTCTTACATTGGCATTGCCATGTTTTGAGTGTCGCTCGATGTTGTTGTAAAGCTTTGTATAACACATCACCCGAGCGTGGTGAACGTTGTTTGAAACTATCTTCATTTAATAACAATAGTGCTTTACCTTGATAGATAAAAAAGAAAAGATTTATATTTGGTAAAAGATGCTTCTCGTTATGAAAATAATCGTACCATTCATTTCGAAGTCGTTTAAATTGACATCTCCTAACGAATATTCATCTATACAATATTCAATCCATTTCTGTACATCACTCTTCGACCAGGAATCAATTGGATGCACTAAATTTCGAAAAGAAAATAAAGAATTCTTTACTTCTTCAAACATTGTCGCTCGATTCGAAATGAAATACGTACATAAATTTTGTGGTAAGTTCATTTTAAATGTTGCTGATGGGTAGCTATTCGTCGGTAAATGTGTATTAGCTGTCGACACCGCAGAATTCCCGCTATGTGCTACCATGCTAGAATAAGAAGGAAACAGATAAACAAATGGACTCTGGTTTGTTCTTGCGCACACTTCTATATATATATCTAACGAAAAAAACGAGAGCCAGGAGAAAAAGAATAAGAAAAACAGAAAGGAGCAGCAACGCACATCATCTTATCCTTCCTTTTCTGTATATATACACAAGGAAGCACGAAAGACAGCGGCAGGCAACGACGACGGTTGTGCACCTGATAATATGGTCATCACTCCCTCGATAACGAACGACACGTTTTTTTCTCTCTCCCTTCTTCTTCTTCTTCTTCTCTTTTGTCGTTTTCTTTCAGCCATTAGTTATACGATAAAGGCAGGAAAAGAGTGAAAATAATTCGAAAAGAATGGCATGAGAAACTTGCCTTCCAATACTTCCGAAGACTAAACATGTACACATCGATATTTCCTTTATGTGTAACGAATAAAAATCGAAATATAATCAAGATACACAGGCATGAGTGTGTGTGAGAGAGAGAGGGGCTAAGGGAAACGTGTATGGGCGAAAGAAAGTAAGCGAAGAGCGAATGAATAAATAAGTAAAGGAAAAAAGTGGATGCAACCGATGATGCATCACGAAATATATACTATCACACGGAAAAGAAAAATCATACCACCGTGTAATATAGATGCCTACTTATAGACACAATAGGAATAATTTGATCAAGGCGAAGAAAAAGCACAATGAAAAGGAGAACAGTGATGTCTGCATTATGTATCTATTAGAAATACATACTTTCATATTTTTTTCTCGTCTTTATTCGATGATTCTACTGAAGTAGGATCATCGATCCATATTTATATTTATAGACAGCTATTCAATGATCAATGACGTCGATGAGAGTATAAATGGATTGAATATTGTATAGATGAATATTCGTTAGGAGATGTCAATTTAAACGACTTCGAAATGAATGGTACGATTATTTTCATAACGAGAAGCATCTTTTACCAAATATAAATCTTTTCTTTTTTATCTATCAAGGTAAAGCACTATTGTTATTAAATGAAGATAGTTTCAAACAACGTTCACCACNTATGTTTTTGATAAGAGTCCATCTAGGTCAATGATCACATGATGATGATAGTGATTATGATTGAAACAAGAGGCCAGTTATGATGACCTACTTCTTCAATTTTTTATTTTGGTCATCGATAAAACATCAGGAAAACGAAAGGAGGCGAAGAAGAACAAGAAGACGAAATTTGAATTCAATATGTTTTCTATACAGTTAACCGATGGATTCGTTATAACATATATGTATACGTATGTAAGATGAATGACTGGTCGAAAGAAGACCTATTTCTGAGACAACCTTCAGTTGATTAGAACGAAGAATAATAATGTAGTCGAATGAGAACAAGAAGAGACAAGTTCAGGGAAGTGCCAGTAGGCAGACAGACATGATGATTGATGGGGAGAAGATAGGGATTTGAGTATTTGGTTTCGATTATACTTACAGCATTGTTTCGTTTTTGGTTGTTGAAAAGTAAGAGAGAATACTCACAAATGACCTCCTTCCTTCGAAAATTTATTGTGGGTCAAACAAAGAGAAGGATGAAGAGAGAGAGGACGAGAGGGAGAAAAGAGAGATCCATTATTTTTGATTTTACTGTCTACGTTGATGTCGTCTACCTTGGAAGTTCAAGAGCGCGATTCTTTTACAGAGAAGGACATATTCCGTTTTCTTTTCGCTCTCTTTCTCCCGTTATTCGTTCTTTTATTCCCATATATTGTTCTGTTTTCTGTGCTCATGCCGACTTTCGGTCATTCTGCGATGAGAAAAGAAAAGGAATAATTTCAAGTTGCTTTTTAAATACACACATATACACAGGCTGGCCTTGTTCTGTTCTTTTTTCTTCTCCATCATCATCATCTACCCTGTCTACCTGTCGAGACGACGACAGACAGAGAAGAGGAAGGTCCGAAACGGCATATAAACTAAAACAAATTTTTCGTTTTTCTTTCTTTCTTTTCTCGTTCATACTAGATTCATTGTGTTGAACGATATCCGCACCAATGCACTCAGCATACACATATATATATATATATTTCGGTCTTTATCTCGGTGACCTCAAAATGAGAACGAGCACTAAAGTATGTGCAATTTTCTCAATGTGAAGTGCATGCATGGAGGTGACCGGAACAAAACATAAAAGAAAATATTTCGTCTCGTCCCTCTTAAATTTCTCCACCTCCTCCTCCTTCTTCTTCTTCGTCTTGAATTTTTCATCTTATTGTCATGTTCCATCAATGGCACCATTGTCATGTCGTACGATACTGAACAATTACCATTAAGAAAAGTCATTATCGATCGTAAGATGCAATCGTTTCTTCACAGACTGTGACGTTTAGTTGACCCAATTAAAAGATGAGTATGTGCAAAGACGATCAGCAGGTGTTTACATGCAATGATGATGCTGATAAGACCAATGATAAACATCAGTCAATTGATTGCACGTCTTTACGCTAATCTCTGTTTTTCCTCATCGTTATTGGACGCCGAGCGAAGTGCTAATGTAAAGATGATCGTATCAACAGTTCTTTTCTTCTTCGTTTATTTTGTCATATCCTTTCGTTTACAATACTCAACCTAATAAAAAATTGAAGAAGTAGGTCATCATAACTGGCCTCTTGTTTCAATCATAATCACTATCATCATCATGTGATCATTGACCTAGATGGACTCTTATCAAAAACATACTACTTGTATGTTATAGGTTTTCAATTCTTGTCATATGTAAATATACGACTATGATCATATTCATTCCCTCGCTCACTTGTTCATATCGGAAGAAAAGAACAAAATATCATCGAAGTGAAGGAGAAATAAATGACGCCCTTCACGAAGTCTGTTCAGTACGTGTGTGTATAGACGACGATGGTATTTTTCAATGAATAGAGAATAGTAAAATTTCCATTTTATACGCTATGAATTTGATCGTTGTTGGTTTTGCTTCATTTGACTTATGCATCGCTTCAATTCTAATGTTCCCGTCTAGTGAATGGAAATGGGACACGACTTGAAAGAGCAAAAAAAAAGCAGCGACGAAAACGAAGAAGTAAAATGTTAAAGAAAAGATACGCCCTTGACGGAAAGCAAGCGAGTCGAAAAAAAAACGAATTGTTAAACTTTGTTCGCGGAAGATAAGAAAATCGTTGGTTTACTAGAGAAGAAATTTGTCTTCTGTTTACCATCATCATACATAGCTCGCTTCACCTTATGCCTATTCATTTTTATGATGAAGACGATAAGACAAGAAGAATATATGTGAATATGACACTTTAAAACACGAACGAAGCGAACGAATGTCCTCGGCAAGGAAACGTTTCTTTCAGTCACACGACAGCAACCATAATGATGACGATGACGGAGGTTTTTATATTCTTAACTATTTTACTGATAACATTAGAAAATAAAACTAAAAATAGATAACATCATCAGTTAATTTAACGCTTATAAACAGAAATATTCTGATTATTTTCGGTAGGGAACTTAAAAAATCTGTCGTCGATCGACAGTTTACTGAAAATAGACACCGAGTGCAACAAATCCGTTATGTTTATTAAGACATATCAACAACTGCGGCCTAGATGAACGCGCCTACGAATCGATTGTCCTTACCTTGTCAGCACTTGTACGATTCGTTTGTTGTGGTTGCTAATCTTGATTTCCTATTTCAACGGCGGACTTTTTCTTTTTCGATCAAAAATAGAATAGTAGCGTTAACAGAAAGGTAGCAACGCACTTTCGTTCTCACGCAGAACAAATACAAAGCAGCCAACCCGGAACTTTCGAAACGTCGTTGCGCGTGTTCCGGAATGACATTTTTTCTCTCCCACCTTTTTCTCTTTGCATTGCTTTCTTTTCGATTTTTTTTCGATTCTTTTTTTTTCAAAGATTTGTGACGATCGCTACTCGACAAAAAACAATAATAACAACAAAAACAACAATAACAAAAACTGAAAACGATTACATCCCTGTAGCCAACTGCGAACTGACATTTTTTCTTTCGTTATTTCCACTTGGATTATGGAACGAGCTCGCACACGTATGTGCGTAATTTTCTCATCACTTTCTACGCAAATCAGCGGTTTAACTTTCGCATTGTTTTTCACATACGCCTGACTATCACACGAATAGCTGTCTAAGATGCTCTCCTCTCTTCCCGGCAATGATTGCATTCATGCAATTCGTTTCTTATTTCTTTCATCGTCAAGCATCCGTGTGTGCACACCCTGGCTTTTGAAAGGGTTGTTCTTCATTCTTTTCTCTTCTTTTTCTCTGTCTGTTGATTTCTTTGCCAATCGCGTATATATGTAAATGCACAGATGCGAGCGGGAAGTATAGGTATTGAGTGCGTTTTCGTTTCCTTTCTTTCCCGCGCATTTTCGTTGTGTGTATGTTGAAGAGTAGAAAAAAAAGAAGAAAAAAAAAGTAAACCTTTTTCGAGGACACAATCGAAGCATACGAGCTTGTCGACAATGAAAGGAAAACAATACGATTCAAAGTTATGTGGGATATATCAGAAGAAAAAGACGAAATCCGTCGTTGGAGTGTGCTGCATAATTGACTGTGATGTATATGAATGCCGGAGGAGAAGCAACGGAGGCAATTTTAAAATGAAATAAAATAAAAAAAGAAACTGAAATTTCACTTTCGCAGTCGATTTTATATGGGTGTATGTACAGTGATTGTAAACAAAACTTTCCTTCTTCTTTTCTGTCTAAGTTATTTGTACAAGATGAAGAAGAAGTAGAAGTAGAAGATGATGATGAAAACGTTTTAACAATCGACAAGCATTTCTTGTCTTGCCAATGTCGCTCTGACAAATTCAATTTTCATCTTCAAATATCAATTCTAGCTTAAATATTTTCGCCACAAAGAATTGAATCAACGTGAATGTCTATGAAATAAATATAAAATCCAGTCAATACAGTGCTTGTATCAAAGACAAAGCACACATATTTCTAAAGTCTACTAATCGTTCTGTATTTTTTTCTTCTTTCTTTTTTTGTGCCTGTTCTACGAAGTAAAAGCAGCGCACACGAAAAGCAAATAGTTACATTAATATATTATCACATGTGCTGTATATAAGAACACTGTAAAAGAAATAGAAGCGGAGGTACATTCGAACAAATATGGGAAATCAACAAACCGCGGCTAATTTTAGTGAAAAAGATGTACAATTGCTAGTTAAACTTAGCAATAGGACTGAAGCAGAAATTCGACAATGGTACAAAGATTTTCATATCGAAAGTGATGAAACAGATCGAATGAATAAACGACAATTTCAATTATTCTATACAAAATTACGACAAAATCCGAAATTGCAACAGATCACCGATCATATATTTCGAGCGTTTGATACTAATCATTCCGGTAAATGATACGCCTTTTCCTGTGTATCGAACGCAACATTTGATTTTCTGTTAAGGTACAATTGATTTCAAAGAGTTCCTTCTTGGTTACATTGCAACCACAACCGGAACAAATCGTCAGAAATTCGAATATGCATTTGATGTGTTTGATATCAACGAGAACGATGTTATTGAGAAGAAAGAAGCAGAGAAGATTATAACGATCATTTGTCGAATTCTTGGCCTTTCCCAAGAAGATGCGAAAACTTATACCGAAACAATTATGCTCTCCTTCGATGAAAATCGTGACAAAGTTGTATCAAAAGAAGAATTTATCGCCGGATGTTTGCACGATCCAACACTAGCCAAGATTGCCACTCCATTTGACCTTTAATCTTCATACGGACTTCCATCTGTGATGTTTTTTTTTCTTCTCGATAGAAAAACCTTCATTGCGGGTTGTATAGTGAAAACATTTCTCTAGATTTATGTAACAAGAACGCTCCGTAGAAACGAGCAAACGTACGTAAAGAACAACTTTGAAATAGTTACACTACATCATGTATACAAAACAATATTGAATACATAGATATACAATGAGAAAGAAAAGAAAAGAGAGAATATCTTGATATGTGTATTTTCAAGCAACTGATGACTAGTGTTAGAAATAGATCGATTGAGTCAGTTTTCATTCTACCAAGCGATGTCAACATTAGAGAAAATATATGTATCAGCTTGACGCATTATGGAATCGAATCGATCAAATAACTAAAGACAAATAGTTGATAATAGAAACATAACATGAGACAAACAAGATTTACTTCTTGTAACCAGGTTGTGTCACCACAGATTGCGCTGATTAATTCCGTCGCATCAGCAGTTGGATTCAATGTTTGTAGTTCCGCAACCTGGAAAAGCGTCAGATTGAAATGGTTAAATGAAAAGAACATTGAAAATTTACTTTTTGTTGAGCATGACAAAACATGTGATAGATATGATGTTTTAGTTGATGAGCCGTTTGAGCTAGAGCAGCGATGTTTTCACAAACAAAGATTTCCTAGAGAACGAAACTTGAGTATGATTAATGAATAAGAAGAATATCTTACCAGTGTTTGTAACGGCGTTTCACTCGCTTTTAATGTATCAACATCGTATTGATTTCCATGGAAACGTAGTGTATGTGTGACAGACTGAGATTTGTCTTCTGTGACCTGAAAGAGATCATTGTCTAGCTGGAATTTTCATGAGAGTAGTGCGTAGAACTTACTTGACAATGCAATTGTCTTTGTGGTTGTGCGATGATATCGAGCAATGGATATTTAGCAACAGCGCACTAATCAAAATTGAAGAAGTTTCGTGAAAACTAGACTAACTTCTCGAAAATAACATACGGGAAAGGTTTCGATGGTACGTCGGGATTGAATCACATAATTATAACGTTGTTCAAGAATTTCATCAATTAAGCGAATATAAGTCGCATATTCATCTGAAAGTTCATACAGTTTTTTGTCTGACAAGAAGTTTTACATGGAAACGAACCAGTATTAGCTTTAATTCTTGGCAAGACATCAGCATCGTAAACGTGATTGACTAATACTTGGGCATACACATCATGTTGAATACGAACTGAACTCATATGACCATGAATTCTAGCACAAAATAGAGTGAAAATTTAATTTTTAGATTTCTTTTCTTTTACTTTAGTTTGATAGGATGTGATTCGTTGACGATACGAACAACCTCTTGGTTGTTGTGCAAACCTTTGAGTTCGCATTTGAGTGGAACATAATCTTCGTAGACGTTGGTATAAAACATCCCCTTGGAACAACATAAAGTCAATGATATGTGAACACAACCGTGATTTTCTTACTTCATCCGTAGCTTCCCATGCGATTTCAGAATCAGCAAGTACGGTATCATATTTAAGTAGAAGTGTTTTGGTATGAACTTTCCATATTGGAAAATGAAGCAGATTGAGAAAGTGACCTTTGTATAGCAAAAATTGGCCCAATTCAAATGGGATCTCTGGTCCTGTTTCTGCCGCTAGAACATCCCATTATAGACAGTAAGCAAAAAAACTTGAATATTCATCCTACCTCCTTCATTAAACTGATGTTCTCCTGCAGTAGTAACTGCCATTGCTTGATCAGTTGTTGTTGACACCGCCGATTCTTGTTGTTTTGCAGCTGTTGACAGTGCTTGTTCGCTTTTCATGTCGTATAACGAACTAAACAATACCATCAAATATTAAGATACACATGTATATCAATGATAGTTATATTAGATTTACTTGGTATTTGTCGATTGAGTTGTTAATGATTGTTGGTACATTTCTGATTGTCCATCTGAAATATGCACATATTTTCGAAAGAGCAATGTTCGTTATGTTCATACTTGGTTGGTTGGAGCCGAAATTCGATTTGGAGATCGCTGCTGCTAATAGTGCATCAGCTGTTTCCTATGAACACCAATGAATCAGTACGAAAAATGTACAAAAAGAATTTACCTTTTCACTTTGTACTCGATTCATTTCATTGATTGCATTTTGATTTGTTTGTTGTTGTTGTTGACCTTGTACCATTTCATTCAATTGACTAAGTATTGCAGCTGCCGATGCTGTCGCTGATTCAATACCTTCTGTTCCGTTCGGTGCTGATGCTGATGATACAGTTAAAGTTCCAGCAGCTAATTGATTAAGTATATCTTGCGGCAGAGTAATCGTTGTCTATAGGTACGTTCAAGAAAATCGTGCAACTAAAAAAAGGAGGCTTACGCACCGAATTATTGAGAATACCTTGTACAGTCTGTCCATTATGGAACAAACCACTCAAGGCATTGATATTCTGTTGTGTATTTGGCGTTAATGTTATTGTCTGCGGTACAAATGTCGCTGCCTGATTTGCATTTGCATTCGTTGGAAGATTTTTCAATAAAGGATTGATTTTAACACCTTTACTATCATCGTACAAAGGCCGGCCAATTACCATAATTTCTTCGATACGTGATTCATCATTAACCATATATGTCTGATAGCCCATCGTACCAGTTGGCTGACCAAGAGAACCGAGAACAATGCCAGCGTTAACTGCACCGATGTAAACGTTATCTTTGGGTTTGCGCATGATAGATTCACTAGCTAGGGCTTCTAACGACGGGAGCTTTTCACCCGCGAGAAATTTCAAAAACACATTTTGGAAAGAATTTTCTTTTGGATCATAATGAATTTCAACTGAAAGAAAATGAGTTTTATTGGTATTACATTGAAACTAATACAATGGGTAATCTTTTACTTGGCTTTCGCTTTGGTGGTGGAGCGGTAACACGTTGAACTGATTCTTCGACGTTTTGAACGTGAAAGGCATTTGTATTCACCTAAAAACACATGGCATCAATCGCAAAATTGGATATTATCAATATATCTTACTTTGCTTTGAAATGATTGTTTATGTGGTACGATGGATGGATTCATCGTCGCCGGTGCAATTGCTTTCGGAGTCGGTTTTGGTTGGATAGGTACGGGTGTTGAAACAACTGTTGGCACATGTGCCGTCTGAAGAGTGGGCATGGACGCGATTTGCAAAATTTGCTGTTGTAGACCAGCTGGAACTTGAGCCAGTTGTTGTTGATCAGTATAATGATTGAATAACGAACCTAAATACCCCGAAAATAATCACATGAAGTCTTGTAGATTGAAAAACATGTATAATCAGTTCAAATCAGTGAAGTAGTAGTGTGCATTGAGTTGTATTCATAGAAGAATATTTCATATATCCGTTCTTTCGATTAATCATCATTTTTGAACTGATAGATTGTTTATTATACCAAAAGGGTATCTTACCATCTTGTAAAAGTGCATTGATATCTTGGTCTTTGTCGATGATAACATCTGAAAGCATACGAAAACATGATTCAGTATAAATTTCCTAGAGAATTTCCGTTCATTACATTGATCTTGTCCTTGATCATCGGTAATAATCAGAATTTGTTGATTTTCAGTGATATGATTCTGTAATTGATTGATTAATTCAGCTTGAGCTGTCGCTGCGGTTGTATCTTGAATAATAACGAAATCATTGTTTGATACAGCGTTCGCTGGTACTCCATTAGTTGTCGCCTGTAGAACCGCGTTGGGCAAAACTTGTGCCGCACCAACGGTCGTCAATGGAACAATATTTCCATACATATTTGCAGGAAAAATCTTTCAATGGATTAATCTTCCTCGCTCGTTTCGTTTCGTTCGTTTGACACAAAGAGAAAATGACGCGTATGATTGGTGCTTTCTTTGCGCCAATCGTATGACGTACAGAAGGAATCGAGTCGAGTGAATGAGGGCGCACATGACGATACAGCTGTTCGTTGTCTATAGATTTAGTTAGTCTATTGAATAAACGATGGCTGAAACAATGTCGACGACTCGAAAAGGTTTTCTACGAAGATCTATTCGTCTCGAATTACAATGCGTTTTATTTTTAGCTCCCTTCTCATTCTGGCGGTTCATTCAAGCTGAATTTACCCGAGATTATATGCTCGAATGTGAAGAACAAAAGTATCTCGAAAAACGAGAAAGAATTTACAATTTTCTTTTGATGTCATCAAGTCTTGAAAAGGTAAAAAAGAAGTTTCCATACTGAACATATTTAGCGAAGAATATCATCGATCCATTTGGTTTCCTATTCATTGGAAACTGAGTGAACTATTTTTCGCAAAATCAAATCATATCACCGAGGAACAACTGTAGTAGATGAAGTGAACGACTACTCGCAGCTACACTCGATTAAAGATACATTTTTTTCATTGAGAATACTTTTCTGTTTATTGCAAATCAACTCTTTATTTCAGTTTATGCTTTATGGCTTTTGTCAATGTTTGGATACATTTCTATACGTTTGGACATTCTTACCAATACGCATTACACTTGCTCTGATACAAGCGATTGGTACACTATGCCGATTTCGAACGTCAAAACAGTAAATGGGAAAACGATTTCTCTTCTCGGAGACTTTTGTCTTTTTCTAGTTCTCGTTTATTCGAACCCGCACAAATTATTGATATCGTTAAAGGCTTGATTGTACTTGGATGTGCTGTTCCAATGTGTTTTATGGACATATCCGTCGTCTATCATACCGTCCGTGCTCAAGCGGCAATTAAACTCTATATGTTTTTTAATATGCTCGAAGTCTGTGATCGATTACTGTCCTCATTTGGTCAGGATACACTCGATGCTGTCTATTGGACGGCCACTGAACCACGTCGTAAACATAGTGCTGGAAAATTATTGCTTTGGTTGATTATCGCGATTGTTTATTGCAGTAAGTCATCTGATCTCGTTGACGAAAGATCTCATTGAGTTGTTATGCTTTCAGCTATTCATGCTATACTTGTTCTTCTCCAAGCAATAACGTTGAATGTCGCATTTAATTCTCAAAATAAAATGTTGCTAATTATAATGTTAACCAATAATGTAAGTGCGATGCATTCTGATGACGAAGTTGACATTAGTTTGTTTTATTTAGTTTATTGAATTGAAACATAGTGTGTTTAAGAAATTCGATCGGAATAATTTATTTCAATTATCATGTAGTGATTGCCGAGAACGGTTTCATTACGTGATTCTATTGTTTGTTGTTTGTGTGCGTAATCTTGATCAGTTCGATTGGGACATGAGTCAATTTTGGCCGTTGATCGATTTTATTGTAGTTGTTTTTGTTGTGGAATTTTTTGTCGATTGGGTCAAACACGGTTTCATTCTCAAATTTAATGAACTTTCCTCCGAAGTTTATCGAGAATATACATTGAGTTTAGCTCACGATATGGTCAAAACCAAACAAGATATTGTAAGTGGATACTTCTTCTTCCGCGAAGTTCTGTTTATTATTTCTTGTCGCAATTAGGCTTTATCGGATTATACAGATTTGCTTAGCCGTCGGTTGGGATTCATACCATTGCCTTTCGCATGCTTAGTTTTCGGTGTTCTCTTTCAAACAGTCAATGTCAAGACAAGTCTGTCTGTAATCAATGTGATATTAGCATTTTTCTGGTAAAACTTGCTTCTCTACGTTGTCTTCTCAACTTTTCATTTATAATTCTAGTCTCGTAGCAACAAAAACTGTCGTCGGTACAATTCTACTTGGTATCTCTTGTGAATATGTGAATAATAATCGAAAGGATACCATGGGTAGTACAGTATCGATCAAAGAACAAGTAGCGAATGCAGCAACAACCGCTAATGATCTATCCACAGCTGAAACGACACACCCAGTACCGCAGCCCTTGGAAAAAACACATACACGTAGTCTGAGCCTTGTACATTTGAATGAATTAGCCAACCAAAAATTTCCATCCGAACCACCAGGCCTGCCCGTTATTGACGGTGGAGATGAACTGAATGAGACGTCATTTCGTGATGCCGATGACAATTACCAATGCTTAATCAACGATCAGAATTGTCCACCAACGCCGAACTTCTCTAAAGCGACGGCACCCAGTTTTATTCTAAATGAAAATCTAAATAATAATAACAGTTCCACGACTTTGTCAAGCATCACGAATAAAGATGAAGGGATTATGTTCACAGCTTCATCATCGGCAGCTAAAAAGCCGGATTTAGACGATGTAGAACGATTTAAAATGTGTGGAAATTCCATAATTGCTTAACGTTTTCCTTCTCATCAAATTTTCTCGTTGTTCTTGTTCGGTTATGTCGTCGAAGTCAAACAAACGTTCATTTTTCTAAATTCTCTTTTGTTATAATAGTATTATAATCATCGCTATGTTATTACTGTTTCGTTAAAAAGAATAAAAAAACTTTCGTTAACAATCATCAATTGACACGGAGTAATTTCTTGCATCGACAAGGAAAAGTTAGGTTTATTCGTTCATCTTTTTGAACGTTTTTACAGATCACAATCAACTTTAAAAAGCACAAGAAGAAATTTTGCTAAAATAGAAACTTTCGCTAGTATAAAATAGAAAATGTAGACACTGAGAAATAGATACATGAAAATTTCATTCGATTATTTTTTTTGATCTTTTTTTGCATCTTTAGCAACATCTTCACCGAGCTTTTTTGCTTCTTCTGCTTTCTTCTTCAATACTTCTTGTGCTTGTTTGACCGTTTTCTCAGACACACCGTTCTCTTTGAAGATCTTGCCTAATTCCGATACAGTTTCTGTGAGAAGTTTTTGTGCTTCAGGTTTCTTCCCTTTGGCTTTTTCGATCGCTTGTTTCAATGTGTCATACTGTTCAGAAATTTGATCTTTTAATTTTGGGTTGTCAGATACTAGTTTCTTGTAAGCATCACCACCGACGTCACCAGCTAGTTCTTGAAGTTCTTTGACACGTTTTTGGAGAATGTCGACAGCTTTGCCAGCTGTTTGTGAGTCTAAGCTTCCTTCTTTGGCGAGTTTTTCGAAATCTTTGTATGTTTCGTCGAAGATCTTTTTCACGTCATCACCATGTTCCTTGCTGATTTGTTCGATCTGATCGAAGACTTTGCCGAGAAATGGTGCTGAGCCAGGAATTAATGTGGCACTAGCTGAACGCAAATAATTTACAGTATTGGCGGCACTGTCAGCAGAGTCACCGGCTGTTTCTTTGACTTTGCTTTTTAGTTCTTGAGCTTTGTTGAGAGCGTCACGTGCGGTATTTACAACTTGACGCGTGCCACTAAAGTGGTACCAGGCAAAACCTGTGAGAGAAAAAGCATTCAGTTTTGGATAAATGATAAAAGGTCAACTGAGTGTGTTTAGCGCGGTGTCTTCACGTGTCATGCACTGCAAAATCACTACACGTGTCTCGGCCTCGTGACTGGAAAACGTACCTCCGAGAAGGACAGCAAGTCCACCAGCGGCACCGGCAGCAAATGGAGATCCTTGCGCTTGTTGGGCTGGAGCAGCATTGCTTGATTGCTACAAACAAAGTTCATCGATAACTAATGTCTATCGTCAGAAAAGAAAATATGAACAAACCCAGCGGTAAGGAGCAGCAGATCGGATGGTTGGATTGACGCGAGCAGCTCGCACAACGGCGTTGAAAGCTATACGATTCATCGTTCTTTTACTCTTAATCAGTAAATGTGAGGAGTGTACGTATATGTCGTTTGCTTTTGTACGCAATGGGTTAAATAGTACTTGCACGCAATCGATCCTCCTCTCCTCCTTTCTTTCTCTTTTCTTTGAAAAGAGATTGGTAGTCGGTTAGCCAATTCTTGGATTCTGCAAAAGAAAACCAGATCTCACTAGTTCCCTATGTAAAGACTCTTTGAATGCCTCTTTCTTTTTTACTTGTAACAAGTCTAAGTCTATGAAACAATAGTCGATAAGACGTGCTTCGCAAATCATTCTATCATTGGAACTTTACTGCAACAATTATAGTGAAAATGTCTCTAACTACGAAAATCGACTCTTCGCTTGCTTTTACCGCGATCTTCGAGACACTAGAAGCGGATAATAAAAAGAATATCGATTCAATTGTGTGAATGCGGAACTGATTTCCTATGTAGTTATTTTATTTATTGTTCTTTTCATAGTAGCTTTTATTGTCATTATAACAACAAACAACAAAACAAAAACGTTTCACACATTTGGTTTGCTGTTGTAGCTGTAAGGGACTTTATGATCGTGGTCGTTCTTTCTTTTCACGATACAATGCCCACAGAGAGACGTTAGCAACTTTGACGACTTTGAAACGAACACCCGGAATATCACCGACAGCGTGACCTTTACGACCGAAACCGGCAATTAAAACTTCATCGTTTTCCTAATCAAAATTAAGTTCGATTGCAAGTTCGACAAGCATCCATCTTACTTCGATGTAGTTGAGACAACCATCTCGAGGAACGAAAGCAGTGATTTTTTTACCATTCTTAATCAATTGCACTCGGACGCATTTACGGATAGCGGAGTTAGGTTGTTTAGCTTCGACACCACTAAAAGACATTTGCAGTAGATTCTTTTTACGAAAAGTTCAACGATTCGGATAAGCATACACTTTTTCGAGAACGATGCCTTTCGCATGGGAAGCTCCGGCGAATGGATTACTTTTCCATCGGGTACCCAAGTGAGATTTTTTGTAGTCTTTATCGTGCCATCGTTGTTCGCGGCGATGATCTTTAAGTTTACGAGCAGTACGAAGACCACGAGGTTTACCTATTGATATCAAGATATTGTTGAAAATATTAACAGCATTCCATCAAACTCACCCATTCTGTGATAATCTACAAATAAGAACGGTGATTATCTGAAATATCACAAAAAATCGCTCAGTTTTTCCGCACAGATCTCGAAGAAAAATCTTCGCTTCTAACTTATTTACTACACATTCATTCGTTGGTTGTTAGTTATAAACTACACTAAATAGGAACTAATCGAATGGTGGTGACAATAAAAAACTGGAGGAACATATAGATGTCACTTTGTTTCTTTGATATTTTTTTTTGTAAACAATCATGCAAACATTTTTTTGAGAAAAAAGTCATCCGACGATTGCATTTATTTACAAGCAATTTTCTGTCCGTTCGCTTTGTTTGAATTGCGTGTTGACATGAAGTTTAGTTTTTTTCTCCTATTGAAACAAACAAACTTTGATCTCCGCAAGGCTTCTTGCCAGCAAAATATGGCAGCCGTTACTACACATACGATTTTACTTTTTTTCTATTCGCTCTTTCGTTTCTCTTTTTTTCTTCCTATTTACAGCAGCAAGCACCCTGAATATGTAAACATCATCATTAAGTGAGTAGTAACAGCATCAAAAGACGTGTAAATATATGACCTTTATTTCGAGCAAATCGAATTGATTTGTTACAGTACAACATTATTTCTATTGAACGATTGTTCGTTTTTTAAATTTTAGATGATTAATTTCTAATCTCTCATTCCCTTCTCTCCTTCTTCTTCTACGTTTTACAATCTCGATATTCGACGAGCATTCGAATTCGTACCATCGATCAATTGTTTTTCATTTTGTGATATGATGTAAATATATTGCGACTGACCTCGATAAAAACGACATACTTTTCTAACATTTGGCCGCTTTTTCTTATTCTACAGATCATCTTTTGTTGCATCATGTTGCCAACAAATCAAGCATCACCTGCACCTTCACATCGATGTTTAATTCCAATTAACATCGAAACATTAGCTGGATCATCGTTTGAACTACTTGTTTCACCTTACGAACAAATTCAATACATCAAACGGAAAATCGAACGACGAGAAGGCATACCCGTGTCACATCAGCATCTCGTTTGGAAATCAAATGAACTGAAAGATGAATCATGCTTACATGACTATAAAATCGAAGCAGGCTCAACGATCAAACTTGTCTTAGCTATGCGTGGCGGTCCTGTGAATACAAAACGTGTACCGATTGAAGATAGTTTATTACGCGATGTGTCCGAATATATGGAAAGTACTCGAGATGATGTGGTTCTCAATAGTGATTTGTTACCGTCGTCATCGAACAAAAATGTTACATTTCTTGTTCTACGCGATGGAGATCAATTTAATTTCTTTCAAGTTATCGATAGAGGTGACGGTACACTCTCACCTTTGTCCGGCTCTGTCAGGTACGATTTCGGAAATTGATTTACAAGCAAATATGTTAACTGTAATTTTTATCGGACAGAAAAATTGATTTGATTTCTTTTCATTAGTAACGCATCAATGTATAGTACACATGAAACAATTGCTATTGAACCAGAACGTGAAAATAATGAAAAACGGCAAGATGATGATCGTAAAACAAAAGAAAAAATGGAATCGATTCGATCAAAACTAAAGACACATACTAAAAAAGCAAGACGAAAACTTTCAATTGATTTTGATCATCTGATATTTTGTTTTGTTTTCAAGGATGTCTTTGCACTTCGTCCTCCATCAGCAACAAAACAATTGAAACCAGATCTGATCCAACATCCACCTCGGAATATTCTCATTGACTCAAGTTCAAATCTGGCCACCAACGGAAATAATTCACCTCTGACTATATCTTCAGACCAACAGCAGCAACAGCAATCTACACCGCGTCTCGTACCGTACAAATTTGCGTCAACGAATTTGTTCAACACGTATAACATACTGGCCGCAGCTGCAATTGAACAATCCGATTTCCTTCATGAAGAAGACAGCGAAGACGATGAGGATAGTCATGATGAAGATGACGAACAGCAAGTACATGGCGAACACTTACGCGAACAACAAATCCTGTCGCCTCCAACGCCGTTAATACCTGGCAATTCGAAAAAACAGCAAGTGTTAACATCCAGATCGTATTCACCATCGGTGTTTTGTCAAAAGAAGCATCATCAATATGACCAAGAATCATACAAAAAATCTCTTTTTCACTCTCGTCATCAAGATCGTACGACACAAAATCTCATTGGTCAACATGAATCAGCAAATACCTTAGATACATATGCACAAAGTTCGATGAATACCATCCTAACAACAAGCTATCCATCAGTAACACTCGGTAAGTCGATCGTACGTGGCAGAACTAATGCAGATACATCTGTTTGCACAGGGCCTGTTGCTCAAGAGACGGCCATTACAACTGCAACGACATCATCAGGAAATGAAACAAGTACTGGTACTGTTCTAGTTGATTACATATCTCGTATATCGCCCACACTACACCAACAGCAAGTACCTATTGTTTCTACGTCTTCACGTATACTATCAGCAACCATGACAAAACGTGCGAGCATGTGTGAAACATCGTCTGTGGCAGCCAATGTTGAATGTATATTGGATAACGAAGAGAAAGTCACTTCGAGTAGTGAATTAGTCTATCAACAATCTCAAACATCGCCGATGCTTGAATTACTTGATGATGACATGATCTCACCAACAAATGGTTTGATAAGTACGGCCTCTATCCTAGACGATAAAACAGAACTGTCTCGAAAACAAACAGGAGACATTCAAAGTCGCAATGAAACATCATTAAGCAAAACAATTTGGACTGATGATGATGATCAGTTAATTATTGGCGATGAATACATTGGCGAAGAACGTACATCAACAAGTCAATCAATCTTATCTCAACATCGTAATAGTTCGACGAGTACAACAGTGATTACGCCAATGCCAACTTTACCTAGTGTCATTAAAAAGTCAACATTACCGTCAACAAAACAACAATTCTATCATCATCACAAGCCTTTGAATAGCGATCAGCAAACAACGAAATTATCGCCCAGACCATTAATGCCCTTTTCTCTGTCAAAGTACCGACGTATCCCAGCTAATGTACATTCAATCACCACATTACAACAGCAAACATACACTGGCACTTCAAATGCCTCATCTAATGATTCGACAAATAATGGTAATGTGACTAATAGTACAGATTCGTTCAATGAACATTTAATATTGAATAAACGTATCGAAATTTTAAAACCATCTGGTAAGCAACAAAGCTCACATTCCTGTACTGCGTCTCCGATTACGTCAACACCATCATCGGCAGTATCGACGACAGCAATGTTTACTTCATCACCTTCTCAATCAAAACGAAATATTTCACAACAACAGCCAGAAACGAAATCTCTGGGTGCAACAGGAATAGTACCACCACCATCGTCATCTTCATCTCTGATGCCACTTGACAATGCCAAAGTCACGATTGGTAAGTTCACAAGACTGTTCTCGAAAAACTATCTATACTCGTGTGCTTAGAAACTATTGGACCAAAAACAGTAACCGCTCTTTTACGGCAGAATGCAACCATTGAACCAGTAGACACATCACGTGGGATGGGTAAACATCTTGTTTCGCTGTTAACAACAGCATCAAAAGAAACAACATCAGTCAAACCAAGTGCGAACCTTTTTTCCTGCTCATTGCTCTCTATTCTCACGTCTAAATATGATCTAGGTTACAAACAGTCATCTCGTGATGTAGTCATCGAAGAACGCTTTAAGGTAACAGGCGAAAGAATTTCTTCTGAAAGCATGCTTTATTTTCTATTGAATAGTTGGATTCGAAACTAACTAATCCATGGTCGAGTACTACAACGAATAATTCGACAACAATGGGTAGTAGTCTTCAATCGACTGCGGCAACTATTTACAATTCGAATAAATTACCATCGGTCATCGTCAATCGTAAATCAACATCGAAATGTTTTCTGTGTAAGAAAAAAACTGGTTTAGCAACAACATATCAATGCAGGTCAGTTAATCGATCTTACTTGATGTTAAATGGAATCGAAACTTTGCATTCATAGGTGTGGAAGTTCATTTTGCAGTGAACATCGCTATCCCGAAGCTCACGCCTGCGCCTTCGATTACAAAGCGGAAGGCAAACGTTTAATTGAACGAAACAATCCTTTGATTACTGCACCTAAACTACCGAAGATCTAATTGCAAGAAAACAAAATGAAGTATCTTTCTTTCCGCTTTTTATTTTTGTATTCACTGATAAACAAAACAAACTATACTATTCAATGTCCATCCTTCCGTCTTCATTTGTTTTGCATACGTATGTATAGCACGTGCAGCGAAAACTTCTGTTTGTTTTTCTTTCTCATTTCACATTTTAATAGGGAAAGTGTGTGTATCTCTTAGTCACACTTCTCGCGTTTCATTTCGTTTTGTTTTTATTGTATTTGAGCTTGGATTTTGCTTTGTTTTTACTATCGATTCAATTCAAAATTATATCCCTTTCTCCTAGAAGCCAATCGCGTGTGAATGACTCGCGAGAACAGTAGATCTTCGTTTCTCTCCCTCTTCTTCTTCTTCTCCTCGTGCTGAACAGTTTTGCCCGAGGATAATTGATATATTTTTGTATAAATCTAAGTACATAATGATTCTCATACATATATTGCATTTTATGTTTTCCTCTGTCGTTGTCTCTTGAATTTTCTTCTCTCCGGTTGTTTTGTTCTTGTTCTTGTTCTTGTCCTTCTTCTAGCAGTGCATTTCTTAATCTTCTTTGTACTTCTATGCCTGCTAGTAATACCATCCAAACCAAACTATCACCCATTTATAATTCACGTGCACCAATATATTCATAGGGAAAAAAACGAGACGATGATGGCAAAAAAAATACAAAATAAAAATTGTGCTTTTTTATCACTTGTAAACATAATAATAAAATGAATTTTACTTCTTTTCTAATCAAATTGCATATGATACTAATTCTAGATTGAATAATAAGAAAAAGAAGATGGTTCAAGAGTCACATATCGACTCACCTCCTGAACGAATCGGTAAGTCTCCGAGAACGAAACGTGTCCGTGTTATTTGTTGTCGATTTTAGATATCGTTCATGGTACGAATTATCTTCTTGAATCTCTTGGTATCAATCGTCGTATCCATTCCGTTGCTGAATTTACTAGTCCAATACTCATTCCAATTTATGAAGCCATTTGCTCATGTCGACTGAATGGTAAACATCTCTTTTCAGTTAATATGAATCTCGGAGTATATGATTAGATGTTCGAGTACCTGTTCGTAATCTTGCTGATGAAATTCACAATATTCAATCTGTTATCAATGCTCTCTGTTTCGACACAGTCGAATTTGATCTTTCGCATATCTCAGGTGAACAAGTCGCCAATGGAGATCTATACGCTATGGAAGACTTACTTGAGATATTTACTGATGTTTATCATTGGATCAAAAACGATCGGGAAGAAGGTAAAACTTCACAATTAAAAATCTTCGTATGAAATCATTTTGTCGTATTTGCTATTAGTTCTCCCCTTGACGACCATTCCAAGTTTACCGTTACATTCCGATCGTTCAAGCGTCCAAGCATCATCGCTTGGTGCGCAAATCGCGCACTTGGCTGACCGACGACGTCCGTTCGGTCACGATCTTGCAGCACCGAATAGTCTCGTTCTTACTGAAATAAGTCCCATAGTTTCACCATCCAATTCACCAACGCGCAATCATCAACAAGGATCTACTGAACACGATAACGTTGTCGAAGATTTACAAGAAAAATACCAAACGCTTCTACGTCGTTTCGAACAAACAGTACAAATGTCCTCGGATGCACTTAATCTCTCTCGTATTTCACATGGTAAAGTTCTCACTCTATCATCCAATGTGTTTATTACCTGTTCTTGTTTAGACACTCCGTCCACAACAACGTCAGATTTACGTCTATTACTCAATGATCTAAACAGTGATAAAAAACTCGAAGCTAAGCATAACGATACATTCAATGTCGATAGTAATAGTAACCAAAAACCGTACGGCGAAATCGAGGATGACTTAGCATTACTTCTCAACGAAAAGTCATCTCCAAAGAAAACTGGCAAACCGAAGGACACTCATTCAAAGTAGAGATTCCTATGAGATGAGAACAAGAAAGAACTACATTTCCTTTTTAGACCTCAGCTACAAGAATCGATGATGACAACAAGTAGTGCAACAGTTGGTCGTAATCGATTGAATCACAGCGATGAATTCTATCAAATTCGTGCGCAACTTCAAGATCAATACAACACAAAAACAAATTTAAATCATTTTCTTCGACAACACTTTGACGATGATCTCGATGATTATAAATCAACGAGAACATCCCTTCAGAACAAAAAAGATCAACGTGCCATGCAACATCACGAAATCGACACGTCGACACTTCGTCTAAGCGAACATCATCAAACTCAGCTTCGTCGTTCGCATTCAGCTTCGACAAAAACCAAACAAAATTCTCTCAAAAAAGGTTTTCTCTGTTCATCAACGAATACATTAAATGTACGACCCATGACACATCAACGTGATTTCGATGATTCAACAACGTTGACAGAGAATGACACGACTAGCAAAGTCAAACTAACTAATAAGCATCGTTTATTACTTGGTAATGAACATGATATCGTTCAGGTGTTGAATGAACAATTTCCAGGAATTTATGTCTCAAACGAAATGCAATCGAAACTGAATGATCAATTCAGTAAGCATATTGATAATGTTTTTAAAGCAAGAATGGAACTGCTTAGCGCTCAACAAGGAAGTACCAACGATGTAAGTGATTTGTGTGAGAGAAAAGAAGATAATTTCGGAATTTACTATTTAGCTTGAAAGAGCCAAAGAAAAACACGATCAAATGACTGAAATTCTTCGTAAAGAACTAGGAGCTTTACAGCGTCAAGTGAGTCTATACAAACCTTATATCTTTCTTCTCATCAGTCATTATCTTGGGATGTCTAGCAAGATATTCAATTGAAACAATCAGCTGAGCGTATATTAAAATCGAAAGTACGTGACCAACGTATTCAACAAGCTCGCGTTCGTCGTTATTTCCAAGACTACTGTCTCGATCAGCGTAAACGTTTACTTAAAAAGCGTACGAATGAAGAATTAATCTTGAAACAAGCTTATAAAGATTCTATTCGCATCCAGCGCGAACGTTTACACGAAATGAAGAAATACAAGCAAGAATACAATGCTTTATTTCTCACACGTTATCGTAACCAATTGGAATCTCTTGAGAATTATTATCGACAGCGTTTAAGCATGTTCAAAGAAGCTGAAGAGCAAGAATCAGCTATTCAACGCGCCAATGATCGCGAAGATAAACTTGAGTTGAATAAACAACGCTTACAGTTGCGTAAACAATTAGAATCAGATATCAAACAATTACAGGATCAACTGAATCAAAATGATGATTATATACACTTTCGTCAATTGGATTTAGAACGTTTGAAAAACAATTTAACTCAAGCGAGAATAACAACCAAAGTTTAAAGGAAAATCTAGTTGTTTGTGCGTAGTTTATTTCATAGAATAATGTAGTTTTGCTTTCTTTATTCAAATCATGATATTTCTTAACAGTACGAAATAATAAATGAGAATGAATTAAACAAATGAGTTGTTTCTTTCAGATATTTTCGTCAGATAGAACCCTATGGGTTCAAAACGAGGTGCATTGATTATTTTTGAAGGTCTTGATCGAATTGGCAAGACCACGCAAAGTAAATTGCTATGTGATTATCTCTCTCAAGATTGTAATATTCGGTGTGAACGTTTGGCTTTTCCTGATCGAACAACACAAATCGGAGGACTAATTGATGCGTATTTACAACGGAAAATCGAATGTAACGATCGTACAATTCATCTTTTATTCTCGGCCAATCGATGGGAATGTATGGACTCCATGCGAGCGAAACTTTTACGAGGTGATACATTAATTGTGGATCGTTACGCCTATTCCGGTGTGGCATTTAGTCAGGCGAAAGGTCTGGATAAGACATGGTGTCAATCGTGTGATGTCGGCTTGATTAAACCAGATCTTGTTCTTTATTTTCATCGGGGTAAACAAGCCAATTGTTTATCATATACAGGGGAAGAACGGTATGAAACCAAACACTTTCAAGAGGAAGTTGAAACGTGTTTCGAACAATTTCGTTCGTCATCACACCAATGGAAAGACATCAATGTCATCAATGCGGACAATAATCAAATGCGAAATAGAGAAACTATACAGGAGGAAATTCGTTCGTACGTGAAAGATACTCTTAAAAATTTGAAATCAAATGATTTAGAAGAACTATGGAAAGATTGATAAAAACGTGATACTTTTTTTAACTTTTTTAAACTTTTTTTTAGATATGTCTCTTATTAATCCAACCGAATTCGATGATTTAATAACTCGTCATCGACAATCGAGTGATATTCTATGGGCATTGAAAACCTGGCATCATCCAGTATTTGATAACAAAGAACAATCGATCAAATCCACTCAGTTAATCAATAAAACCACCCAGATATCATCGATTATCACGCCGGTGCACTATAAAACCTTACCGAGAAATTCTGAACAAATCAAATTCGATGTTCTCAATAGTTTAGCAGTCAAACACACGATTGATTCGCTGAATATCGAGACAGCCCATGGATATGATCAGGCGAAGGCAATTACTCAAGAAATGTCGCATCGGTTGAATATTCGCACCGCTCGATTTCTCGCATTCATCTTTGCAAAGATATTCAATCAAGTTTACGACAACATCTACATTGATCATCATGGAATGGATCTAATCTATCAAATGTACTCGTTAACCCCCAGAAATTCCTCACCAGCATTGCCATCCTCACCAATAACCATATCATCGACATTGTTCGCGATCTTAAATACATTTTCACGTTCATCATCGCCGTCCGATGATAATCTGTCGATGAATACTCTTCCATCACCGTTAACAAGTAAACATTACTTAACATCTCCGAGAATTATCTATTTACCTACACATCGTAGTTATATGGATTTCATTATCCTGACATATATTTGTTTTGAGTATAATATTCCGATGCCATGTATTGCTGCTGCACAGGATTTTCTCGGTCTTGGTCTATTAGCGAATTTACTTCGTAATTGCGGTGCATTTTTTATTCGTCGTTCGTTTCGATCGGATCTACTCTATTGGACAATATTCGATGAATATGTTAAGACACATGTTATAAACGGAGATTATCCGATCGAGTTTTTCATTGAAGGGACACGGTCTCGGACATTGAAAACGTTGCTTCCTGTTCGACAGGGAATGTTGAAATCGTGTCTCGAATGCTATTTTCGACGACAGGTTGACAACTTGATCTTAATCCCGATAACGATTAATTACGAGAAAGTTTTAGAAGATAATTTACATGCGAACGAACTACTGGGTGTACCGAAACCGAAAGAATCCAAAGGTGGATTGCTAAAAGCGGCTCAGATTTTAAAGAAATCTTTCGGAAAGATGATTGTTAGATTTAGTGAGCCGATTTATGTTCACGATGCATACGAAATGTTTAAACTTAACGACGAAAAACGAACGAATGGTACGTATGAAAATATTCTTGAAAATTCTTCATTGATTTCACTTTTGATTTAGATCAACCAGATGCTTTCAACCGATCCGTTCCACGTACACTCCAACCGCGTTCTATATGTCAGCAAGACGCTTTTACTGATGCCGAACAAAGATTTACCGATGAATTATCCTATCGAATCGTGAACGAACATCAAAGTTTAACTGTCATCTATCCAATAACAGTTGCTGCATTTACCTTTCTCAGTACATCGAATAATCGATCGGTCTCGATTGACCAATTGTTGACTGATAAGAAAACACTGTTTCTCGACAATACTGGTGTGACTGAACATTTCTCATCTCATTATCAAATCTCATGGCCAGTAGAAAATGAACGAAATTGTTTGAAACAACGTCTTTTAACCATTTATTCTGATGTATTCGAATGCACTGAAAACAATCATTTAACATTAAAAATGACCGGTGACCGTTTTGTCGATGCAGCTCTTCTTATGAAATTGTTCATATACCGAAACACATGCTTACATTTATTTGCTAAACCAGCGTATATCCTCTTAGTTTGTCAAGCAAATTCTCAGGTAACATTGTTCGAATTATTGACTTTCGTAACGTAGTTCTATAGGTACCGATTTCGCACGAGCAACTTCGAATGTATTATCATTTTCTTATTCAATTATTCGCTTACGAATTTGTCTACGATCGATTTCCGACCGACGATCTTAATGATAAAGATTTCGATCAATATCTTTCCCATTGGATCAAAGTCAACTACATTATTCCATTGAATAATTCAACATACAAAGTCAACTCACAATTTCGTCAACAAATTTCGTTGATAACAAGTCCATTCGAACAATACGCACGTGCTTATCTGTTAATTTATGAGCAAGAATATCCTTCATCAGAAACCAATCTTTCTTTGTTAATCAAAATTTACCAAAAAGCGTTATTGTCAAAACTCGACACAACTAATCTTATCAGCGTTTTAGCATCATCGTCAAATGTAATCAGCAATGCATTGCGCACATTGAATTTCAATACGAAATCGAAAGCATATGTGGATCTTCGTCATTTGTTAACCAATCTGTTTCAGCCAATGTCAACACAACTTCGTGCTAAGTTATAATTGATCGTTGTCTTCTTTTATTTTGATTTCAGACATTTTGTTTTCCAAAGATCTGTACTTGTTTTGACTCAACAAAACGTCTTTGTATTAGGTCAATTGTTACTGCCTATTAAAAAAAAAGAATTCTTTTAAATGATTCACTTGTGTTTATTGTTACGCGAGATTTATCTTCCCGAGAGAAGAAGAAATTTTGTTCTTCGAGTTACGTGGACCGTAGATGACTCATAGGCAATCGATTTGCGAGTGACTCATTCTATTTTGACGTGGATAGAGGACAAATTGTATATAAATATACGTGGCTGCAGTTTACAATCGACTGTTTTCTATACAATTCGTCTTCTGAAAATGTTTTCTTGGCTACGCGATAAATCTGCGCCATCGTATGATGCTATATCGAACGATTCACAACCAGTACCTTCAACGTCATCTCATCGTGGCTATCAACAGCAACCTTCGCACACCGGTTAGCTAAGTTTGATGATAGGTTAATCGGTAGATTCTATGTTTTTTGCGATTGATTCGTAGTTTTTGTTTGTTATCTGCTCTAGAACCCTGCAAATGACGCATACATACATCGTTTAGCTTGGATTCGACTCTGTTGTCAGCGGAAATGAGAGAATAGAGATATAAATATTCAGTAGTATAGTTTGCCATCTATTGCTTCGAGATGCTCGCATTTCCATTGGAAAGTTTTTTTTTTGTCACGATATAGCTGAAATGATTCTTTCTTAGTAGGCGTAAAGTTTTGATAACATATGTAACAATCTCGTTTCAGATAGAATGGCTAATCAGATGGTGCAATTGACGGCTACGAAATGTCCGACGGACGATTTAACATATACTAATTGTGCTATTGTCAGTGAACGTGATATTGATCCGAGTACTGTTCGGTAAGTTAGAAATAAGTCGCTAGAATTCAACAATCGCTTCTGTCTACAGACATATTGAATTGTCGTCTACTGTTACACGAACAAAATATGTGTTTACCATTACGAAATACAGTGGAATGCCACAAGGTAAAATTGGATTCAATACATTGCAAGTAAGGCTGTGCGAAATCATGAAAACTAATTCATTCGTTCTGTTGTAAAGCGTCGCTGGGCTGGAATTGAACTTGACCGGCCGTATCAAATCCAACCGTATAGATTCAATAAAAATGTTCAATCTATCACAACACTGATTCTCGATGTTGATTTTCTCAACAAGAAAAAGTAAGAATTGATTAAAGGCAATCATGGCATCTAAAGAGCATACATTTCACATAGTACTACAGCTGATCCATACGATACAGATAAAATGGCGGTTGAATTCTTACAGCAATTCACTGACCATGCGTTTTCAGTTGGACAATGTGTAAGAATAGAAATATTCGGTCTTCCGATGTTTTTATCAGACTTTCTAGTTACCGTTTCAATTTATGGATAAGAAAACTTTATCATTAGTTGTGAAAGAAATTGAAGGTAGGATGAGTTTGGGATTTTTGATGATCGATTTGAATGGCCTCGTTTCCATAGCATCTGATCTTGCCGCTGTTGCGCGTGGCCAAAATGCGAAAGCTCAAAAAATTGGGCTCGGTGTTTCACTTTCCAACACCATGGTCATCTTCGAACGCGCTGAAGGTTCATCAGTGAACTTGATCGGAAAATCGAAAGGGTAAGCTTTTCGATGAACAAACTTAACGAAGCGAACTTTTGATTTGGAATAGCAAAGCGCAGTTTGTTTCAATTATCAATCCTGATTTTGACTTCAAAACCATGGGAATCGGCGGTTTAGACGCCGAATTTAATGCAATATTCCGCCGTGCATTTGCTTCACGTGTTTTTCCACCAGAAGTGGTCTATCAATTAGGTAAAATCATCGTCCAGTGTACAGAAATAAGAAAAAAAAATTATCGATCATTGACTAGGAATGAAACATTGTCGCGGTATTCTTTTGTACGGCCCACCTGGTACTGGTAAAACATTGATGGCTCGGTATGGCTGATGCATTTAAGAAAGTATATGAATGATTGTTTTGTAGACAAATTGGTAAAATGTTAAACGCACGTGAACCAAAAATAGTCAATGGTCCACAAATTCTCGACAAATATGTCGGAGAATCTGAAGCCAATATTCGAAAATTATTCGCTGAAGCTGATGAAGAAGAAAAACGAGTAAGATGACTAATATTAATGTGTACATAAACATTCTTCTCCTTTCCAGCTTGGACCTAATAGTGGTTTACATATCATTATCTTCGACGAAATCGATGCTATTTGTAAATCTCGTGGTTCTGTCGTAAGTCTGATCACTGTTTTCGTTCACACGATGTCGTCTCTATCTTTTCATTAGGCCAGTGGTGCCGGTGTTCATGACACCGTTGTCAATCAACTGTTATCGAAGATCGATGGTGTTGATCAGTTAAATAATATTCTTATAATTGGCATGACAAATCGTCGTGATATGATCGATGAAGCACTTCTTCGGCCTGGTCGACTCGAAGTGCAAATCGAAATTGGCTTACCTGACGAAACCGGTCGATTGCAAATCTTGAATATTCACACTGCAAAATTGCGTGAAAATAATAAATTAACTCCTGATGTTGATTTGAAAGAATTTGCAGAAATAACACGAAATTTTAGCGGTGCTGAAATTGAAGGTTTAGTACGAGCAGCAACATCATTCGCGATGAATCGGCATATCAAAGTAAATGACGAAATGCGTTTGAAAGTCACTGTTATTCATGATATTTCTCTAGGCTGGAAAACGAGTCGAAATCGATCCGGATGCCGTCGATAAATTCAAAGTTTGCCGAGGTGATTTTGTCCATGCGTTGGAAAATGATATCAAACCGGTATGTTTTCATAAGATCAAGTATAGTAGTACGTCAATAGAATCATTTAGGCATTTGGTGTAAGTAAAGATGAATTTGATTCATACATTTCCAATGGTATCATCGTTTGGGGACAACCTGTCACAGATGTTCTTGAAGAAGGACAATTACGTATTCGTCAGACTATTAAAAGTGAAATGACACCACTTGTAACAATTTTAATCGAAGGTAGGTTTCGATAATTCAATTGCCGATTGAAATCTATTGTTGTTTCAGGTCCACCGAATAGTGGCAAGACTGCTCTGGCTGCTCACATTGCTACTCTATCGAAATTTCCGTATTTGAAATTCTGCACAGCACAAACAATGCTCGGTTATTCCGAATTAGCGAAATGTCAACAATTGAAAAAGATCTTCGAAGATGCACACAAATCAGCCTTATCATGTAAGTCAGAGAAGATCTTTACTTTCGACAATAATCGTCTTTTGTCAGGTGTCGTTGTCGATGAATTGGAAAGTTTACTTGAATATGCACCCGTTGGTCCGAGGTATTCGAATAATGTCCTTCAAACATTAAAATTGCTATTCAAACGGCCACCACCCAAAGGTCGAAAGCTATTGGTCATCGCCACGGCTACGTATCGCGATATTCTCGATCAACTCGGTCTATTAGCATCATTTTCTAAAGTTATTCATTTATCCAATATGAGCAGCGGAAAACATGTCCTTCATGTTTTAAATGAAATCGAACACTGTTTCAATGATGAAGAAATGAAATACCTAGAAAAGAAATTACATGACAAAAAGTAGGTTTTTATCTCGATTGATGATCAGAATCGACATGTTTCGTTTGTTTTTTTTCTCTTTCTTGTAGAGTTTGGATTGGAATAAAATCTTTACTTGATTTGATTGAAGTAGCACGACAAGCTGATGACAGTGCACGTGTCACACGATTCCTGGCGCAATTGGATGAATACAACAGCTCGATCTAATCTACTTTTTGATTCGAATCTATACATATCTATATAAAACTATACAATAAACAAAAAACGATCCTTATAGAACTTTTCTGATAACTATTTATTTGATTTTATGCTTCTTGGTTGTTTTCCTTCTTTAATTATCAATATGAAATTACGATTTTCTGTTTTATTCTTAAATGAAAAACATCTCTACTCGTCAAGGATCACTGAAATGTATGTCTAGTCAGTTGAAATTCCTATTGTATGACTTGTATTTTCATGTGTGACTAATTTCGATATCTAAGTGCTATATGATGCTTTTTTTGTACGATTTACTATCATTCCAAAACATTGAATTCATATAATTATTCGTTGTGTATTCCGAACTATACATTGTGAATTTCTTTACGAATGTCTATTTTCATAATCAGGTAAACACGGTCGTCTCTCTTTTTTTAGATCATTTTCGAATCGAGAATAAGAACGAGATGGAAAAATTCGCAATTTCAATCATTGTCTTCACGGTATTCTGGGGTTTGATCGGCGGTGTTTTACCTTTTCTCATTCCGAAGGGGCCGCACCGACGGTAAGGAACCGATTTTGATGGCACTCTTGGATTACTCTTATATTTTAGTCTCGTTCAAACTATGCTGATGTTGACATCTGCTTGCTGTTGGCTCTTGTATGTTTAAAGTGTTTTCTTGGAAACAGAAATTTACTTTCTTCTTTAGTTGGTTATGTTTCTATCTTCATCAATATAGACCACTATTTGGACCTCAAATCAATAGCCATGAGGCACGAGCATTGCGCGAACTCTGGGGTCAAGATCTATAAATTCAATCTATTCCCGTGTGTCTCATTCCAAACATATTATACTTCACTCGATAGAATCTTATTTTCCAGCATTTCTGCTTATTTCATGTTCTATACAAATATAAATAAAAATCCTTACTCGACTCGTTCTCTTATCATTAAGTGGTGACAAATGGCTGGGGCATTATCGACAACCTTTTCGCACGTTCTTTTTCTCTTATTCAGCTCTCTCACACCTTTCGATGTTGTTTAGAGTATGTGGTTTCAATGTGCAATCGAACCTGTGCGTTTTTTTCTTGTCTTATTTATGTATTCCCACATTCTAATATTATTTTGAGAGAAATAAAAGACAGATTATGTTTGCCCTTCGACTTCTCCTCTTTAACTTTACAAAATTCTAGATTTTTAAAGTTCCCTCTCGTCAAATACCGGTGTTAGTCGTTGAAAATGAACTCGAACTTCAGTGGTCCAAAATTGTTTACTTTCGTTCTTTCACGAGAACATGGCTATGCAGCTGGTGTTGCCTTAACTTCATGGGTTGCATTGCAATACATGGGAGTCAATGTCATGAAAGCACGCAAACGGTAAATATCCATTACAGTTCGAACCTGAATGAATTCATCTCGTTTTTGTGTAGATTCAATGTTGATTACCCAGCACTCTATGCAAGCGATTCAAATCCTCAAGGCAGATTATTTAACTGTACGTTTAATATTTGATTTTATCTTCTTCTATTGATTACGAATTACATAGGCGTCCAACGTGGACATCAAAATACCTTGGAAAACTATCCTCAATTTCTTTTGATGTTGGGCTTAGGTTCAATTCAATATCCACTTATCTCATCCGTTGGTGGTGCCATATGGATACTTGGACGTCTTGTTTATTTTCAAGTATGTTTATTTACAGTCTGTTCGCTCTGCTGTGAATTGATTCGTTTCTTTCCGTCGTAGGGCTATTCATCAGGCGAACCAGAAAAGCGACGATATGGATCGTTCGATCACATTGGAATGTTCGTCATGCTAGGTTGCGCCATCAAAACTGTCTATGACATTGTTCGCAAATAAATCTTTTCATACCAATCCAGCTCCACAGCCAATATTTGCTTATAATATAATGTGACCTTTTTCAATTTGATCGAAAAAGTAGCATTTCAAACTAGAGAAAAAAAGCAGAAGATATTTTCACCCATCCCTTTTTGTAGTGATTGCATTGTCCTCATCCTATTTTCTATTTACATCCCACTCTAGAATAAATTCTCTCATTTAACATCATTCTTTTTAAGCAATTGGTATGCTTGTATGAAAAAGATCATTATTATCATCTAGTTCATTCGTGATAATTGTCAATACTTGAACGATACTGTCGGAGCAATAGAATAGATTTTATTCACATCTTCATATTCAGAATGGAAATCGACTGTCTCAAGCAACAGAACATAAAAGATTATTGTACATTCATCTTTCATGAACAAACATGCTGTTCAGTGTCTTATTGATCATTCTTTAAATGATTCACGGCATCCGTATCTGAAAATGTTTGAGTTCTTTATGACAGATGGTCAGTATGGCGAAGTGCGACACTGATTGTTCTTTTGATAGTAGATACTTTTCTGATCATAGAACTTTGTAGTGTGAATGACCACAAACAGCGTGAAGCTTTTCGAACAATGACGTTCGATAGTGAGCGTCGACATTGTTGTCATTTCAATCGTATCACATGAGTGAAAATATTGATCTCTGTCAGAATCAGATATCAATATTCATTCAATGAGGATGTTCCTGACACGGTTGATTTTCTCATTTACACAAACAACAGGCGAACTAACTGAATAATGATAGTCGACATCGAGGATGATGGTAGCACAAATCACATCTTTCATTCATGTTTAACAATGAGTCGCAATTTAGGACACAAACGTGTCTTACACATTCTCATCAATTTATACTTCCTCATCAAGTCATCCGTTTCGATTCATTCATCATAAACAAATTGAGAATCAATCTTCTTCTCTCACATTTTCCTATTAGCCACTTGCACAAGTGTTCAATTAGCTATCCTGTGCTCTCAATATTCATACTGTGCAAATTAATTGTATACAATAGGTAAGCATGAACAAACACACGATGGTATTTGTATATTTCGCTCTCCAATATGATATCATTTGACCAAGATTCAACGATCCACATCTAAACAGTCACCCTCGAAATGAACTTTTTTGCCTGGAGGAAATTGAGATTGAAATGGATAGCCTTTGAAGTTAAACAATATTACGTCAAAGAGATTTGTCTTTTCCGATCGAGGAAACTATATTGATAATTAAGTCGAGATTCGCTGCAGGTAAGTTAATTAGATCTGGCTATCAGTAAGCGATCATTTCTCTTCATTTCCTCTTAATAATACAGATCGTTCGCTGATAAGTTTCGATATGGATAACACACAGCAGGTGAGAAGGAAAACGCATATTATCTGACTGTGACACCCAGCATGAGAAAGATCATTTTGCAATGTTCTATTCATTATTTTAGTGTACAAAATAAATATAAATGAAAAAATAAAAAAACGTAGAACTAAGATGATGTATAAACAAGTTCAGAAGTTAGGTGAATTCGACGGCGGCAACAAATATGTAATTCGATCTTCATATATCACTGTTGGATAAGTGTCGGTAGTACCATTTAGAAAAACACATTAATCAAACAATTGATGCGGTCATCATTGAGATAAAACATGTCGAAGTTGTGCTGTGCAATGTAGTAGCTGATTCTAAAAATCAGTGAAAAACAAATATAAAGATGAAAGGAGAACGTGAATATCATTCGACATACCAAATAATGTGAAGGGTCTTTCTTATGGGCAATAAAACATTTGATTTGTTCAAAGATGAAAATGTCAGATGTGTTCATACATAACAATGATAGAGCGATGATGCTACATGGATATTCATGCAGAGATTCTAAAAGAAAGAGAGAAAAGAGTTAGGTGAAATTGTATGTGTAGAATTGATATACCAGATATTTCAGATGACTGTGTCACAATTAGCGAGAAGAGAGATCGAGCTTGATTGATGAAGTATTTACAATCATTGTTAAGATTGGATAAATAAGAAAAGAAATGATCAGGTGTTGTCACAGCAATATCGTAGGAGAGTCGTTCCAAAAGATCGATTTCAGCGGCCTATAACACGAATGAATTTTTAGATATGATACTAGTCAGTTGAAGATACGATTTACATGAATATGTTGGATATCATCAATATGGCAGCATTGAGCAAGAAGTTCGTAGTCGATCGATTGGTATGGTGAATCTTGATATTTGGATGAAAGTGTGACAGAAGCAAGGATGGTGAGAACGTTGATTGAATGTTGTTGAATGAGAAGTTTTTTTAAAAGTTTAGTCGCCATCCATGTTGTCGAAGGCGGAAGCTGAAGAAATGACGATATCTAATAAAAAGTTCCAGATGATCAATGTTTAGCCGAGAAAAAGAGAATAGAAATCTTACTTGATGAAGAAGATGTTGAGTATCACTAGGTAGTGATTTAGTCTGTAGTTGATTATAGTCATATTGATCTTCTCGGCTGAGAAGAGTAGTAAGAAGTTTGGATTCCGGAAAGGATAGTTGAGAATCTGGTGCAGCTTTGATATATTCTTCCATAGAGAGGAGAGATGAAGAATGGATAGTGTGATCAATACTTCGCCATCACCATTGATATTTATATCCGTGAATGAACGAAGAGAAAAGGAAGAGAGAAACGAAAGTTTGTTCCGACCAATCAGCGATATTCTCCTCTCTCGAGCTTCGACGCATCTTAGTCGCAACGGAAAACACAAAATCATGCGAAGCCTTATGCTCAAATGAATTCCTGTTCATAGAAACTAGGTCATTTGATTCAAAATCTAATTCTACACCGAATAGTGATACTTTTATTCGCAGTACAAACTTTGAAAAAATTTCAGGTACATCTTAAGAGACGTTCCACGAGAAAATTACGGATTTGTAGTATGAGTCAGAATCTGTGGGTCAACGCATTTCGGATCTGATCCCATAGGAAGTTAAGCGTCATTGACCCGTATATGAATCCAAAATAGTACTGCTAAAAAATCTACTTTGAGAGAGTTAGGATCTATCGAACGATTTTCCGATATAAACTGTCTAAAATGGCAAAAATCGAGTTTTTTCGTATTTTGTTTTTTATCGTACATCCTTTCCTTCGTTCAAATTGAGCCATACAGTAATCGATAGAATCTGGTTTGCTCTACAAAACTGCCTATATGACATTTTCTGTTTGAGCTGAAATTGGGATAGAAAAATCAAAATACTTTTTTTTTTGACTTTTGAAGTCGAATCTCCGGCCAACTTCACTTACATTCTTGGCTTATCATTCATAAATGAATTTTCATTTTTTTCTGCTTTGACGAACATTTCGAACGCCTTTGTCAGCGCGATCAGTTTTGCAGATGTGAGAAAACGACCACGTATTCATTCGAATAACGTATACATAATAGTTTTCCATACTAGGTCACAATTCTCAAACTCATGTTCGATGTCAGTAGCCAATGATGATCGTTACTGCTGTCTGTCTCGGCATACGATATCGACCAGCAACAATAGAAACACATGTATTTCTCGTATAGAAATAAGTTGAGTTGCTTGTTTACTTCGACTTGAAGTTGAAAAAAGGCAAATCTTCGAACAGTTTTAAAAAAAAGAACAGCCGCTTAGTCAATCTTCCTTCTCATTATCACAACTTTTTTCATCATGCTAAGATACACAACTCGGCACTATTTATCATTTGGTGCTTCTAGTATATCTTTGGATCGGTTGATCTCTCTAGCTCTGACATAACGTGGAATCGCGATACGCGCTATCAGAAATTAGTAGCTTCGGTGAATGGAAAAGACAAAGAACGAATCATAAAAGTGTTATACGTTTATTTATTTTTTCTTTCCGACTATGTATTTTATCGTCGTTTGCTTACTCTTTCTGTCTGACTTATCCTTCTACTGGTCTTCCAAAGCGAAGTAGCTATTAACGATCGTTTTCCACAAATTTAGGTTTTTAACGATTGTTCAAGATTCTTTTGATCAGAATTTTTTGATTGTTTTACTATCGATTTTCAGACATCGGTAACGTCAGTCATGGATTGATCTTTACACCAGTCGCTAACGATTATTTATCTCTGATCACTCATTCGATTATTGTTTGTAGTGTCACGATAATTTTATATGAGAATAAGTTTTTATCTTTTTTTAGATAATCTATTCCATTAAAATCAGTCATGTCGAACCCATACAGCAATAAGTTGAAATATGAATTCAACTATTCAATATCAAAGTGAGAGTGTGAGGTGGATGTTAGAATAGTTGAATACTTGAATTCGACTGTCAAGTTTGACATTACTGCGTGAATGTCTGTTGGAGCCAACCGATGTCAATACGAGTCTCGTCGCGAAAATGCTAGTTTTGAAAAAAGGGATAGAATGGGAAAACATTTTATACATCAGATAAGTTAGCATTTGTGGTAACATAACAACGATGACACTCTGTCACCAATAAAATTTTTCACTATGTTTATTCAATCGAAATAATCATCATACTCGTTCGCAAGTGATTATCAGTTATATATTGGTGATATTGAATAGATATATGCAGCGCAATCACATTGCTGACCTTTCTTTCGATTAAGGAATGTGAGAGTTCTTTTTAACGTTATTATGATAAGATTTATTCGTGTGTCTTATTTCAACAAAAAATATACATCTAATAGAGAATTATCAACAAAAATAGTATTCATATCCAGAAAAAGAATATAGAGACATCTGACAAACAAAAATACTCGTGTAATTTGTCCATAGATCATGAGAGGAAAAAGCATAGTTGTTTATTTGAAAGACATGTTTATTTTGATTTCTTGCCAGGGCCGCCACCGACTTTACCTTTAGATGTGACATCACTACCAGGACCATTTTTTCGTTTCAGACCTTTATTAGCAGCAGCTTGTACTTCCTATAATGACAATGATTGGAGTAAAATTTTGAGAATCGATGATTCTTATAGAATACAAACGGCTTTTTTAGAATTTGGTGTGGTGGCTGATACAGTATGGGAGACCGTAAAAAATGTATCTAATCGACCTTGTTGTGTTGTCATTCGAGCTTTCGCCAGTTTCTTCGCACCATTACGAATTCGATCTTCTCTACAATAGAAAAATCAAGAATTTCTTAATTTTAGTTGTTCACATCTACATCGTACGACACCTGCACTACACTGCAGATGGCATATCTGTCATAGAGATCATTCTCGTATCTGAACTTGTTAATCATCTAATAAAAAGTATTTCTCATTTTTGTCTTTTGATGATAAAAAACTTATCAAAAATACACAATGTCTTTTTTAAATAACTAAATCTGATTCGTCTATGTTCTATTTGTCATCTTATTCTTTCACTTTTCTTGATCGTTCTTATTCTCCACTCTTCGTATTAAGCATGATTCATTCTCCGTTTTTCTCTCGTTTCTCTCAAAGATAGACATATAAAACAGCACCAAACTCAACGTTTTCCCTTTATTTTCCCCTTTAAAATCAAACACAACACGCACGTCAAGCAAAATGGATAACGTTTATTACATCAAAGCGTATTTTACTAAACAAGGTCAAGAACAACCTGAAATTCGCCGATTCAAAGTACGCCATTTTTGACTATATCGACCCATCAATCTAATATCATTCTGTTTTAGATCGACATTTCATCGCAAAACGATGCTTATCAGGAATTACACGCAAAAATTGCATCATTCCAATCGAATAATGATTTTACTCTTCAATATCTCGACGAAGAAAACGAACGTATTACGTTCAATTCGAACGACGAATTACGTTCAGCAATTGCTTTGACTGAAAATGCAAATACTCTTAAAGTATATGTTACGAGCAGTCAACCACTTCTTCGAGAACAAAAGGTGCAGGAAGCAGCCAATAAAGAAGTTCATGTTGGTGTTGAATGCGATAGTTGTAAAGGCCCCGTTATTGGCTTTCGTTACAAATGTTTCGTTTGTCCAAATTATGACCTATGTGAGAAATGTTCTGCAGCTGGCGTTCATTCGGAACATAACATGATCAAAATAACTAAACCCGGAAATCTCCATCATCCAAATGGATCTCATCCGCACCCACACTCACGTCATCATCACATACCACCACCACCTCACCATCACATACCACCACCGCCTCATCATCACATACCACCACCGCCTCATCATCATGTGCCACCACCGCCGTCATTCTTTCCCCACCAGCAATTTTTGGGCCAAGTTCAATCTCAAATTCCACAATGGCTTCCTAACCTCCCAAACACTGCTCATTTTCGAACGCATCTGCAACAGCATTTAGACACGATTAAGACCAATACGCAAAACCATGTGCAAAATTCAAGACAATACCTCGAAAGTGTTGGGCAATATTTACAACAAACATTGTCTCCATTTGGTATTGATTGTGATTATCATGTCGATGATGCAAATCCAACACCAAATCAGCAACAAACAACAGCAGCAGCAACTCAACAGGAAGAACAAACTACAACAGCCCATGATGAACCTTCACGAGAGCCTGATGCTGTGCCTAAGTACCCTGATTTATCATCAGAAGGCAAAACTAATAATGAAGAACTACCACCAACAAAACTCGAACAAGAATCAACACCAATCAGTAATCCAATTGAAAAAGCAATTGATGACTGTTTGGAAAAAATGCAAGCCATGGGTTTCGTTGATACGAATGGCGCATTACGTGAATTAATTCGTTCGAAAAATGGTGAAATGAACGCGGTACTCGACGCCATCAATCCTCGTCATTATCAAGCATAAAAAACGGAACATTCTATTGAAACACAAACATTAATCCTATTCGTTATTTCTCTTCGTATCTACCAAACTTATTCTTTATTGTATATTATTTCAGAAATTTCATTGCTTATTCATTCTAATAAACCATTCGAGAGTTTAACTTCATTCCACAATAATATTTAGCGTAGGTTTTTTACTTACTGGAATCCTTTTTGATTGACCATATATTCTATAAGACCTTCCTCATCTGGTTCATTCCATTTCAGCTAAAAAGCCAAAATAAGTACAATCGAATAAAACTGAATTTACATGCCTCAACTGCATCGCCAGTTAAAACATTGGGCTCTTTGAATAACCCTCGGGCTTGATCGAATGCCCAGTCTTCTGGTATGCCGTATTTCTACAAGGGAAAAATTTCATATTTACAGAAGAAAAACAAGGCTTGAGCTATGTTTACCTTTGTGTCAATATGCTTAAGAATTGTCTCAATATTACGATATTGCTTTATTAGATCAAGTGCACGTTTTTGACCAATTCCTTTTATTGAATCACAATAATCACATCCGAGTAGAATACATAGATCTATAAACTAAAGAAGATGACTATTCGAACGATATACTTCGCAAATATGATGAATCGATCAGACCTCTTCAAAATTAATGCCTAAACCTTGAAGAACTTTGGCCAGTGTATATTCTCGAATGGGCATTTTTCTACATAACGAAGGACAAATCATTCCAATTTAGATTTCCACTATACAACTAACCGTGCTTCGCTAAATGTCAAATGCCGAATAAGTACATCAGAACCAAATGTTAAAGCCTAGAAATATCGATTAGATTCGAAGATGGTGAAACAGCTTTGCTTGTTTTTTTTCCTTACATCCATATCTTCAGTACCAACGCCATATACCTTTCCTTCCTTAACCAGCGCTGCACATTCTAGAAAATATCGAACCGGTTTAAGAATGAAATAAGTCAAAAGTGTGATACTTACGAGCTTCAGCTTCAGTTGGTGCATCGACGTATGGTATACCCATGAATTTTAATAAGCGTTTACAATCTTCAGCATGTTCACGGGTTACTTTAACAGTTCGACGAGCGAATTTATCAAATGCTTCTTCATCGCCTATTTAAAATTAAAAGTTTACAAATGCGTATATGCAATAAGCGACACAAGTTGAGCAGCGGTAAGAATTGCTTGAATTATAAGATTCAGAGACAAGCTTCCTTACTGACTCCATCCAGCTGACAGGGAAGAAGAGAATGTGTGTCAAATTTTCTGACTACTTTATTTAATACTAGTAAAACTTTAATTTTATTATCCAGTTATTAAACTTACCAGCTTCTGCAGCTTTGGACATTTCTGCTTCAGCTTCTGTTCGTCGTTCGAGACGTTTCTCCAACTCTTTCGATTTCATTTGCGGCGGTTTACCATCAAATACATACACTGGTTTTATTCCATTCTCAACCATCCGAATGGTTCGGTAGAACATGCCCATTAAATGACTTGTCGTTTCGCCATTTTCATTCGTGAGAGTTTCACCATTTTGTCGAACAGCAATCAGAAATTGATAGATTGACATAGAACTAGAATTAAATCTTTCAGTTGACATGTTTCGCAAGTGGGCGATCTCCCAAGAGCTTTGAGGGTGAGTATTACTACTTGGCTTTCTTTCTTGATAAATCTTGAGAATCTATTTATAATGCTCGATAGGTCAGCGAACACTTTTTCAGTCGATGACTTACGCGTCGATGGCGATTTTTCGTCCGAAATAGTTCTTGATTTCTCCTTCTTTAATCGCTCCTGGTGCTTGATCAGCAATTAATTTGGCAAGAGTATGAATTCCCATGGCCTCCCCGCGAATCGAGTGCAAAGAATTCTGAAAAGAAACAGATAAAGCGTATTTAAAATATCGAAAATAAAATCTTGTTCTTGTTCTATAGTGTATAGAATTCTTTTCATGTACGATTTTAAGAAAGGAAAATTGAAGAAGAAAGTAAACGAACACAAGAACAAGGATAACAAGAATAAAATAGACACAGCAAAAAAGAAGACGAACAAGGTAGGTTTCATTTCAACAAAAGAGAACAGAAAAAAAATAACCTAATCAAAAAATGGGCAATGTCTTTTCTTGATCAGTACGAGGAGATTTTAATGCCTGGCGCTCCACCTGGTGGTCCTTCATTTTTACCGGCATACCTCGTTTTGCCATATGAGAAGGGCACATAACGGTACTGAATCATATGTGCTAAACGTTGACGCATGGTTAGGAAAAATAAAGTAAAAAAATAAATAACAAGCACTGGCCAAAAGACAGGAATATCAAAGATTGAGAAGCAGGTCAATGCTAAACTAATGACAATCGCTTTGAATGTTGTGTACCAAAATTTAAATTCTGGTAAACGACGCATAAATGGTCGATACTCATCTGTAGACCGTGTTGGTAAACGTGGTACATGATCACCGTCGTCTTCATCCATGTCGCGTAGTGACGGATCTTGTTTTGGTGTTAGAAAGAGAATAAATTGATTAAGTAGAAATATTCCAAGCCCATAAGCAATGATATAAAAGCCTTGCACATAAAGAATACGCACGGAAAAGATAGCTAATAAAACTAAATTGGTTATCCACCTAATGGCCACGAATGGTGTGACACGATCGAGTATATGCTGAGTATGCATGCCGATACGACTGAAGGATTTTCCTGCTGCCGATCCACTTTTGTCGATGCCACCTAACGAATCCATGTAATTTGTTTTGCCTTCTTGTAAGAATCGAAATGAAATTGCTTTCGTCAAAACGAATTTATATGTATAGATGTGACAATGTCTTTGAGTGAGTAAGAGAAGATGTGGAAGAGAATGATAGATAAAGTCCACCGATTGGTACAGTCAATAGGAAAATGATAGAGGGCGCGCAAAAATTTCCAGTTCAGTCGAAAACTCGACTTTTAATCGAAAAGAATTTCTCATTCGAAAGGAATAATTTTTTTCTAAAAAGAAAATTTTTTCCGTGAAACATCAATTCTAAACAAAGATAGGTAACGGGTCCATCTTTATTCGTTCGACGTTGATGGCGACATGAAATAGTAGAACAAGACGAGAAAGAGAGTACTGTAGCATTAAATTTGTCTTCGTGCTAACTTTTTTTTTTCTTTCTGTTTTTTGTGTCTTCCTCTTTCTCCTTGAACGAAATCAGATGAAATAAATCAACTCAATTAATTTTAGATCATTTTCATTTCTCGTATGGCATCTAGATTTGTTCATAGAAGTGAATATCAACAAAATTCTTCTTGGTATGTATTCGAGACATTATCTCATACGTGTATTAATTCCATTACAGCGTTGATTGAGAGGAGTGGAAACGAAATATCTAATCATACCTGCTATGTACACGTACGTGTATTTGATTCGAAATGATTTTGTTTAGGTTATGCCCAAAACTGATCTCGGTGATGTTTGTGGACGCTATGTATCTTCGCGTCTGTCAAAACAAACACATTCTCCATTGTCAAATGATCAGCAATCAATAAAGCACTTCTCAACTAACCCATCTATTGCTACTGAACACATTCAACAAGCGAATATTTTAGAAGAAAAACTGTTTTTTAAATCATACGCGAAAACCTCATTAGAGAATTTAAGTCAACATTATACATTAATTCCAAGTGAAACTGATCAGACGAACATTATGCCGGCTAATAATGATGTTCTATTAACTGCATTTAATAATAATACAACGAATGGAACGAATGGAACAAATTCTTCACACCAATACCGTTCAACATATGTTTCATGTAGTAATGGAAACACGAATGGAAACCATTCGTTATCCCCACCTTCTCAATCATCCTCGTCCTCCTCATCTTCATCGACATTATCGTCTTCGTCATCATCATCGTCGTCAAATAGTAGTTCACCGTTGATGATGCATTGGGAATTATTAAAAGATCGTGGTTCGGGCTTAGTAAATCTTGGTAATACATGTTTTATCAATGCTTCATTACAATGTTTAGCAAATACTCCTCCGCTTGTTCAATGGCTTTTATGTAATTCTCATAATCAGTGTTGTCGAGTCAAATTAGAAAAACAATTTTGTCTATTTTGTGAAGCTGAGCGTATAGTTAAGTCGATTCATTCAAAGAATTCCAATTCATCGTTTTCATCATCCGTTGGTGCTGCTACGAATCCGAATAATATCGCTCGTCGCATAAGAGAAATCTCCACAACGTTCAAAGTTGGCCGACAAGAAGACGCAAGTGAATTTCTGATTTGTCTGATCGATAAAATTGTCGACGGATGTCTCCGATCATCTCAACCGCCTGAACGTCTACGTCCATCATCAGGCACATCTTACGAACAATTATGCCATTCCCAAACGATATTCCATGACCTATTCGGTCTCGTTCTCCGTTCACGAGTCGTGTGCACGCGCTGCCGTCATACATCTGATACATTTGAAGTTCAATATACATGGATCGTTGGTGTACGTAATCATGCCGATTTGCGACAGTCATTACAGCAATTTGTTTGTCGTGAAACACTATCTGGTGAAAATCTTTATCGCTGTATCAAATGTAAACAATTAGTACCGGCTATTAAACGATATACGTTACATAAAGCGTCGAAGATTTTACTGATTAATCTCAAACGGTTTGAATTCGGTAAAAATTCGCATAAATTGTCACATCTTGTACGTTATCCCGAATATTTAAATGTCACTCCATACATGAGTGAAGAAACCTCGACGGATGAGTTGTTGAACTATCGTTTATACGCTGTATTAGTTCATGTGGGTGCATCCATGCACTCAGGACATTATTTTGCCTACGTACGTTCACCGAATAACCGGTGGTACAAAGCCGATGACACAACAATGACACAGTGCGATCTGAATCAAGTTTTGTCGCAGCATGGTGCATATATTTTGTGTTATATTAAAGAAACCCCAGCAACAGATTCAACTGCCAACGGCTCACCATCGACAACAGCTAATGCAACATCTTCAACGCCAGCAGCAACCACAAATAAACTGGTGTATCAGAATGGTAAATTAAACAACAGTGAACAACAGTCAACTATACCGAATGGCATATTTTTCACATCACGTCAAATACCGATCCAGAATCATGTCAAACAAAGTATGTCGTAAACGTTGTTTTCTGTTCGTTGAACGTCATAGAACTGATTGGTGTTGATTAACATAACAAATATTTACTTTTCTCGTTAGTTCTTATCATATGATCTTTGAACAGCTTTGAAATCACTTAATCTAATATGAACTGATAAGAAGATTAGTTATTGAGAAGTTCAATCGAATAATTCCTCATGTAATCTCCAAAACTCTCCTGCATCTTTGCCGAATGCATATTTTCTTATGAGATATTTCTTGTTTAGCCAATGGACAAAATGGTAATTTGAAAACCATTGCGCCATCGTTGACGAAGCCTGCAATTGTCACATCGAATTCTGAATCAACTAATGGCAACAATGCCTTGTCGACAGAAAAACGAGCACCAATTGTCATGCGCATTCCAAAATTGAATTATGTCTCTAACTACAAGGTAAACTTTTCTTCGTATGAGTTGATTTTCTAAGGAAACGTTCCTTTTAGTCGGTAACACTGCAAGATAAACCAATACTAAATACAAATATCACAACATTATCCTCTTCCAAACTTGTTAATAAATCCAATTCAACCCCGATTATTTTATCAACGACAAAGAATAGTAACTACACGATATCACCAGCAAGTTCATTATCAGCTGTACAATCGACGTCATCGCCGTTGAAACTGATTATCAAAACATCTGGACCATCATCAACACTCAATGGTCTTGCATCTATATTGAATTCATATAATCATGACGATGACGATGATGACGACGATGAGAATAACGATGATGATGAGAACAATGATGATTCGTTGGAGCTTCGGCAGCCAGTCACGAAAAAAGCACGAATTACAGAACCACAAATATCGCCCACGATACCAATTCTTGTGCCTCCGTCATCTGATCTTGTCAACAGTTCGATTTCGGATACGAGTTCGATGCCTGCCCAAAGAAAATCGTTGGATGATGAGCAATCAAATACTTCTTCGTCATCGCCTACCAAACACAAGAAAAAGAAGAAGAAGAAAAAGTCACATAAACATCATCATCATCATCATAGAAATCATCATTATCACCATCGCAAACGATCTCGAAGAGACAGTAGTCGTAGTCGATCACGTTCACGTTCGCGTTCTTACTCTCCTCTATCTTCATCATCGCTGACTGATGATCAGTATCGGCGACATCATAAAAGTAAGAGACAACGTCGTCATAAACGATACAGTTCGTCATCATCAGCGTCGCTATCATCGCGCGAACCTTTGTGATAAAGTTTTCATTTCATTTCGGTCTGTTTCTCTATCTCATTCTCTTTTTTCCTCTTTCGCTTGTTTTGTTTTGTAATGCGCACGTTCCTACTCGATCGCTCAAAATTCGAATCGAAGAATTCACCACAATGGTGGAGAAGACATGCAGTGAGCACCACCACTATAATCAACGTTCTCCTTTTGTACGATTTCTCTTCAGTCACTCTCTCCTTTACGTTTATTGTGTGTATTTCTCTCCGATACTGCATACGTGTGCTCATCTTATTAGCAACAGCCTGTCACCATCGTTGATGTCTTCTCTGTCATATTGTCCATGTTGTTTGTTGTGGTGGTGCAATTTTCTCTTTTTTTCTTCTGCTTGTTGTTCCTTTGTGTATGTGTGTTTCTTGTTTCTTGTATTTCTCTGTTGACATACACATGTGTGTTTGATTAATGCAAAGAAAGAAAAGAGAAAAAAAAACTAAAGAAGTTTACAAAATACCACGAGATATTGAACGCAAATCAAGCGCGACAATGACTAGATATAATATTTCCCCATCGGTATTCGCCAAAAATATATCAGAACGATAGTTAATTAATTCGCATGATTCATGTTTTTCAAATTATTTTTATCTTCATTTGAGCGTTAGTTATCACAAAATGTAGACTCAAGGGGAGCGTTGTTAGATGGTTTAAGAATAGAAAAGAATCATGAATGTGTATGTGAGCGAATGCCAATGCAATAAATGTTATCAGTAGAGCCGGAAGTAATAACAACTAACTCGTATGATTTGTTTGTGTTGCCACTACTCGTATGACATCCAATTTGATAAATTTTATGTCAATAAACGAACTCGAAATTGTCAAGCGTTTACATTCAAATTTGCATACATACCAACTTGTCATAGGTATTGCTAATAAAATTGTTTTTGCCATCAGAAAATGTTGAAAACATCGTCATTTACATGAGAAGACGAAAACATCAGTGTGACAAAAAGAAACGGATGACGCATGGCATACATCAACTATTATCATGCGAATATTGCTACTAATTTCATCGTCACATATTCGCAAATATGTCATGCAAATCGAACTATATATTATGAGTAAGTTCTATCGATATTTACTATATGCAGGTAGTATCGTGATGTTTTTCTACTCATATATAAATGCGCATGATGCCTAAAAAAACTTTTTATTTCAGAACGTAGTATACTAGCGAGCGTTGTATTCATAGAACGTAGATATGGGTAGTCTTTTTTCGCGTGGTTATCCTGGGTACGGATATCCTGGATATGGAAATGTAGGTTATCCTGGCTATGGGGGTGTGGGTTACGATCCAATTGGCGTAGGCTATGATCCGATCATTGGAGGCGGCTATGGTAATGGCGGCTATGTTTATTACACCACGGAGTACGTTCCAGCACCGCGTCGCCGTCGACGACGACGCTGCCCAGGGTGTTGTGCCGGTGGCTTCTGTGGATACGGCGGATATGGCGGATTTGGTGGATATGGCGGGTATGGACGATCCTATGGCAGATACGGAGGTTACTATTAATCATCGATTTGTATAAACAGTATAAAATTTGGACTTTATACAAAGAAAGAAATTTTGATTTCTTTGTGCCTATTACATAACTGAACAACTATGCACGAAATAGAACGTTCTATTTCCTTGTATTTTTATTACTACTGCATGTGTTATTGTGATTGATCTATGTTCTTTTTCAGTAATAAGAAGTATAATCACATCTCAGATTGAGAGACACTGAACACATCATTAGTTTGTTTTGCCTTTTTCTATGATCAGTAACTACCGCCATCATTCGTCAAAGAAACAATGGAGTGGCAGAATGCGCTCTCGAATCACTTTTCATTGTAGAGTTGACAAGTGATCAAGTGAACGAAAACACGACTAGAGATAGATTTACAAAAACATATCTTATCATTCAACTATCAGTCATGGATAAGACTAATAATCCTTGTGCTGCAATGCTCGAACAACTTCATACGCTTGAGCAATCTATCCATATTCTCACTCTAGTTAATAATGATCTTCGCCAAATTCTTCGTAAACAGTATAAAGAATATAATGTTTTTTGTTTTGCACATTTATGAAAGAAAAATATTTTTTTAGCAAGCCCCTTCCGAAATTTATTCGAGAAGCACTCAAGCAGTCAACTATTAGTAAATCGAAAGCAACTTCTGCTCTTCCGCCTGCACCTCCTTCACTTCCACCAACAGGTACACAGCAAATTGATTGTTACACTTTCGATAAAGCATATAATTCAATATAGAAACGGAAGAAATGCGTCTGGCTGCAAGTGTTATTGATAAAGCTAAGCGTACTATAGAAGTAAGTTCAGGTAGGACAGTAGATCCAAAAGGTACTATACTGTATTTATATCTTCAATATAGAATATTGGAGAAAAGAAATCCAAACCGTCGCCACTTATCGTCCCGCCAATTCTACCTCCAACTCAATCGAATTCCAGCCGTCCGAAAACGGCAATATCATCAACTCGCCCACCTTCAGCCAGGTCGACTACATCAAATCCTTCTGAACCTCAGCAGTCCACACAACCGCCAGTGCGTCGTTATGTTCCCGCTCATATCAAAGCACCATTTCTAACTCAACCTGAAAGGAAACGTCGGCCAGGTTCCACAGTCCGTAACAGTTCACAAACGAATCCTAATCAAAGAACGAGTGCAACACAACGATCTGCCAGCCAACAACGACAACTATCATCTACCAGTGTCCCTCAACAAGTCACACAAACACTAGCCATTCCATCGGCACAACCAGTCGAAACAAATTCGATAAATGGCAATCCACATGTCGATGCTACAAGCCAGGAAATAGTTCTTCCAAATCTCACATCTGTTCATACAACTTTTCAGGAACCAGTTGACAATTCTCAGGAAACTATCGATATTAATATATCTCCTGTTCCCGATTCAATTATACTCAACCGAACTTTAGTCAAACCATTACGACGTTTATGGAAACAAAATCAAACGCTTCGTGTTCGATTGAAACGCGATCTCGAAAAAAAATCAATACGCAAACCTTCATTTATCGATCGATTAGATGAACAAGTAACTAAATTTGACGGATCGAGCTTGAACAACAATATCTTCCTTTCTTAGATTCATTCATCGATAACTATTGACCAAATGCATGTGCCAAATATTGAAGTATTACTACAATTAGCTGCTAAACTACGTGCTATCATACTTCATTTGCTCGAAACCTGTATGTTCTACCAAAAGTGACAATAATCAAACAAATTTTTGTTTCATTCTTAGCGAAATTCGATGATCTTGGTAGCACATTGAAGCGTTTGAATACATTAAAACATCTTGCTAATCAATACCGATATCTATTCATCGGAAATAGTAATATTCTTGTTTCTATCCAACGTCCACAAGCGATAAACACGAATATAAACATCGATGGTACGATTTCCTGATCAGCTGAGTATTTTACCGAGGCATAGTTTTCTTTTAGAATGGCTAAATAAACCGAAAGAATCCAGATTGAACCGTACAACTATCCGATATACTGACGACAGTCAATTGATTGCGTTCACTGAAGTACGCTTCAAACAATTTGAGAATGAATGTCGATTGATCGAGTTAAATTGGCATGAGCAACTAATCAATCAGTTCAAACAAACAGTCTCCAATCCCGATCAAAATCCTCTTCGAATCTACCGAGAATTGATGTCTCTTGTAACCGGTTTACAAACGTCCACTCCGATTGTTGTAGAAAACAGACACGAATGAAAATAATGTTTTTACTTTTGGTGTATTATATTTCTTTCTACTCTATGCACTTTTTCAGATTGACTTTCTTTTCATCTTGTGTTGAATGTCGACTACATGGCAAGTTTTACTTGCCTTGGACGCTCGTTACAACGTATATCGTACACCGAATAATTTTCAATTTAGTATGTAGAAGAACTCGTGCTATGCATGTAAACTAGTTGAGAATATTTAGAAACGCTGTATATCAGGAGGCGAAGTCAACTGCTGCGCGATAATCGCCCGACAGAAGTAAGATAGATAGATTGATGTGTGCTTTGATAAATGAGTTTTTATTTAGAATGATGTAAATATTCGAAAGCATTACCTGAAATTACGCTCGATTTTATTAGCGTCAAAATATGGAGCGGTTTTGCTTGACAACAGGTAATGTTTAAATGGGAATATCGCATATGTCCTTATTGAGAAACTACTCTTAGATCAAATGGAAGCCATGCTAGTCGAATGAATTCAATCTCTGAAGTGAATATTCATCTGCTTTTCTTGCGTTCACATGTGAAGTCTGCTCTTTATCGTAGAGTGCTGATTCTTTCGTTGATTGGACGCGAAAAAATACCGCAGTAGTAACAAATCAAATGCTAATCGATGATATACCTGAGATAAACAATGCACCGTTTTCGACGTCGACTCTTTCGAATGTTTCGATCACTAGCAGGTATGATAAGAGACAATGGAAATAGAATGCCAACTCGTCCTTCCTTTCTTTCGTACGAATAGAGCACTGGCAATGGGGCGATCTTTAGAAGAGACTTACGCATTTTCTGGCGTTCATCATATCTTTGATCATCATAAAGGTTCAGGTAACAAGAAAAAAAACTTCTGAAAATTTCAATGTCAATCTCTTCGGATTTTGTCCACAGTAATGCGCGTTCAATTTGCACCGAACGATCGAAGTTTACTGGCAACTTGTGGTCGAGATGGAATTCTTGCCATATGTCAAGTTCTTCCCACTCCCGCCACAATTATCTATCGACTTAAGGGTCACACCGCTGAAATCAATGGTCAGTAATTCATTTTCGTTCAGCATCAAAACGATCGATTTGACTTCGAATAGACATGCAATGGTCATCCATAAACGATCTTCTAGTAACAGCAAGTAGTGATGCAAGTATACGTATATGGCAGATCTCAAAAGGCAAATGTATGCGTGTGATTGAGAGTACGCCGGGTGTAGAAAATCTTTGTTGCTGCTTTCATCCATCCAATAATAATTTCATTGCCGTGGGAAATAATCGAGGAATTTTGCAAATCTACAATGTTTCAACTGGTAAACCATTGAAAGTATGTCTTTGTTTTTCTTGTTCTTCACATTTCAAGCGAAAGAATTCGATTTAGAACTGTGTAATTAAATGTTATGGCCGATCAATGTGCGTGACATTTGATGAAACTGGCTCGATTCTATGGACCGGTGATGATCGCGGAAATATTTTCGCGACTCTGTTTGACATGACAACTGGCAAATTACATAGTTGTAAACGGTAGTGACACGATCAACAAATTCTTATTTGATTCTATTTCAAAATACTTTAGAGTGTTTTCCAATAGTAACGGTTCCGTAACGAGCTTGTCATTTCGCTATCGTTCAACACGGGACGGACGTGAAGGATTCATCTTAGCTAATGTTATACCTAATTTACTCTTAGTTTTTAAGTAGGATTTGTCTAAATATGCAACTTTTCAGGTTTCATTTACTTTCTATGGTAGAGTCGTGTCCAATAATGGTAAATTAAGTGTACGAAAGCGTTTCTCAATTCGTCACAAGTCATTGACGGTTCACAGCTCATTTTGTCCAATTATATCTCCACGCCAGGGTTTCTGTGTTGTCAGTGCTAGTGAAGATATGTGCGGTAGGAGAACACGATCTCTTCGTGTGATCTTTTCATTAGTTTTCGTTTAGTCTATCTCTATGACGTCGATCGAGAAATTCGGACCTTAATCAATAAATTGCAAGGACATTGTTCAGCAGTATTCGATGTATCATTCAATGCTGATGAAAGTCTTCTAGCATCATGTGATCAACAAGGTTTAGTTATAATCTGGCAACGAGATAATCGATGATGATGACCATTCGTTCTTAACAAATAAAACTTCGTTTTTATTGTTACTGTATTTATAAATATATCTAATAATAAATGAACAAAAACTCTTGTTTTAGATGAGTGTCGCAAAGAAATTGAAAAAAAGCCTAAATATCGAACATCACAGTGGTGATGATGATATCATCCTTATTGAATCAACGACAACGTCGACTGTTAATGAATTTTGTCAACAGACAGATGATTCTTGCCGGGAATATCATTCTGTCATTTGCCTACATTGTAATCTATATTTGTGTTATACTCATGCTGAACAGCATCGTTTGCGACTGCTTAATGAACGTGACCGATTGGTCAATGAATTGAATGAACAGATCCATCATCTGAATGAAGTCATTCAAAATCCGCATCACATACAAAAACTTTTGTTCGAACACTCAGAGCAGAAACTGACGTTTCTCCAACAATTACATTTCGAAAAGTCTTTGAATTATTCTGAAATTATCGAAGAATTGAAGAATTTACTTCTACCTGTGCGTCTTCTGTTGCAACATAGTCAATGTGTGAGTATTATCCAAATCAATCGAATCAAAGAAAGTTTGTCAAAATACAGCGAAAACAAAAAAGTAAAACAGAACTAAATCTTCGATTTGACCCTACATTTCATCCGTTAGATTTTATTCAATCGGCTTGTGGATGTCAAACCAGAGAAACCATCTAATCATCATTTTCATCTATCTAGCTTGGCTTCACCCTGTCGACAGTATGAGTTACCTGTTCAACGCTCGATGCACAATGAGATGGCAGCGAGTGAAGATATTCTTCTAATCAACGATCGTGAACACTTACTTGTATTCAATTTAATCAATAGTTTTGATAAGAACTTAATTCCGGAGTTAATCGAATGGAAACTGAATCTAAATGGAAAAATTCTTGACATACAGTATAGTGTGTTTTTGAAACTATTTTTTATTTTAACTGACGAGAAATTATTCTCTTTTCATCGACCTTCATCTACAATTTTACTTAATCGTTTCACTTCTCTTCCATGGTCATGTGCAACGTTGCTAAACTCGATTTTTATCTTATATAAATATTCGACATGTATCGAACAATGGGTGCATCAACCGATTTCTTCATCATCGTCGATTCAGTTGATAAAACAGTGGAAATTGAATGAAATTGTAGCTGAATGTGAACACGATCAACATTTAAGATGTATTCGAGCCAATCCAAGCCAAACTCAACTGGCAATTTTAATTGTGAGTGTCTCAAGGAATTGTCAATCAATCACATGTTCGTTTTCTAGGAAGATGACGAATGTCAATGGCGTGTTGGAATCTTTGATATCGATATGAATTGTTTACATCAAACACATACACTTCCCAATGCTTCGACAATCGATTGGAATCTTTTCCTTTCGTTTATAACTAATCAACAATTATTGGTTATGGATGGAACAACGGAACAAATCTATTTGATTACGGTTGAGCAAAACGTGTCATCCATCGGACAGAAACAGTATTCCGATTCGGAATATCCAGTAAATGCATGTGTTATAACAAATGATAACTATAGTCAGTTAATCTTCAAAATGGTCAAACCAAATATGCTCAAATTCTTCCAGATATAAAAAATTGTTTTCTTTTCTGGTTTTTTTGGTACAATCGTATTAATACGTGTTCTATGATCTAATATTACGTAGCAATAAATAAAAAATTGGAATAATATTATTTAAGAGTTATCGCTCTACATGGTTTCAGCTAAAAGTTTATGCGAGATTTACCTTTTGAAAGAGTTCATATTACCTTGTATCAGTAACTATCCCCATTCTTTATCCAATGAATATTGATATGAGAGAACAGATGCACGAACTTCGAATGATCTTTTCTTTTAAATAATCTCTATAAAAATGATTTTGATTACATTCTGTCGTTCACTAGTAAAATTTCTCTTATAATCGTCTCCACTTAACATCTTATATTTAATCATTGTCCCTTACGTGGTATATACCAACTATCTTGAAAACGCTTTATAATGTCAGAAGCCAGTTCATTCGACCAAAGTGGCTATGAAGAACTGAATCATGCAAAAATTAGTATAAATATTTATTCGAATTTCTAACAGTCAAACTGAAAATGTCCAACTACAAGAAATAGATGAAAGAAAAAGGTTACATTGGATTACCAGTTGATGACAGGTTAGAGAAGAGCAAGGTATTTGTTGATATTTTATGAAAAAGTGAGTATAGTGAAAATAGAAAACGTTTTTTGTACATTTATGTAGCATTTACTTTTAAAAAAGTTGATATTGCCTCGCATCGGTAACTACCGCCATCCTTTACCAAATAAATGTTGGAATGGAAGAACATGCACGAATTGCGAACGTTTTTTTTCTCTCTATATTTGATTATATTTAAAAAAGGAAAAGGAATGAGTATGTGGTTAGTTCATTTTACCTTCTATTAATTGGATTCTATATCCTTGACTTCTGATCAAACACGAACGAAATTTTGCTTTAAAACCGTCTTTGTCATTGGTTGTGACTTTTTTTGTAGATCATTTTCTTTGATAAAAAGTATGTATTATGAAACAGAAGAAGGTGACCAAGAATTGAAACTTATATACGATGCTTTGCAAGCTAAACTTGTGCAAGAAGACAATGAATCAGATAATGACGGCGAATCGAAAGCAAAGAGATCGCGTAAACGACGTCGAAATGAAGCGTCCATACTCGAACAAGAAAATGAAGAACGATTGAGCAATGTTCGGCCTAAACGAGCAGCAGGTTAGTTTTACATAAATATTTTCCCTCGTCTCAGTGAGTCTCTGCTACTCTAGCACTAAAAATCAATGGAACTAATGTTGGTCAACGACGAATCGATGAATTTATTTCCAAGAAACGTTCTCCATCGAAGAAGACAACAAATTCTATCAAACCGACCACAATGCTTCCACCATTACCGATACCGGAAAGTGAACGTTGTCCAATATGTGATCGATTAATTTCCAGCGATATTCTTCAAGTGCATACCGATGCGTGTTTAATTCAAAATAGTGATTCTGCGAAAGAATTAATCGAAAAAAGTAAACAACGTACTAAAACCGAAGCGAAAGCGAAGGAAATTCTCTTTCAACGAGCGACACGCAAAGTAGTTGCTAATCATTTAACTCGTGTGGACAGTGAAACGACCACTTGTCCAACATGCCATATGCAAATGACTGTTTCTCGACTTGAAAATCAGCATAGGAAAGAATGTTCAAATCGTCGTCTGTGATAATTAGTTTTTTTGTAGCAGATCTGTTTTTTTTTAATATGTATATGTTTTTTTCTCGTATTTCTGAAATCAATACTGATGTTTGTTTTCCTATCGGCGGTCCATGAATATTTATCGAACATTTTTATATCATAATGATATTTGATTGATCGCTTTCGTCGTATAACGTAGGAATATATGATTATTAGCAGAAATATTCTTTTCTATTCGGAGAAATTTCAACTATTAATATAAATAAGACATGATATGTATATGTAGCACACATGATTCGGAAGGATTGAAGAGAAAGGTTTGATAGGAAGTTTAGCTGAATTAATTTTCTCGAGAAAATACATCGATTCGATCGGTCATAGCAACGAATACATGACCTTTGTTATTCGTTGCTAACGATTCAGGATATTCAATACCAGTTGTGAGTAACTTTTGAAATTCGCCATCTTCACCGAAAAGCACCAAACGATCATTGTGAGAATCAGCGATGAGTAATTGATGTTTATCAGAGAATGCTGTTATACCACGTGGACTTGACAGGGGATGAGGAAAGCTAGCTGATGTTTCGCTTCCGAAGCGTTTCTCATAGATGCCATCCAACGTGAATTTATGAACACATGAACCTATTTGATAACACGGAAAGAAATAAGACAATGACAGTTAGTTTATGTAAAGAAATCCAGAATCAACCTTGAGGATCTGTGATATAGATATGTCCATTTGCTGCTGTACAATAACCAAGTGAACTAAACAGATTCTTATCACCAAAAAACCGTATGAGATTCGCGCTTTTCGGATCGTAAACTTTCACTTGTCGATTAGCTTGATCACACACATAGATTAAATCATGTTCATCGACACATATGCCTTGATAATTCGTTAGACCAGCTTGAGCATCATCGCAAGCAATTGTTCGTGTTAGACGAAGGTCACTACTTAAAACTAACACCTGCAGTTCATCGCTCATTAGTACTTGATCATTACTCATGACAGCTAGACCATTTTTTGTTCCATAATGACTGATAATCTTCGCTAATTTATTGTCTTCGGTAAATGCAACGACACGTTCGTTTTTGGAATCCGCAATGAATAATAATCCGTCATTTGGTCGGTAAGCAATACCACGTGGTTGATTTAGAAAAGATTTGCCAAATTCAAGCGAACCGAGTGAATTAATTAATGAAAACTGAATTTGTGATGCATTAGCCATTGTCTCAACACAATCTAAAAATAAAACATCTTCCTACTAGTTGGTTCGATCTGTTAACGTCTAGGACTCTATCGGAAGTAGTTTTGGCATATCTTTTGTTTGCTGAAAAAAACAGATAAGGTCGAAATCTCCTACCAGTAATTATATTGGATAGTAAACAAAGAAAAAAACTTTTTTTGTATCACCAGTGTTTGCATATCGATGTTGAAGAGAAAAAAATCTATCGATTTTATGTTTGATTTTTGTATTCGATCGAAATGTTAGAGAAGCGTTCTATTCAGAATATTCGGAAGAAACAATACGAATTCGTTAGATTTCGAACGGTAGATTCTCAAGAATATCAATGGTAATCTGTTGAAAAGTAATAGAAACTAGAGAAGCGATGTTGTTAGCGTTGTCGCTGTTATAATGCTATAGAACTGGATAAGAAAATAATGTGTTGTATAGTTATGATGCTGTTTTTTATCCTTCAGTCAGTTTCCAAGTAGGCGTTGGACATACGTCATTATACAAACAGAAAAACTCCATAGACTGAGAGACCTACAATGTCACTTATGCATTCGTTCGTTTTCCTATGAGGGAAAAGAAACGTTTTTCTCGTTTTATACCCTAGATTTGGCATACATCAAACAATGGTACCAGATAATAGAGCGAATAATCAAGCGTTATTTGGTTTGCTAACTTTGTCTCTTTGTGGTTCAGGCGAAAAAAAGCAAAAATCAATCTGTATTCCGTAGGCAAGCGCAAGAGAGAGAGAACGCCGAAGACGTTGCGAGACGCACGCTATCTTGATGTCTATCATAGTAAGACATATACCATCCGATGGCGTTAATCTTGATTAATATTAGAACATACTCAATGAGACCAAGGCACATCATATGCAAACTATATCGAAGAGAGATTAAGATGCGAAGACAAGATTATAAATAGTGAATAAACATGATGTGATGATGAAGAAGAAGAAGATCTTGATTATTCTACATATTCTACAATGATTTCTGGAAGTTGCCATGGTAAACTGAGTTATCATGGTTTCATCTTTCTCGACATATTGAGTTCTCTTTTTTTTGTTGAATTTTATTTGCAATAAAACTGTCACTGTGCAAGTAGACGCGAAAAAGTGAACAATAAAATGTGGTAAAATTCGTTAGCAAGCAACAAACAATTATTAGTAAATCGAATGGACGTTTTCTTCATACTACAAAATTTCAGATCATTCTGGCATAACATCACAAAAGAAATGATATCATATGAAAAGATTCATTCATATCAGTAGAGACAAAGAAGTAAAACAAAACAAAAAAAGCAAGAAAGAATGGAATGTGTACGTAGGTTAATGAACGAGAAAACGAAACTACAATGAGATTATTGGTTGTTGTCAGATATGAGAACAAAGAGTAATATATGACCAGTTGATGTCATTCTATGAAGAGCAACTTAGAAAATACTTTCACCATTAGAATAATCAACTAGTATTGAATCGATTAAGATTTCTGCGCCTAATAAGTAGGAGCTGGCCGTTGAGGCGCTGAGATATCTGGCGCATATTGTTGTGCAGGTTGGTTGATTCTATCGGTACGGTATGTTCGGAATTGAAAGAAGGCATCTGCTCCATACACAATCATGGCTGCAAAGCCGAAAAACTATAATATAGAGAAAAAGAAGATTGTCCGGTTTTTGTCAATTCTTATAATCGATTAGTTACCGCTGCCGCTCCATAGGCTCCATGATATTTCCCAACTACTGCTATGACAATACCTGCGATGAAATAGAACAAGCAAATGAATAAACACCAGCATAATTCCTATTTTGAAACACTTCATAATGCGAAACAATGTTATGGTAGCTTACGATGATTGGCCAACGACCACGCAAAACAACGTTATGAACGTTTAATAGGCCCAGGATTAAAAGCACAAATGTAATGATTAATGCGAGAATGGAAACGAATAGATAGAAGCTTCTATTTCCTGCTGTATTATCGTAGACAGGTGCAGCTCCAGCCAGAATTGTGCCAAGAAGATCACAGAGCTAGGTAAATGAAAAAGGCAAGGTTTTTTTCGAGTTGTATCGAGAAAAAAAAGGAGTCTGTATACAAGTTCGATGATTTTGAGGATACCAGGAATGTTTCGTAAGTAATCCAATGAGCAGCCGATATTGTGATTTGTTGAATCCATCAGTGAGACCCTGTTTTCAAACTAAATTTACAAATCTATAATAATAAATAAACAGATTATGTCGTTTGAAATGCCATAGAAAAGATACAAATGGCTGACACGCGCGTAGATTATCGCAGGTCAAAGATGAAAACGACCATTTTACCCTCTATCGCCACCGCCCTTCATTTCCTTCCGTCAAAAGTCAATAGGGCAATAACGTACAATCTGTGTCCTTTATCATAAACGAACGTTCACGATGGAGTATCGAAAGCAAAGAGAGAAAAAGAGAGCAAAAGGGACAGAGGACGAGAAGAAGAAAAGAAACAGGGCTAATGGCACGACCTGCCCGTAGAACAACTAGTGACCACAGACACACCCAATTATTGAACAAAGGCTGACCGAGCTTGTCAATAGAGAATACCATCACGATATCGTGGACAAATAGAACTAATAATGAATAGTCTCTTTTGTTTACACAAAGGAAAAATAATGATTTCTTCTGTGTGACGACAAAAAAACTAAAGCAACCGTCGATTCTCGATTACTTCTAAATAATATTTTGCACCGCTCCGTTAAAAATAAACATCGGCGTATGAGAGAGAGAGAAAAAAGACTGAAGAAAAAAGTGCTATTAAACTTTTAATCAGCCTTTGAAAAGAACAGAACAGAACAGGTAAAAAACTCTCGGTTGCTCTCTCTGTCTCTCTTCTCTATACATGGAGTGTTTCTGCCTGAGCATGATGAGTCATCGCAGCAGACGATTCTATTGGCTTTTGCTGACCAATGAGAATCGGTTCTCCAGCCATGATAAACGTATGCGTTCCCTCACGACAAGCATAATGGTGATATTTTTTCTATTATTTGTTGTTATTATTCATTCTTCCTTTTTTTGTGCTTGATGCTCTCGCCGTTACTTCAATGCAATGTTTCCTCTTCCGTGCATGAGGATTTTTTCTTCTAATTAATCGAAGTATTTTCATTTCTGTTTCTTGTTTACTTAATGGGCTACCCCGCGTTGACAAGGACAAAAAGAATTCTCCTAAATGCGTAGCGACGGACGGACAAACGAACATCGTATTAGTCGGTCCGGCTTGTTGAGAAAGAAGACGAAGAGAAGAAAAGGAGAGAAACTTCCAGTACACGTATGGCTACGAATTTCGAATGCGCGTACATTTGACTAGATTTACGTATCGTCGTCATTTTTAATTATTCCAGAGCGCATGACAGAAAACGATCAGCTGATTTCTCTACATCTGCTGACTCATATAACGTATTTTTGATAGCATGCGACCGCGGAGAACGAAAGCTAAAGAACAGTAGTGACTTAACAAAAAAAAAACGTTTGATTTTTCTTCTAGCATTCTATCGAATATTCATATCATTTCTTTTTTTTCAATTCTTCGATCCTCGATCGATCGATGGCTGAACCGACCATTGTTCTACGAAGTCCTATTAAATCAGCGACATCAACTCTTCGATGTTCATCGCCAAATCCAACATTAAATTCACCTACTCATAATAGTACAGTCATTATTCTCAAAGATAATAATAATAATAATGATCAACAACAGCAATCGTCAACGCCTACTTCGACAAAAACTTCATCATCATCGTTTACAACGTATAGAACATATCTTTTTCCAAATAAATTTCTATCTCGTTTTGTTTTTCAAGTTTAAAAACTGTTCAAACGAAACTTTACTCTGCCGGTTACACAGGATTATATAACTTGGGTAACACATGTTATGTTAATTGTGTTTTACAATTACTCAGGTTTGAAAATTCCATTGTATCGAGAGAAATTTCATTGGTATGTGTTTCGTCTATAGTCATGTCCCCCAATTTTGTGATGCAATCTGTTCGATGAGTTTCGAAAGTCTCGGTTTAGAACAACCATCTGACGTACCGATGGTATGTACTCGCATTCGTATGGGAGATTTCTCGAACGTAACCGTCGTTGTTCTAGGTTGCTTCATCACACAATCCCACACGATTGAAAGGTGGTGGTCGTGGTCTATTGAAAGCACTCGAAGCTCAGCCACGTCGAGTTCCATGGTGAGACATTGTCGTCGTTGTTGTCGTTATGTGTTTTCGTTGTAACATTCTTTCGTTAAAGTTATCTTGCGTATGAACTGCATGGTACTTTCAATATCATCTGGTCGGGTAAATGTATGGTCTATTCTCCGTTGAATATGATTGCCGCTGTTCGACGTTTGTTGCCCAGTTTTGAACCATGTGCAATGGAAGATGCACAAGAATTTCTTGAGTATATTTTCGAAAAAATCAATAGATTGTTTAGAATAAAACGTATTATTCCTTGTAGAGCATTATTAGCTGCCATAACAGATGAAATTAAAGCCAATAAGCTAGCCGATACCAATATTATTAATGATCTTTTAGGCTTCTCCTCTGAAAGTCAGGTATATACGATTAGCAAGGATTTTTTTCATTGCAATTGATTGTGATACCATTGATCGGCATTCTTAGATATTATGTGAACAATGTCATCGTTTATCAGTCACAAAAACCGACGAAACATTTATCACATTAACATTCTCAGAGAAGATGCTTTGCGATGTACGAGGATCTAGTCGTCGGCGTTCATGCCATCTCACAGGTTGATATTTGAAATGTTTTCATCTGTTCCAGTAATAAAACCAGAGATATTTGTTTTTCAGAAATGCTTGCTCATTTTTATCAATGGGAAGCATTATCAACACCATTTCAATGCTCAACTTGTACCGGTAAAGAGTATTTCTCGCAATCGAATTGATCTATTCTTTCGTTGATGTTAGTTCGAAATCCATCAAGAGAAGGTACAAAAGCACAAAAACGTCTACTGATTTCGAAACTTCCTCAAGTGTTACACGTCGTCCTACGTCGATTCAGATCATTACCTCAGACGACATTACGGCGGCCAACATCTCGTCAAACTCGTCAACTGTCACATAAAATCACCATGCATGTGAATTTCGATGAATATCTCGACATGGCACCGTATTGTGCTCCATTGACACCGAGTTCATCATTTCCATCAACACGCTCAAAACAAAACGGTACTTCAAGAAATGAATGCTTATATCGTCTACGCGGAGTCATTGTACATTATGGCAAAAGTATCAACACAGGACATTTTGTTGCATTTGTCTATAATGATGTTCTTGGTAAGAAAGTTTCTGTTCAGATTTGTTCGTCGGATGATAAACAACGTGGTTTTTTTCTTCCTTTAGGTGAATGGCTTCGCTGTGATGATCATATTATCGAACAAACAACTTTCGAATCAGTTAAAACTTCGGATGCTTACATTCTTGTGTACAGCCGTTGCATATCAAATACAATTCCATCGTCTGTCCCATCGAATCCATCAGGTTCGAGTGAAATATTGACGGTTGTGACGTGTTTTATATGCATCAATAATCTATTCTAGTACCAACATCAATGACTTGTCAGTTGCGTAAACGAAAACGCGCTATATCAGTTGATAATATCAGCGAGCAAAAGGATGATCCATCTACTCCTGAAACCACGAATGAAATAGGTACATATGTTACTTGGAATAAACAGCCGTCTACTGATTCGATTTTAGACACCAAATTAGAGAATACCGATGACCATTCTGAGATTGTGAAAAGTTTGAAATTCTTCTGTTTAAATTTCGGTAAAAACTTCTTTTGTTCATATTTTGCTGCCATTGACCGAATTCCCAATATTTATGCTAGATCCATTAGCCAGTGGTCTAAGACGTCGAGCACAATCGCTTAACTTTGCTATACGTACCAATCAATCTTCAGTTGATACTATTCGACAGAATCTATCAACATCGTCTTCAGTAAAACGTCAGCGCAAAGAACCACCAGTTGATTCCACCATATCTCACCGTATTGTATTAAAAGAAACTAAACTTGACAATGAAATCTGAATATTTTAGGCGCTGCTCCATCGTCGAAAGTTACATCGCAACAAACTATTCAAACGCGAAAGAAAAATTCTTCAGGGATGTGCAATGAAAACTTATCGTCAAATTCACAGAAGTCAACTAAAACAATCAGAAAGCGTCGTCGCACCGATCCATTTGCACGTATGTGACAAACAAAAGCGAATTCGTTCTACCTGATTTCTCTAGGAAAGAAACGAATGACGAAAACATCCGAGAGAAAAATGCCAGAAAAAATTAATATCTCCAATCTCGTCTCGGTGTCGTCAACTGATCAAGTGTTATCAACAGAATCTCTACTACCATCCGCACAGTCACCATTAACGTTCACATACGAAAATACGACGAGTCCAAATCTACTGATGACGAAGTATTTGTTAACGAAGTTTTCTTTTGTTTGTCTTGTACAAAGTGTTATTTTTCTTTTAGACGTATTGGTCGAATACGAATCCAGCGATGTATCGATGGGCAAACTTCTACAAACTCAACTGTACGATTAATTACATCCGGTGAAAGCAATCCTCGTTTATGTCTCTCCTCGCCATCATCATCACCCATTCAATCGTCCTCAGTTTTATCTAGTTTAATCACTGCACGTCGTTCCAATTCGCTCAATAATACCACAAGCAATCCGCCTAATAGTTAGCGCAAATCAATCGAAAAAAAAAGAAAATAATATTTTCTCGTTTTTACCTTACTGTTGTTCCGTTAATTGCTGTTGTATGTTCGTAGATATGTTATATTTTATTTTCTCGTCGCATCATCAAGCCAGCAAGAAAAACAAAGAAGAATAAATAACAGTTTCTGTTCGACAGATTCTGTCTAATGACATCATTTTATTCTACAATGTGAAATTTCTCTTTCTTTTCTCTTCTCTTTTTTTTATTACCGTGCACGTAAACTTTGTGTTAGTCATAAGCTTTTTTTCCTTTGTTTCGTTGCGTGTCATTCTGTTTTCGATTTCTCTCCTTTTTGTTCTTGCTGTAACGTTCTTTTATCACACATACGTATATGCATATACATATATATATAATATCTGCGGTCAACTGTGTCATGTCTATTCTACACGTTTATTTCGAGGATGTAAACATGTTTTTAGATTCCTTAATATTCGATTAAAACAAATTTCAGCAACACACACACATGAATCTTGTTTCGAGTTTCTATTTGTTCTGTCGTTATTTTAGATGGCAACCACAACGACATCAGCTGCGACTACGGGAAAGGGTAGTGTAACGTTGTCCCTTCATCCACTAGTGATTATGAACATCGCCGAACATTACACACGCGTTCGAGTTCAAACGACTCGGACAACGTCGGTCTATGGAGCATTGTTAGGGAAAATCAAAGGTCGACATATAGAACTATGCAATACTTTTGAGTTTAAATTGGCAGATGTCTCCACTGCAACGACTAGGGCTAGCGTGACGATTGATATGGAATTTTTAACGAAAAAACTCGAATTAATCAAACAGGTTCATCCCGATCTTGACTTTACCGGTTGGTATACAGTGGAAGGCAAAGACTGGAATTCTTCGATCATGAGTTCGTTCTACAGTCAACTTGCGTCACTCAATGAAAGCCCGCTTCTTCTTCGACTCGATCCTATTGGTGTATCGAACGAATTGCCAATTCATGCTTATGAAACCATCGTCGATTTAGGAACGAAAATCGACTTTATCGAAATCTCGTACACACTTATTACTGAAGAAGCTGAACGTATTGGCATTGACCACGTAGCCCGATACTCTGTAACTGACGGCACATCTGATACTTCGATCGTATCTGATCAAATCGCGATACAGTACAATGCTATTCGTTTACTTTATCAGCGCATGCTGGTTCTACTGGAGTATGTGCGAGCTATTAAACAGGGTCAGCTAGAAAGAAACGACGATCTACTACGCGAAATCGCTTCGTTATGTCAACGTCTGCCAATAATCAATACTGATGATAACACCAATCAAACATTTCGCGAAGATTTCGATATTCAACAATCCGATGTTGCTCTGCTAGCATTGTTAGCATGCTGTACACAAGAAATCAGTACATTGAATGACTACTTAAGTAAGTGTCGGGTGATGCAATTAAACTGTATGAACATCTATTGATTCTCGTAGACAAATTTCAAGTTGTGCATGACAAACAACAGCATTCATCTGGTCCCGGTGGTAGTTTTGGATATGGAAGTGGGGGTCGTCGAATGGTTCGTGGTGGTGCTTATTTTCCAGCTTCGTTTGTCTGATGTCGCGAACTTCGAACGCGTATTTTTATATTCTAATAAAGAAATTCTCTCCTTTTTTCTTCCTCTTGTGATCAAACTTGCTTAATTAAATGATGAAATTATTCAAGGAAACACTTGCATCCAAGTCTAGCATAGATTTGCATAAAGATAATTTAAGAAAGAATAAGAAGACGATTGCATTTGTCTTGCATTCATACTGATTATCATGGAGTTCAACTATTCTTCAATCAAATCAGTGAACGTGCCAGGCAAACAAGCAAAGGATTAACATTTTTCTTCTACGATCAGCGAGAAGAGAAATATAGATTGTCTTTTATTAGTTTAGTACTACTGTAGAGGGAGAGGGGAGAGAGAGAGAGCAGAAAAAATAGTACAGGAAAATATTTATCATCATTCAATATATTGACGTTGATGTTTCCTGCAGTTGGTTCGATCTAACAAGAGAGACTGAAAGCAATAGAAGTAGTAGGGGTGAATGAAAAGTGTGATTTTTTCTGTTTCTGTTCGCTTTCTTTCTTGTTTCCTACTGATAATCAGTCTTGCCGGTTTCCTCGATCTATCGATTTTTGGAAAAACATAGTTGTCTTCCTCTTTGTCTCTTTTTTCAACTGAATGGGTTAATCAGTTGTCTTTCCACTTGGTCAGATCAGAGAGTATCATCGAATGTTTTCCATTTTAATCAACGTATAAGAGCGAGTATCGTTTTCTCCGATTGATCTCCCTTCGACAAGTAGAGGTTTCATTTTGATGTGTATATTCGCTTGTCTGTACATGCAATTATCTATTTACGTCTTTAGCCATTTGTGCAGTGTATACCGTAGATTTTTATCCGTGTTCCGTAATATCGAGCGAAAAAAAATCAGGCAGAGAAGCAGACTAAGAAAAGACAAGCAGTCGATTCGAAGTTAGTCGTTAGTGGTGCTAGGCGTTTTCCGCGTTCTCATCGTCAGCAGAGATAGAAAATTGAGTCTATCGCTGCATCGTACAGCGTCCACATCGTTTCTTGTTTCTACTTCTTCTTCTTCTATCATTCACATATAGAAAGCAATGTGAAAGACATGGATAGACAAAAAACATTCTGGTTCTAACATCGACGAACAACGATAAGAACGACGACGAAGAGAACAAGAGAATGAGAGAGAAAAAAACGGAAGAAAAGTGCCAAAAAAAAGAAGCAAGCATGAGAAAGAGAAGAAAGACGAATGAATAGTGAAGCAAATGCTTTTTTTTATGTGATACATACATACATACATGCGTGCAAGCGAATGTCCACGTCACATCATTCGTTTGCGCTTTCTCGTTGGCCTCCGTTTATTCCCTTTTACTACCGAGTAAACCATCTGGTGCAATACAAGTCACAAGAACGTGTATATGTATGTATACGTGTGTGTGTGTGCGATGGAGACAATGAAAAGAAGAACGCAAAGTACTATCATTCCGATCTAAATTATTCTTTATTCTTTCTAGTGAAATATTGATCAAAGATTTCGATGTATGAAATGACATAATCATTATTTACATCTGATTCTCTTTGAACTAGATATTGACGCTAAAAGAAGAAGAAGAAATGATGCGAAGAGTTGACTGAGGATCACCTTATGGGCTATGCTCTCTTGTTTTAGCAGCAAAAGGAAAAGAGTCAGATGAATAACGACAATGATCGGAAACAAATGAGAGTTCGTCATCTCATGGGATTAGATTCAACATCAGCAGGCACATTTATTATTCCTTACCATCATCATCATCATTCGTCGCCATGTCTCGTACACTTTGTATTGTCGACATCGTCGTTCTTTTTATTTTATTAGATAAGTGACATGCGAACATTGTAACAGCCATTAATACCAGTGCATCCTACTAGTACTGTGCAGTCAAAAAGGTAGAATGCATCCGAGCATAAATCCTTTTTTTAAATCGATGTTTGCTTTAAATGACAGTTCGAAAGAGATCGATGACAAAAGAAAACCGATTTCTATATTATTCTTTTTCTATCTTGTATCACGGAAACACTATAAAGATGGAGAGAGATAATTAGTAATAAGGATAGTAGAAGCATACCGAGTCGAAAGTGCTTTTTCTTATTGAGTGCGTCTGTGTGTGTGCGACATAGATTGTTGATTAATACAGACCTCCCTGTGTGTAAGATCAAGAAATCGGCTTATAAGCAGGAAGTGCCTGCTGTCTAATTCGATCACCGACATAAATCAGTAAACGAACGCAGTTGATGGGGTAGGCACGCACACACTTCTCGTGTTTAGTTGCGACCCCGAGCCGCAATTAGGACTCGCTCTTTCCTTCTTGCACACATACACATCGATGTATATGTATATATATATATATATATATATCTATGCGAATTTGCTTTCGACAAGGTTGAATTCTTCTTATGTAGAGCTGAGCATTATCGTGAAGAGAATTCTCTTTTGTCCTTCACTCGACACACGTCAGAGCTAGGTCGAATTGAATGATAATGCACAATGTGCAAATGTATAAGCGTTCATACAAGCATGCACTCTCGTCGATGATTGCCTATTCGCTTGTTTAGCCATAGGAACATGTATATGCGCTCATTCATCAAATGATTTTTTCCTCGTGCATGTTTAGATGTACAACTCGTCGACAGATGAATAATAAACTTGCTTGTCTAGTTAGAAATGTCATTTCAGGTCAGATGTTTAGCTTCTTTATACACAATTATCATTTCGACAAGCAATTAAATCTAATACATAATCAAAAGTTGTCAACGATTTTTGACGAATGTATCTACTCTGCTTCAGTTTCTTCAAATTACAATCAGCAAGAAAATAGAAACGAAAAAAAACGCGACAAGGTCAAGAAACAAAGAGATAAAGATACATATCTTCTCTTGTTTTTTCTCTCTTCATATTTTTACTTCATCTTCAGTATATTCATATTTGGACTTTCTTTGTCCTGACATTTTTTATATCAATTAAAAGTAATCCTATTACATTCATCGTCTCTGATGTTTCTAATATTGACATTCTTCGGTATCTTGTATTAACCATTTATCATCGGATTGTTCTTCGGAAAGAAGAAGAAGAAGATGATGTCGTACTATTGTTGGATTACATACGTACTCCAAGGAAAACGAATTGAATTCGACCTACCGATGAGTGTTCAGCACCTCGTTAATCTTTGTCACAAATCGATATTCTTCTTTTGGACGGAGGTTTGACGAGGAATTGAGGCTCATCGCTACAATCATATCGAATTAGTTCATTAATCAATAACTAAGTAAGCAATTCTTCTTGATCAATTCTCAAAATAAGCAACGATTCTTTAGAGTATTCGGTCGAGCTCAATCGGAGAAATGCTATCCTTTTCCAAAGAGAAAGAAACTAGCTGATCTTGTGAGAAAAAGATCTGTATTAGTTTCCTGCATCGACAATTGTATATTAATTTGTTAATTGCTTTCAATCATAATCGGATGATCTCGTCTCTTTTTTCTTGTTCTCTTTGAACTAAGATTTCCCATGATAATGGAAATAGTCATCATAGTACCACAATTGTTTTTAATGATGACTCGTTCGATTCCTTTTTTTTCTCCGCATGAATAATGTATATTGAATAAATAACTTTCTTCTCTCTAATGAATATTACACATGTGAGGATCATTCTAGGAAAGTTTTCTTTTCGTTCGACTTTTGGCCGGTTTTCGAGTTATCTCGGTGTAATGAATGAGATCGTGCATGATTGTTACACATTCTTTAGGGTATTGTCCAACGGCCACTTCACCCGACAACATCACGTAATTCGCTTGATCTAATACAACTGCTCGATAGAGATCCGAAACTTCAGCACGAGTCGGCACTGGACATGTAATCATCGATTCGAGTATTTGCGTAGCGACGATAAAGGGTTTCTGCTGCTGTTGACAACATCGAACAATATCTGCTTGTATGAATGGCACGCGAATGTGCACAGGAGTTGTTTCCAAAGCGAGATCACCGCGTGCAATCATGATCATGTCACATTCGTGAATGAGATTCGTTAAATTTGTTGGTTCAATCGCTTCGAGCATTTCAATTTTCGCAATTACTTTGGGATAATAGTTTTTCTCCTGTCCAAGAGATTCATGTATGGCTTGTTTTAAACGATAAATATCGTTGACAGTTTTTACAAATGATGTCGCGACATATTTCGGCTTGATAATTGGTAGTAGTTTATCAATAAGACGATGATCGTTCTCAGTGAGAAAGTCGATATCGATTTTACCGTCTAATACGATAAAATATGATTTCCAATAAAGATAACTTCACTGTTTTTCACTTACAAGGTAAGTTGACACCTTTATGACTTTTCACGGGTCCACTGTTGAGTGCTTCGGCTTGTATACGATTATGTTCTACTTTAAGGACTCGAAACTGTAATTTCCCATCATCAACATAGACAATATCGCTGACTTTTGTGGATTTTTCAATTGGAAACTGACACGGAAGAGTTTTCATATCGTTTTCTACACTACTGTTCTCCGTTTCTTTCTCAATAAAAACTTTCTCTCCGGTTTTCACCGCAAGTAACTTGTCATGAATTTCTCCTAGACGAATCTTCGGTCCGGGCAAATCAAGCATCAAATCTAAGCCGGCACTCGTTGCTAAATTAGCAACTCGAATGTGTTCTTCGATGATCCCATGCGAACCATTCAAACGAGCAATTTCTACTGAATGCTCTTTGAAATATTGTAAAACTTCCGCGTTTCCACTTGCTGGTCCTAGTGTCGTAATGATTTTTGTGGACATGAACAAAAAAGCCCGATCAGTTTTAATAAATATAAATTATAAAAAACAATCATCCGCGTTTTTTCCAAATTCACCATGTTATTTCGTTGCATAAATGAGAATGTTTGATCAAGAAATAACTTATTTCATTATTCATCCTAAGCAGAGTCAGATTTCCCACGCAGACTTCATAAATATTATTGCGATACACTGACATTTGAATACAAAAAGAAAAGAACTGTTAAAATTTTCACGTCCCGCCAACGATTATGATTCAACTAAACCTACGCAATCGCAAAGGCTTAACTAAATCTTGCTGGTATTTAAACTCAATCTGAGCCTTCCCCATCATTCACATCTTCTCGAAACAATGCGACGCTGTTTAATTGTTCTGGTTGCTATAACACTTGTTTTCTTTACAACGAATGCAGAAACAGATATTCGTCAACGATTTGAAGGCTTAATTGGTAAGAGTGTTCATATTGCATGGCATCAAATTGATCGTGAAGGTTTGTTTGTTTATTTTGAAATTCTTACTTGACGAAGAAGAAACGAACTTCACTTATTTTACATTTTCATTCTTTGAAGCACCCGGACGACCAATTGAAATCATACGTGAGAGTTCTCCTCAATCCAATCGAGCAATTACGCCCGGCTACGTTCGCGTCATTCTCAGCGACGAAACTGGTCAAGTTCTCTACACTCCGATCTTGCAGCCCGAGTGATAAACGTCATCAATACTTGATTACATGTCGTCTGTACTTTTCCGGACGATCAATATTGATGATAGACAATGATGTTTTTCTTGACAAAAAAAAGTGAATCATTACAATGTAAAAAAGAATAATACGCATTGATTAACTACTCGATAAACCATTCGTTGGTTTTGTTTTTTAACGCGAAAAAGAAAGTTTTATAATTCAACTGTGAAAATAAAACATCGTGTTCGTTTAAATAAACACTAGCTGACTCGTTATTGATGATATTCTTGATCAAATTTCAGCAAGAGATGTAGCAACAACTACACTTGTAAAGTTTATGTTTCTACCTTGATTATTCTTGTTATTTGACGATCGAAGAGGTCGAAAACAACATGTTTGTGTAGTAAAAGCAAAAGAAGACATAGACATTCAACAAACGCTTGCTCACTTATCCATTCACTCACTAAGGACAAAAGAAATAAGCGCGTTTGTCATTTGTATTCATCTTTTGATTTGCTTGTTGCAAATATTAAATGTTGTCATCGTGAGTGTCTGTTGTATGTTGCTTTTACTCTGTTGATTGTTTAGTTAAAAGAAGAAGAAGAAGAAAAAGAAATACGACTGACAGAAGAAGGACGCATTTCTACTTCAACTATTTACTATGTGGCATCTTTATTTGTCTACAATCGACGCAAAATATAATGTCAATAATTTATATGCACAATAATAGCTAAAAAAATCTTTTATCATATCGAATGAAATTGAATTTTTCAAATCTCCGATCATAGCAAACAAACATACACAGTTGCCAATTATTTATTTATGTCAATATAGATAGGTCAAAAAGAAAATAGTTCTACACATTTTCAAGTGTTGTCTTAACGAGCGAACGAGCAAGCGAGAGAGAGTACTGTAATGAATCACAGTCTTCTACTTATCCTCTTTGGGCCAAGTATATGTATATATTTATCTGTGTCATATCAGATTACACTACATCTCTTCTGTGTTCATTCATGTTTTGATTCGTATTCAAGACTATTAACATTACAAACATCAGAAGAAACAAAAAAGGAGAAGAAAAAAAAAATCTTTTAAAAAAACATCATGTTTTGTTTCTTGTCTTAATCAAGTCTATTATCGAAGTTCATGCAATCGTTATTATTATTGAGATTGAATTCCTTTGCTTCTCTTCTCCTTTGTCAACTAAATGCTCTAGGATCACTTAACAGAACTTAGATCACAACTTTTTGTTTAAACGATAAATTTCGTTTTTTCCTTTAAGGTAAAAATATTTTCTTGCGAAACTCGATTTTTAATTGAACAAAGGAGAAGCTATAAAAGAAGAAGAAGAAGAAGAAAGAAAGCAGAATTGGTAAAAGAAGTGTGTGTACATTGGATGACAAGAAGAAAGTTAAAATAACAATGGAAGTTTGATTTAGGAGGAATGCTTCTGATGAAACATAGGTGTTTTATTAAAAATACACATCGACAACGAGTAGTAAAACGAGAAAAGAAAAGAAAGAAGAACATTGATTGCTTTATTGAAAGAAGAGAAAGAAAAACGATCGTATTGGTTTATTTCTTTTTTTTTTCTCTTCTTCATATAAGATCAATTGATTGGAATTGTACCGACGGAAAGCAAAGAAAAACAATCATCACTCGACCAGTCAACATTTTCTTTCCATTTTCTCTCTCGTTCTCTCTGTCTCCTCTCTCTCTTTCTTCGTTTTCTTTTCTTTTGCTTTTTTTACACATATACAAAATACATCGACTTCCATAATCATTCACAAGATCAGAATTAATTTCTTATTAAAAGAATCAAAATGATTTCTTCGTCATCACACCACTTACAGCAAGCGTATTTAGCTGCTACAGCTGCAGCACTAGGTGCACCACATCTATTCTACGCCGCCACAGGAAATCCCTCAGCAAATGGATTAACCAATGAGCAATTATCACCCGAATCGTATGCTCTACTAAGAAACTATCTTCTCCGTTCACAGTCGCCATCAGACAAACGCGAACAACATCAAAAACCACCATAGTAAGGCGAAAAACTTTTTGTTCATCTACATGAATCTTCTCTCTCTCGCTCTTTCCTATAGTTCATATATCGCTTTAATCGCAATGGCTATTAAACATGCACCTCATCATAAAATAACTTTAAATGGAATTTACCAATTCATCATGGAGCGTTTCCCATACTATCACGAAAATAAACAAGGTTGGCAAAACTCCATTCGACATAATTTATCATTAAATGATTGTTTCATTAAAGTACCAAGAGAGAAAGGTACTTTTCGCCATTCGAACTGAAAAAGACCAAGATTTTCATCGAATATTTTTTTTCTAGGTAAACCCGGCAAAGGTAGTTACTGGACATTGGACTCGAAATGTGACGAAATGTTTGAAAATGGCAATTACCGTCGCCGTAAACGACGACCCAAACAAATGATATCGACCATTCAGAAGCCTCCATCAACATCCTCGTCAATACCTTTAGACGAATCATCGTTATCCTCATCAGAATCGAATCATAATTCACTATTAATATCATCGCATAATGATGATGATGATATCAATCCATCGACAAATTACGATCAATATTCTTTCCTGAAAATCGAACCATCAGATTCGAAGAAACGACGACGTTCACCAACACCTGAACATGATGCCAAGAAAAAAGTCAAAACAGTCTCAGCATTTTCATCTATTGATACATTGATTGCACCAACCAAAGAAAGCAAATCTGTTGATTCCTCATTATCTCCTTGTCGATATAATAATAACAATAATAATCCTCCATATTTATCATCAATTCCTCCTCAATATTTATCGTTATTAACAAATAGTTTTGGTCTTAATCCCGTCTATAATCGACATTTTTCAACAAAATAGATGTTTCATAAAGTACTGAACTAAATCATTCATATTCGGACTTGTGTGTGTTTTTTTCTTCTTGTTTTTTTTTTCATTCCAAAAAAGTCTCTTGTCAATTCAGTGTTTTTTTAAAAACAACAACGATTCATCTGTCTATATGGAAATAATCATTTTCCCTCGTATACATATGTATCAAATCGAAGTGTCACCTATCGTTGAAACACATGCATAATCACAACGCTTCTGATTTATGATCGAATATAAACAAACAATCTTGTTAGACGAAAAAAACCACTTGCTGTACAATGATAAGCTTCATGGTGTGCGTGTCGATATGCAATTCGATAATTTGCGCATTATGTGATTTGTATCTTATTTTGCCTATTTTCATATACATTAGTAGAGCATCATATAAACATAGCTGATGTCCTCGGGCTTGTTTTCTTATTGCTCCATGACGATAATTCTCATCAGATATGGAATGTTCGATCGAACAGTATGATGTAATTGATGAGAGATGCGTTCGATGTTTTTCTTTCGATTATGGTTTCATCTTCATTTCAATTCGTGTAGACCAATGAGATTTTCATCCGAAGAACAGTTTCACTGAATGATTTATGATGGGACATCCGCGTGCCGTTGAGCAGTTCGTAGTTTGTTTCTCCAGGCTTTTTTATATACACATTAGTGTTATTCTACAATGAATTCTTGAGGAAACAAAATATAAATATGCATCGATGTGGACATCAAACACATCACTTGGCTACTACTCGTGTACTAGTACATTGTCGAAGCTTCTGTGTGTACGGTACATCTTCTAGCAAGTGCCTCAAGCAAGACAAACAATCGGAATCGTTTGTTTGTCTAAAGTATTCATTTCGTGTCTATATTGAAATATACGATGAAGATTTATAGTTGAAAAAAAAATTAACTTTCCCTCTCTCTCTCTCTCTCTCTCTCTCTCTATGCGACTTCCGTTGTTTGTGTATAGATGTTTTTTTAGCTAGTTGAAATGACACCAAAAGAGAAAGTCAATTTCAATTCTGACATCGACAGATGTAATAAAAGAAACCCCATCGACAAGAAAGAAAAATCACTCGATGTTTTTTTTTCTTTTTCTTCATTAAGGAGATATTTAAGATTAAAGAATAATAATTTCTTATTAACTATTTCTCATCGACACACAAGATATGTTATTGTTCATGAATAGCAAATATATATTTGTATATGTTTATAGAACAATAGAGAAGAGAGAGAGACATTCAAAACTCATTTTCTAATTACATATACACAAGATATGAAATGCTGAAGATCACAGTCTCCGTCGTTGTTCTTTCTAAGATAAACATACATAGTGCCGTGTAAATCTCGTACATAAATAAACGACCATTAAAGGACAACAACGAAAGGGTGAGCATAAAAGAAATAAAAGTGTATGTACCGCCATTCTCTACAAAAGCGCATCTCTATTTATGACACCTTTAAGAAACATATTGTTTCATTTGAGTATGAATACACCTGAAAAAACGTTAACAATCGATTGTATTTCGAATGTAATTATATAAAACACTGCAAATCAAATATCATCGATGTATTTAGAAAAACAAACGGGCAACATCTATTTGTATATATATACACACTAATATGTTCCAATCAGAATGCAGCATCAATGTTGACACGAGAGAGAGAAGAGCACATTGAATGAGGATGACAGGAAAGTGATCAAACAGTATGCGGGCCGCTTTTGATATCGTTTTTTTTTTGTGTCTGTATGTATTTTCTATTTGGTTGTTGTTTTAACTAAAATGTGCACTTGTGGTGCTCATCATCATTCAACACAGATGATAATAAAAATGTACTTATTCTCTTTCTAGATCGACTCGTCAAAGAGAAGACGATGTCTCTTAGAATAATAAACTACATCTGATGATTATTTTCACTTCGAAAGAAGAAAATCGATCACAGTATGAAGTTGAATTCATTTTTGTTAGTGTATCATATATTTCAGCGTGAAAGTGAGACATTTCACTTTTATGAACATGGATGTTTTTGCCAACAGCGAGTGAAACGTAGGTACTTTCTCACTAAGATTATGAATAATAACCGGAACAAAGCGGGTGAAACGTTTTCTGTAACAAGTTTAATGTAACATTTCTTGAAACGGATGTTAGCAAAGAAAAAACAGGGCTTATATATTTGTCTTGACAATTAGCTTACAGGAATCTATTGAAATAACATTTATTCTCTTTTAAGAAATAACACATCTATTATTTGATTCGGCTGAGCGAAGTAAAACATTCGAATAATCATTTTGTCGATGACTGTCAACAATAAAATACGTCTGACGATGATTTTCTTGTTGTTTAACCAGTAGATTTGCTTCTACTTGATCCGAATGGATCACTAAACGATTCATGTCGGTCAACGTGGTTTCTTGAAGTAGTGCAATTACAAATATATGATGATTTGTTAAACAGGTTTCTCCAATAAGAAGATTTTGCAGACGAACTGTTCCATGATCGGATGAATAATCCAACTGACGAATATATTTCACCCACATATTTCCATTCAGGAGATGTTTCATTGCTGGAGCATAGTACGACAACTTTGATGCAGCGATAAAGCGGCTTTCATTCGGCAAAATTACTAATGTAGGCAAACTTGAGGATGATTTTCGCATTAGAAAGAATTATTCACATACAAAATTTTGCCTGTTTAGCTTGTAATTGTTTAGCAAATAGACTAAAATGATGATATGATTGAATGATGACTTCAGTGAAGAACGCTTCGATTCGTCCACTGTTCCGCATCTCTGGGCGAATGCCATTGGAATTTAAAGCATGTTTGAACAATGTATGTAGGATTTTTCCGTTATAAGAACGTTTCCATAGATTCGAATCTTCTTCACCGAGATCACAAAGTACAGCGGTAAGAAACTGAATCGATGCTGATTCATAAACTCGCCCTTGAAATGGATCATCGCAGTTGATTAGAAGATGTCGAATGAATAACTGATAATATTCCAAGTTTGATTTTAAATTCAAATTAAGACCAAATGTGGCTTGCTGAAGAAAAACCCGTTCTGCTGCTTTTCGTCAGTGAAAATCATTTTCCATTACTCACTAAGGAAATATTCATCATCAGATACTGTACGAGTCCGTCATTGTAAGAACAGTACCAGTTGTTGTCATACCACTCTTTGGCGTAATCGGTTTTGATGATCACTATTCGAGCCAGGGCGTCATTCAAGTATGCTTGATTGTCCGTTGAATGGAGACTGAAATGAAAAGTCATCAATAATGTTCTTATTATGAAACAATTCATCAAAAAGTTTACATGGCACAACAGAGAGAATTCGCTAATTCTACGTGCAAGCGCTGAACTTCGGTGGGTGGTAAATAGTTGACATATCGATCCGATAGATTCGTTGCGCGTATAATTGAGGAGATTTTATGTTGAAAATCATGTTTTTCCATCTGAATATGATGCTCTTTATGCTTTCTTACCAGCCATTCACGAATAAGTACAGCTGTGACATAACTCTATTGAAAAAACGCGTAGAAATTCCGTGAATTGACATTCTCTTCTTTCATACAAATTGTCCTAGGCAGATGTTATCGTGAAAGAACTCGAAATCATCTTCGTAATGTCGTTCCTTCATAGGATACTCCAGCATCCAATCTTGATGCCAAAGAAATTTCCTTCGTACGAAACTTTCGCTCGCATGATGTTGAAGAAATACACATGAATACAAATCATTTTCGATTAGTTCGAACAGATTTGTTTCCAATTGCAAACGAATCGTTTTCGGATATTTACAGATTTCTCCAATATCTCTATCGATATAATAGAATTCTTTGTCCGTCGGTTCTAAATCAAAGAATAGACAATAATCGTGCAAGTGAAAATCCGGCCAAATTGATTCGATTTCTTTCCAGATTAACCACACCAGCCGAGCAACACGAACGGCATAATCATCTTTCGTTCGGTTAGTTTTCTTCCATTGCTTCAACGATACCATCGGTTTGAGAATATCGAGTTCCGCCTCGATCGGAACACGCGCATGTTGTTTCAGATTCTCGCGAAGTTCTTTGATATGTTGCGAAGGTGTTGTATGGAAATGCATTAAGGAAAGTTTGCAAATGAAGATCAAGCGCTTTAATGTAGATAAATAGTTTATTTCGGTTACTTATGAATTTCACTTTGCATAACGAAAACAAAAGAGAAGGAAATTATCACACGAGAAGAAGAAAAAAGTTCGTTTTTGTTCAGTCAGTTATTGGATTTTTATCTAAATACATCGAAGAACAGAAATGATGATTGGGTATCTAAATAGAACAGAATGAAAGAGTTGATGAGACGTAAATAATGGTGGCATACTTCAAGATGTGAAGAAAGTTTTGATGGTTGGTACAAAGATTCATCATATTGAAATTCACCAGTCGTGTCCAGGCAAATTGGATCGGATTTTATCTGTTAAAAACAATCAATGAGTTTCGATGAGGAGTTAACATTCAAATACCTTTTTCGGTAGTTTGGAAGGATGCGATTTCATTGAATTTTTTCGATCATTGGAGCTGCTTACTGCTAATCGTTGCTTTGTTAGACTAAGTATAAGCAAAAGAAAGTGAATGCTCGGCTTTTCAGTGAGAGTACCAACCGGTCAAGTTCACATGCGATATGATTCTCTAATTTTTGTACAAGATTGTCAATTGTATCACTTTGCTGTTGAGAGAATTGAAATGGATGGGAAGAATGATGATCTTCTGCTATTGGACATGTCCGAGCGATACTCAAACAATAAGCATCATTCGATAGCTCGTCACTCTTTTGATACTGAACAGATTTTATATTGTCATCAGCTCGATCAATTAACAATTTCGGTTTTTCTGATTCTTTTTGTTCGTCGAGATATTTCCGAACATCGTCAATTTTATTTTGAAGGAATTTCTATTTGAACAAAGTGAAATCTTTCGTTTTTCTCACAAAATAGTTACCATACCAGAACGTTTCGCGTTGGCAATCGCTCAATCAATGATTCTCGGTCATATGTAAACGAAGTAACCGTTCTTTGAAAAAAAGCAAATCAAATAAAAATACGATTCGATTATATTCTCTTACGGAATGCTCGTATATGTCTGCGATGGACTTTCCATTACCATAAGTAATTTTTTAATACAATCATACAGCGACCGCACACAAGTCTTCTCTGACACTTCCAAAGTCAACATCAATTCGCGGCTACGTGTTGATATCTCCATATTTTCCTTGGAAAGCTGATCGACAGTTGTTTCCAATTCATGGATACGTTCTTGTAAACGAGTGTACTCTTTCTCCCGATCCTAAATAAAGGAATGACATAAACCATACGAACAGCTCCATCCTGTTCTTGTCCTTGTGTATACAATACTTGAGAGAATAAACTGTACTAATACGATGAAACGAAAACAAACGGACAGTGTAAGTGAGTAAATACATCCACTCTTCTTCTTCTTCTTCTATTCAGTACTATTTATGTAATCATCTTCACTGCAAATCTTAAAAACCTTGATACGACCAGTAATGATTATATGCGTTCTATTTCATCTAACTTCTAAAACTTCTGTTTGCCATTGATATGATACGGTATTATGCTGGTTATTAACGCGTCGAACATCAATTATACGAAAAGTTTACAGAATGAAAACTTATACATGATACAATATTGACTGAGGGAATGAGAATTTCTTTTGCGAGACTTTTTTCTGTTGAGAATCGGTTACATACCAATTGAAATTGATTTCGTAGTCGAGATATTTCATCGAGAAATTCTTTGCGACATTGTTCTTTCATATTGTACACAGAATTAATATGTTCGCGAGCGCTTTCTTTCAGCATCAATTGGGCTTCACTCGATTGCTAAAAGAATGAGAAAAGACAAACTGTGAAGAAAAAATTTCGTTAGTTTTAACTAACCATCTGAACTGTATACAATTTTTGTTCCAAACGTTGACAACGCTCTTGTTCGAGCTTCAATTGATCTTGTGCATCTTTGAGAAAACGCGTTTTCTCCTCTTCGAATTTGGCTCGTTCACCGGCTAAGAAAAGTTCTTTATGTTCGTTCCAGATTTTCCTTTCTCGCTCCATTCGTGCTTCCATCTAGGCCGAAGAAGAAGAAGAAGAAGATTCGTTCCTGATTATCACATCTTGATGACAAACTTGTATCAACGCGTTTTTGTTTAATGTTGTCAATTCGATCAGCTCGTTATCTTTTTGGAAAATCAGTGCTTTCAATTTGGCTATTTCGCGATCCTTTGTCTAAAAGAAATTAAACAGCATGAGAACATTAGATCAACGGTTGTTTTGCTGATTAGATTTACAAGTGTAATCCAATTTGAATTAGTAATCATCGTTGAACGTTGAGATGGATTATGACTAACCTTGAAAATGACAAGATTTAGATTTTAATTATTCATGATAAAGACGATTAATGTATCTAACCGATTGTTCCATCGTTGAAGTTGATGGAATGATTTCATTTCTAAACAAATGCCTTCGTGAATAATTGAAACTGTTAAGACGAGATTTGTTTGCATACCTGAGCGCGTTAGACGGTTCGCCTTTACGCTTCAATTCATCTTCTAAGATGCGAAATTTATCTTCGAACTTCTGCTGGTGATGAGGACAAGAGCGTCGCTCATTCATGTTGTGTTATGTACGATGTTATCGCAATCAACATGTAAGAATAAAAGAAGAAGAAGGGAGAAAAAAGAGCAAAACGAAAGTATGAGAAGAGTGAAGCTGTGCGCAATGAACAAAGAAAAGATTGATACGGTGCTGCTGGTGTTGGTAGTCAAATATTTGAAAGCGTGCTGTTGTCAGCACACACTTCTGCCGATTCTTTTTACGCGATACGAGTGCACCACACCGTATATCTTTTTTCTTCTTCTCGACATCTCCTTTTGTTCCTGACGACGAGACATTCTTTTGCATTTTCTCTTCTTTGAATACAGTCTTATTCTTTTTTTCACACTAAGAGAACATTCCTAAATTGACTTCTTCTTTAGTTCTAACGAAGAGAAAAGATATCCTTGGACTTTCACGACATAAATTAGTCGTATTCTGTAATAGAATGAAGTCAACCGTTCATCATTTATGATGAAATCACTCAAGACAATAGTCTTAAGTGACAAAAAGAAAGCACGCTACGTATTCAACACATTTCATCAAAAAGAGCATCTCGTGTCTTCTTCGACTGTAGTATATAAATAGCTAAACTGGAAATTTATTGTTCAATAATGCTTAGTTTTTCCTATGCTGAAGTTTTTGCTAGCTTGTTTGTTGTTTCCGAATACATACGCGTAATTAACTTGAGAAATAAATATAAGAAAGAACAGCGAAGGCCGATGAAAGAAAGAAAGAGCGAGAGAGAGAGAGGGAGAGAGAGAGAGAAAGGAAAAAAACAAACAATACAAAGAATATTATCGGACGCGTATATATGAGAAAAACTACACAATCAAACAGTGGAATTGATCACCGTCGTATGACAAACAAACAAAATAGAGATTAGAAATCACGAAAAGAGAAAAAAAAAGAAGCCTATTTAAATGTAACTCGTTGTCCGACGCCTGTCGTTGCCATTGTAGTTGTTAAATCTGATAGAGTTCTTCCATGAGCATCATCACTTTCATCCACACTACCACGATGCATGCTAATTCCACCCAAATGCGCATGTTCATTATGGCTGCCAGTACTGTCTTCGGGTGTTTTCAATGGATCATGATCATGTTTTTCGCCACCAGCTAATATACTAGTGAGATGTCCACACCCACCACCACCACCGCCGCTGGAGTTACCACTAGTACCGGTTGTACTGGCACCATGACGTTGAAATGCTTGCATGGAAAATCGACGGTTTTTTCGTCGTTGGCCGTGTCGTTTGGTTAAATGCGGATTATCTTTTCGCATTGTTTTCGTTTTCAAAACATGTAATGATGTATACAAACGTTTCAACTCCACCTTGGAAGAGACACCATAAAAATGTTACCGTGAAATTCTCTTCTACTTACTCGAATTTCTTCTGGGTCCATATCGCGTATATTCAATTCACCAAATTCCACATCACCATTCGAATGTAATTTAGTAAACAAATCTGCGGGCTCTCCGCCGTCTGCCACCGAACGAAATCGATCGCGTCCTACAAATTCTTCATTGAACGGCCGATAGATATAACATAACTAAATCAATACCAGACTTTGTCTTTTCAAATCAAACAAAACTGCAAGGAACTATACCTTTGTACAAAAAATGAGTATAAGCATACATGTCACTGTAAAATGACACCGAAATACAGATAGAATAAACAATGCATCAGGAGTCACACTTGACCATAAACAATCTCTAGAAAGAAAAGAAAACAATACATGAGTGAGTTTCAAACATGTTTACAAACATCTTCAAAAACGTACTTTATAATATGAAGTAATGTCGAAAAAAGCATCTCACACACGATAACAATTGTAATTAGCTTTCTCTCGTGATATTCACATGGAGCTGTTCTTGTACTATATATAAAACGGATGCCAATACAAAGGAAAACAAATTCCGCTAGAAAAGAAAACATAGAATGCTCTATCAATTTCTGGGGACTATGTATTCGACGAACCGAATTGAATAAGGTAATCCCATGTGCGTGGACGACAAGTTTGAAAAAATGCTTTGTCTTTCAGTGTATGACCATTGCCTAACAGATATTTTCCCAATGAAATATTCTCATTGGCATGATCGATATTAACTAATGTCCAGCCGAGTAGATAGCCAATAATGGAGATTGAAAAGAAAGATAGTATACGTAAAATATCTTTTTCTTTCACTTGCACACAATGTGCTTTACGTGATTGAAATTCAGCTAGCATTCTATAAATAGAACATGACGAAGGAAAAACATGCGTTACAGTTTTTAATGACAATTTACTTATAAATCCTTAATATCAATGTTCCATACACAATTGTAAAACCTAACTCACGTAACCAAGGTATAACTAAACAAACAATTCCATGTGGACCGAAACTATCGACGATAACCTAGAAAAAATCCAATCAATTTCTGTCGACTAGGCTTTCATTGGTCTGTCTTACGGATGCATAAAGTAAAACGGCGCCGAGAAGGATCAGCTCGAGTAAAATCCACATTGAGTATTTGATGATTTTGGTTTTTCGCTTTTGAAAAATAATCGCAGCAAGAATAGCAACAAAAACAATAAATATTGATTGAATGATAATTACGATTGTTCGTAAGAATTTATTATGAGTTAATCCACACAGATGTGGATTACATTTACATGAATTCAACTTCGATGTTAGCGAGCCATTATCACTCGTTTCATTCCATTCTAGTCCATTACCGTCAATAGTTATGGTGGTGTTTTCTTCCGAGTTTGAGCAACGACATGTATAGGCACCCAATGTGAAACCTTGGCCAGATCGAAAGATACACTAAGAAGAAATCGAAAGGTTAGATATGCATGACTTAGATCGATATTTTTACCTCCATTCCAGTTGAACATTTATGCGTGCCACCAAACGGTACATCATCGGCAGCACATTGGTTGATATCAACAGATGAAATATTGAAATAGGTAACAAAAAAATAACTAGAAATTATAAGAAGATTAGTTACGTTTTACTTTGTTCGTTCCCTCGAAGAAAGAGGCTCTCTACCTGATTGTCAAGGGAAAAATATGTGCCATTAAAAAAGTTTCATTTTTATTCTTTTCACATAGAACAGGTCCGATCCACCATCCATCATGAAATAACGTATTGTTACTATTATCATTTGCTTGTTTCAATGTTTCACGTGCATTAGCGGCGGTAAACGTTTGTAGAATAGTATTCAGATTTTGCTTCAATTGTATCTCGCGAATTGAATGAAGACCGGCATCATTAGCCGAAGAGTCATTTTCTGAACGATAGTATTTTACTGTATCATAATAAATGTACGCACCACCGTTCTCGTTTGAGGGTGGCTTAGCAACCATGATGTTGATTTCTTTGACGGATCGTTGGCTGTAGAGTAGATAGCGAATAGTATTTCGATAATCATCTTGGAATTTAGCTAAGGCGAAATCGCCTAAACCATTCGATGATAGATTTAATTCTTGACGAATTTGACTAGCAGTGCTTTTCACTTCACGAAGTGCGCTGTGAAAAGTTCTCTCGACCAGATTTATCGTTTCGGATGAAAGAGTTTTGGATGAAGGGAGATAGTAGATGCCATCAGATGCCATGTTTATTGTACAATCGGCTAGGACAGATGAACTTACGCCATTGGATAACATTCGACGTAACATTTTCGTGTAATGTCTCGCATCGTTCGTATCAATGTGATTCGTTATCAATTGTCTTTTTACACGATGGTTCAGATCGAAATCTGTCTGTTTTTGTTTCGGATATCGAATGAAAAATGTGAAGGAGAGTACGAGAAAGGAACTGAGTAAGAAAAGGATTAAGTACGAACGAATCCGTCGAAAGTCTAACCATGATTGTTTCAATTTCGGCATTGTTAACATATGTGAATGTTTGTGTTGAAGTTGAATGTACGATGACAATTCTGTGGATTTTACGACTGCTGTTGCTGATGATGATGATGATGATGTTGATGATATATGATCATAGTCATCGCGTGAATGATAATGTTGTTGTTCAGATTTTTTCTGTCTCATGATTAGAATCACAATAATAATATTTTCAAGCTAGAAAAGAAAGACGAAAAAAAGAAGAAGGGATATATAATTGAATTGTATACTAGATATGATTTTTTTATTCTGTATATATTAGTCGAACAAGCAAATGAAGCAGAATAATTGAAAAAGAGAAATAAAGAGTTTTTTGACTAGGCAAGAAAGAAAAAAGAAATAGATAAAGGAGAAGAAGAAAAAGATAATTAATGATCAATAGCCAGAAGAAGTAGATTTTTTTCTTTTGCTTTTTGTTATTCAATAGACAGGATAATTTCAATTTGACGAAAAGATTAAATTTTATTAGGAGAAACTCTGACTTTGTTGCTTACTGACTACTAGTTTCTTTTCCTCCTCCTCTTTTTCTTCGACATCTCTTTCCTTATGAGTTATGGGCTGTTCTATCTGAACTACAATACAGAATTACTCGACTTCGTCGACGTTGTCGCAAAGACTAAATCTGTTCTGTCTTTCTTCGACGTCGACTTCTTCTTCTTCTCCTTCTTTTCCTGCGTGACGCCCGGGCGCACACAAGCAGACTTGTGTTCGCAAGCTCGCTCGATAATTGATCATTTGTTTTTTGACATTCACTTGGTTCCTAGACCCTCAATGCACGCGTCGAATCGTGTGCACTGCTTGTAAGTTCCACGGATCTCAATCTATGCTCGTACGTCCGAGTAATGAATATCCCAATTCGCATTTCCTCGTTCGCTCTCTATCTTTGCTCGATAATCATGTTCCGTTGTTGGTCTGAATGTCTCCTAATAATAGAACTGATTATGTTACATATATATAGCACATGTTTTCTTCTCTCTCTCTCATTGTCAGTTTTCTTTTGTCTCTTCAATTCAATTGTTGTCATTGACAAGAATATGAAACGGATATTCTTAACGTGTAGATCGATTCTGATAAATTGATGAGACAAGTTCACAAATAATAAATGACCATCTGTTAGCTGTAAAATAATCA